TATCCTCGTCGATCTGTTCGTCCTCCATCGTTTTGATTGTTTCTTCTGAGGGGTCGTCAATAGAACAACAGATAACCGATTTATCATCAATCTTTTGCAGGTTTTTCATGTACTTGACGCATCCCGCATGTATGACAGTTTTACAATTACCACATTGCGGACCACTTTTCGCGATAACACCACAACGCTTGCAACATTTTGTAACAGAACTATTAGCACGTCTTTCACTTGACGCCATCGTACACACACACTTACATGGTACATCACACTTATAAAGTTTTGAACTGCCACGGCACGTTAAAATCAGCATTTATAAAATCATCAATTTTATAAAAAGCATTTTGGATTAAAAAATTTCTAATAAGAATATTAAAATTATTAATCTGATATTTAGCGGCAATTTATTAAGAGTTTAATATCCTAGAAACCTGGACCATCTTGACACCTTCTCAGTCGCCAGTATGTAAGGAACAAATTTCTTTTATTTTTATATTCGTGAGCATTTGCATACATACTTGGCACAGTCAGCAGGTTTTATGCATTAACAAAACAACAGCAACATTGCAATAAACATAGGGGAAACCGCAATTCTTCCTAAAGTATTGTAATTCTATTATAATTTGTAGATGTAAATATGTATGGTAATATCAAATTAAATATTTATAAGATCATAATCCGTCATTTTGACTAGTTATGTCGGGAAATAAATGGCAAACAGCATTATAAGAAGTTGCTAATAGCATTTTCACTAACATCAATCAATAAATAGTATTTATATACTTCCCACTTCATTGTGTATGCATAAGATATCAATCTCTCTCACGCATATAGAACACAAAAAATGATGACAGGTTCTTATAAAATAGTGTCCTTACGGAGATACCCCTAAAAGCCACTATGTAGTGGAAATCTGTTTTTCGTAACTATTCGACACTATAATTCAACAAAATTTTGGTGGCCAAATAACTGATTAAGGCCCCACTTAATAGTGTTCAATTAAAACAATTCATTCAGACTACTATAGTTATGTACTATTCCTAATACAATAGATTTATACAGGGTATTCGGTAAATAGAACGACAAAAAATAGGGACGATAGGCGAAGGGCAGATCTACGACATACCAAAAAATGACCCTAGTAAATGTTTTACTGTTTTTGAGATATTAATTTTTTTGTCTCTCTTTTTTAATCTACCTTTTGTTGCAGTCCCTAGAAATAACAGGATATCTGTTTGTTTTTTTAGTAAAATATTCTCAGATAGTTGTTCTGAATTTTGAAATATCATTTTTGATAAATACGGGTGGGCCATCTATCGGTTTCGATTTGAACCACGTGTTAATTTGACGCTGACAATACTTATGTCAATCTGATTTGTCATAAAATTCAGTATATTATCTCCGCTGAACGAAATGAATCGATTTACGCTTGAGCAACGTTGGGTAATATTGGAAATTTATTTCCAAAACAAAGACAATTGGGCAGAAATTGCACGAAAATGCCGTTCAAAATTCGGTCGCAACGAAGCACCAACAGCGCCCGGTATACGCAAGTTTATTAATAAAGTGCGTGAAACTGGTTTCATTGTTGATGCTCCAACACGTCAGCGTGCTCGTACAGTGCGTACACCCGAAGGTATCGATGCTGTGGCTGCGAGTGTGCGTGAAAATCCATCAACGTCAACACGTCATCGTTCCCAAGAATTGAACATTTCCCGCACCAGTTTACGACGAATTTTGCGGAAAGATCTCGGTATGACGCCTTACAAAGTTCAATTGGTTCAAGAGTTGAAGCCGCGTGACCATCCACTTCGTTCTGCCTTCGCTACATGGGCCAACGAGCAACTAATCAATGATGTCGATTTTGCGAAAAAAATAATCTTTTCAGACGAAGCTCATTTTCATATTGGTGGCTACGTCAATAAGCAAAATTGCCGTATCTGGGGCTCGGAAAACCCACACGAGGTCTTAGAGAAGCCAATGCATCCCTTGCGAGTGACTGTTTGGTGTGGATTGTGGAGCGGAGGCATCATTGGCCCATATTTCTTTGAAGACGGGGACGGCGCAACCGTTTCTGTCAATGGAAACACCTATCGCACCATGATAACTGATTTTTTTGTTCCTGCTCTTGATGGTATTGATGTGGAGAATGTTTGGTTTCAGCAGGATGGTGCAACTTGTCACACATCGCATGCCACAATCAACTTATTGCGCGAAACCTTCGATGGCCGTTTAATCAGTCGAAATGGTGATGTCAATTGGCCGCCAAGAAGCTGCGATTTGACACCATTGGACTATTTCCTGTGGGGCGCTGTTAAAGACAAGTGTTATGTCGACCATCCAGAGACAATTGACCATTTGAAGGCCAACATTCGTGATGCCATTGACGAGATACGGCCCCAAACACTCGAAAAAGTGCTCGAAAATTGGTCCGATCGAATGGGCTACTGTGAGGCCAGCCGCGGCAGCCATTTGAATGAAGTAATATTTCATTTCTGAGCGGAACAATTGTACTTCAAAACAAAAAAATAAATTTGGCAATATCTCAAACCGTTTTTGTTTTATTTTATTTTTAAATCGAAACTTTTAAATGGCCCACCCAATACAAGTAGGTAAACTTGACAAACTAATTTCATCTTTGTAGTTTTTATTTTAGAAAAATATTTTACTCAACTTTGGTATTCAGAAATGATATAAAAAGAAACTAGTCTGATACTGGAAAGTACTGCGATAAATTACCTGCTTAATCAGCACAAAACATAGATCAAACTAGGAACTTTTTCGAAAAAGACAAATAAAATTAATATCTCAAAAACAGTGAAGCTTTTACTAGGGTCATTTTTTGATATGTTGTAGGTCTACCTTTCGCCTATCTTCCCCATTTTTTTGTCGTACTATTTACGGGACACCCTGTATAAACTACAGCTACAAGGAAAAAGTTATGATGTACATTCAGTTTTATAAAAAATACCATTTATTATTGTTATATTTGCTAACATTTTTCACACCCTATATAACTAGTGCTCAAGAATAACATGGAGAGTATATATGCTTTAACAAAAAATATATTCTTGTTTGATTTCGATAAAATGAGCTGTTTTTGAAAAAAGAAACCGTCTTGTGTCAATAACCGTTTCAATGCTTTTTTCCGAAAAGTCCAACAAAAATCGTGTTTATTATATTTTCAAAATCGCGGAACTATCATACTGAATCCGGTGGAAAAATAAATGGAACTGTCAAACAAGAAGGGGGGAATCTTGACTGATACGACACGATAACGCGAATGCAGGTGCCCCAGGGTAGAGAAAAATTGTGTCTTGAGAATAATGATTATGTGCTCCGTAATTGATCAATGTTTCGACCTAAAATTCTGTACATATGTAGAACGAACATCATAACTAATACAAATTAAAATTTTCGTGGCTAAAACTACATCACATGCAAAGAAACTAAAATATTTGGACACCTACAGAAAATGAAAGAATCATATTTCCTACCGACTTTGGAAAAATCTTTTGCATTTTTGACTATGGCATTTCTACATGAATGGTTTCCTAGGGAAATTTTTGTCAAACAATCGTTTTTTGGTATATCAGTTTCAATTTTGTTTTATACTCCAAATACCACGAAGGCCAAAGGCATCCCATTGGGTACCGTAGGGCTATAGGGAGATACATGGGAAAGGGGGAACGCATGCACACATTCTGGCTCCGCATACGAGAACCGCCGGGTGGTACCTCCGCGTTCGACAGTTAGAGACCGTCTATCACCTACGGACAATCACAACATCCATAGCCAAGAGAAAAATTTCTCCTGGGACGGGACTCGAACCCGCACAGCGCACGGCGACTGATCAGGAGACCGAAGAGTCTACTACTGCGGCCACCACTGCTGCTGCCTCAGTTTCAATATTTGAGGTCAAGTCCTCATGGAGTTATATGAGTCCGTCTTACTTTGCAAATATGGTGGATTTAGTGAAGTTTGACATTGGAAATTCTTTGTAGGAGCAATGTCTTCTCCCCAAGCAGTGCCACCAGTAATATAGAAATTTACAAGAACTTGTATCTTGGTATTGGGACATTTTAGGATTTATGTTTATGATTTTATTTTTGGTATTAATATTCCCTAGATATCCATGATTCTGACTGACATTTTCTCTTTCAGGGCATGTACCCGCCAAACATGCGTGCGACGATAACGCCGATACCCCTGAACACTTCCAGCATAAATACTCCTTCACCAAAAACCTCCCCTGCAACAATAACTCCATCGCATCCCTCGTTAACAACCCCCTTGCTTCCTACGTTGACAGATGACATGTTCGTCGTCGAAGCGCCTAGTTTTATTGTGCCGTACGTGTACGAGAAACCGCCCGTCAAGGACTTCAAGACGTTCGTCAAAGAGATGAAGGAAGAGTTGGAAAAGGTGAAGAAGGAAGAAGATGAGAAACGGAAGAAAGAGAAAAAGGAGAAGAAAGAAAAGAAGGATGATGGAGCGGAAGATAGCGAGGAGGAAGATTGTGACAGGTTAGTTGATGGATGGCAATATCGGAGGTTCGTGACTTAAAACTTCAACATGGCACTGATCACTGAAAGCCTCGTGAACTTTTGATTTTCCGTATTTTTACTAATCGACAGATTATATCTATAGCTTTGGGCATTTAAATAAGGTGACTAGTATGTACATATTTGTGATTGATACGTGCATTTAGTCGAGTTGAGGTTAGGGACGATTTTATTTCTGCGAAATATGTTTACCTTGCCTACCCAATATGACACATAAAAGTCCACACGTATATACTATCTGTCTTATCATGTTTCCCTTTCTATCCACAGCGTGCGCGGGGATCGATTTATTTACTTCGCGCCCGGCGTATAAAACGTTGGTCAAAAGTTTTTTGCGCTGTATCTTCAAATCAAAGTCAGTGTATCTGTGCCTAATCTATTATTTTTGTTTTTATTCCAGTAAAAAAGAATCTGATGAAGAGATTAGCGAAGAAGCGAAAAAGCAGAAAGACGAAACCAAAAAAGACACCGACAAGCCTTACTCTTACTTTGAAAGTCCCCTGGGTAAATTTTTCATAAACATCGGATTCAACCTGGTGCAAGAGTACGTACAAACGGACCTGTTGAAACAGCAGAAACGCAAGGCAAGTAGGGAAGGCGGTTCAAACCCGGAAACTGAAAAAACGATCAAATCGTTGATGAAGAACCTCGAGTTCAGCAAGAAGGACAACGAGCCCTTCAAGCAGGACATGAAGAAGTGCGAGTACTGTAGTTATAAGACGGAATCTGCGATGGTGATGGCGTATCACTTGGAGACGCCGCACATGCGCAGTTTTGTCTACAAGTGCAATTTTTGCCCGTACGAGGTGCGGAGCCCACACGATATACTGTTCCATATGGAGGCGGAACATGCTGTCAGAGGTAAGTATCTATATTCAAATATCTTGAACCCTAGTCAAGCATCCTAATCAAGTATAGTCCGCTGACCAACAGGAGTGCGTGAATTTAAAGTTTATGGGTTGTTTTGACGCGGGGTAAATGAGATCTGTCTGTTATACTAGCAAATTTCCCCGAAATGATTGTGAAATCTGGTTTTATTGATGCAAGTTGTTTAAGGGGGTATTTAAAACATGGACGCATAAAATGGGTACACGCAGCTACTTGAAATTATTCAAATCTGTAGGCTTCATACTTCAAATAACCACAACAAAATTGGAGTCGATTGGTCAAGTGGTTTTTAAGAATTTCTAATTGTTTATTCCTAAACATCTGTCTTCCGGCCATCACTACTAGTTTACTGAGCAATATACAGGGTTCGTCATTTTATAGCAAAACACACGAATTTACGTTGCCGACATGAATGACAGACCATTCCGAAAGATAATCGTTATTTTTATGCGAAAAACAAAAGGAATAAACAATTAGAAATTCACAAAAACTACTTGACCAATCGACTCCAATTTTGTTGTCGTTTTTTTATGAAGCCTACCTATTTGAAGAATTTCAAGTATCTGCGTGAAAACATCGTCGCATTACCAACAAGTGCTAAAACCTACATCTTGCCTCGGTTTTTGGCCATAACTCTTTTACTATTAGACGGATCTTTTCACGTGTGGTCTCATTCTGTGGGTCTCATAAATACCTGAAAATCATATTTGAAGAGTTTTTTTGTTCGATTGAATCCCAAAAATACGTTTTCTCATTCTTTGTTGTTGAATAAAAACTTTTTCCACAAAAATTGGTGTACCCATTTTATGCGTCCATCATTTAAATACCCCCTTAAATTTGCATTAATAAAACCAGACAAACAATTATTTCGCAAACCAGAGGTATTTTCGTCTAATATGATTAGACTAAGAGTATAGAGTTTCTCAAAAGGAAGATGTCTCTGAAATGTTATGGCGACCATTTAAGAAATAACGGACAAATCATGTTTTTTGACATCTCTGTTTAGCACAGCCTGAGAATTTATCATAGCAAAATATACCGGTCAAGAATGTCTGCTTATCATCCAGACTCAGCACCTCCCAAATTCCTCCTAAGTGTTGTCCTAAGGGAAAATTATGGGATACATTCTAACATCAAATCTTTTAAACCCCCTATTTTCTTCGCTACCTTCTAACATCAACATATATTTGTTAATTTTTAGAGACTATCATCCTTCCCAAAATACTATGCCTGAAAAACCGAAAAACGAAGCTACAAGTCGTCGTGTAACTTTTTTGTGTTTTGCTCACAACTCCTCAAACTGTTTTCCAAAGCTTTTGATTCTGTAAAGGATGATATACTATTAAAAAAAAATATGGTTGTACTGAAGCTTCACTCAATTGGTTAAAACATATTTAAATATTCGATCCCAACTTGTAAAATTATCCAGACATATTTCAAATAAGTTGAATATAAACACAAGGGTACCTGAAGGATCAGTATTAGGTCCGATCCTATTCTTAGACTATATCAGCGATCTATTAAACTTAAACATAAATGGTATATTCGTAGTTTTTGGTGAGGATACCACAATACTTTGGCAAGTCAAAGATATAAATGAACTTGAGACAAAAAATGCAACAATTACTAGCCTTTCAATGTTAGTAAGACAAAATTCATGACATTTAAATGCTCCCTTGATTTTATAAATTGAATAATAAATTATTGATTCAGAAAACACCATTAAATTTTTGGGACTGACCATTGATCATAAATTAGATTTTAGCAAAGATTTCCTTCATTATAAGGACAGTTAGTCACAACTTAGGGAAAAGCACAGCCTTAAGCAGTTACTTTGCCTTATTTAAAAGTAGATTGAGATATATAGCATTGCCATTTGGTGTGTATGTTCCAAAAATTGTTTAAAAGAGATGCTTATTCTACAAAAACGAACTATTAGATACATAATTAAAAGCAATCCGAGAGCTACATTCAAGCCTTTATTTGTAAATCTTAATGACTGACGTATCATTGGTCATTTTAGAACCAGCAACGCTTATTTTTAAACATAAATCTAAATTTGAAACATTAAATATGAATTACAATATTAAACAAAGACATCTCAAATTAGTAGTACATATAGCAATATAATATGTAAACCATATTATTCCTTGTGTGAGTTTCACAATTCATTAAGATCCATTTATATAATTATTTTATACATTAAAGTTAGCCTTGTCATCAAGAATGAATGTATTCTTCAGACAATAAAGCATATTTATATTTCGAAAATTCTGATGATAATACTTTCTCATTAAGGGGTATTGTCTACCTACATATACTAAATTGAATGACACTAGCTGACATACATTATTTACATCCACTTTTAAGTGATAATGCGTTTTTTCATGGTATTTAAAATTATTTTATATTCTAAAAAATCATTTAGATCCTCTGCATTTCACACTGAATAAATCAACAAATAAAATTTGGTTTTTGGTCTGGATACCAATAGAACGTATCCACATTTCATGTCAAACTGCACTGTATACGTCGGAGAATAAATGTGATTTTCGTCACATGAAACGTAATTGTTAGAAGTATGGTCACTTTCTAAGGGCAGGTCGTAGAAAAGCTCTTATACCACGCCAAAATTCAGGTATCATTGGCGCGAAATTTAACTTAAGAGGGCAACTTTTGCAACTTTACAAAAGAAATAAAAAGGTGAAAGTCTCACCAAAAACAACTCGACTGATTTGAACTTGTGTCTCGTTGTGACCCTCCAACTAACGTTAAAAAAATCACTGATAAACCGATATTGATTGTTCTAGCTAGATTTTATTGGTGAAACTCGTTACTTATACGCTTTTCTTTCAGTCAACGTTTTTAAGAAAAAAAATAGTGTGCTTATATTCCGCATTCTTATTAGTTAGTATATACTTTGACACTTATGTCACAACCTCAAAATAGACTAACTTGAGTTGAAGTCGAGATGCCGTCGGGTTGCGTTTGCGCAAAACAGCGCCTCAAAATATACTTTTTGTAGAGAAAACATAAACCGTTGAAACAAATTTTTTTGAAAATACTCTATTGGTGTTGGGAGTAAGAACAGTCTTTTGATCTTTGATGCGACCATAATCGTACCCTTGTCCCATAGGTCACCTGGAGCGAGCTCCCGCTTTCCATCAATGTCCGAACTGCCCGTTCGAAGACAACCAGAAAGGAAAGCTGTCGCGCCATCTGGTAGCATGCGTGCGCAAGTTCCGGCCCGATCGCAACTTGGAGCCACCCGTTGATTGGGAGCCACCAGCGAAGATCCCCAGAGTGCCCAAGATGCGACAACAAGGCTTGAACGCTACTGCCACTGCGTACCAGGCGCTGTCCAAGAACAACCAGTACCAGTTCCTCTCCAAAATGAACTTGCAGACTAGTCAGCAGGTGGGTTTGTTGGAAGTACGTTCACATTTTATGATTATTCTTTTATAATCATTTGCATGCGAAAGAATACTGTGACCGCGTAATTAGAAATAGTTGTTGGTGACAACCAAGTTTTTGAGATAAGCAAAACTATCTCTTTCATGCTGGGTTCGTAGGGGTATTGAGGTTGGAAATAATTTGAATTTTGAACTGACGGTTCTAGACATTAAGCTAAATCGTATTAATCTCCCGCATAGAGCCCTAAAAGCTAATCAGCGAATTATTTCTGTTTTCATCATGCTTTTCGCATATCCTCTACCCGCGTATCAAAGGAGAATTGCAAATTCGAAATTCAATTGTTTCTAGTGTCAGTAGAATTAAAGCTCAAGGTTCTGATATATTTGCTGTTTTTTTGTTTATTCTTCGACCCAAAATTTATACAGGCTCTTTAACTGACCTATTTTAATCAATTTATGAAATATCTATATCCATATTTCAAACGTTCAAACTTCTCATACAGTAATTTGACGTATTCAACTGTCGAATTGTCAGAAGCGAATAACACCGTGTGCAGATAAATTCGTAGACGTAGCTCATATGTCTGTTTTAAGTTCCACTCAAATTTTAAGTGGATCTTTTGCAACTAAAGTATCGAAACTAAAGATTGGCTTTGCTTAAAGTCAACCTTAGCAACTAGCTGCAACTCGGCATAACAGTTTGTGTAGGTTAAGGAGCTTCACGACCAAGTCTTGGTAATGAAAACTGTAATTCTTGAATGTTTTTTCGTTTTATTTTTATGCTTTTTATTTCCGCCATATATTTTGATATAGTAAAACGTGAAAGAAACCTCAATCATTTTCGTAACAAAAATGTAAGTTTTGTATTAAGATGTTAGATATAATTTCATGTGCATGCTTTATGTAGCAGATAAATTATTTCGAAGGATAGTAATATTTATTGAACATTATTATCGCAGATTTATTTTAAATTTTGTAATCTTATTCCCGCACAGTCTATATTCGCATTAGGTACTCATTTATCTGTGTTTGGACAGCAGGTATTGCAAAGAGGGCGCGGCAGGCCCACCTCGTTGGGATCGCCGAACATTATTAAACCCCAGACGACCATCCTAAGGCCGCAGGGGATGGTTTTCAAACAGCAGGGTATGTCAGGAGGATCAGTGTTGGTCCCTACCAGCTATCAACTTGGCAACCAGGTGTTCCAGGTAGGAGGAGGGGTTAAAAAATGTAGTAGAAGGGGTTGTAACTGTCTGGTGATAGTTATGTGTAATGTGCTAGCAAGTAGTCAGTTGGTAATGTTTGTCTTTGGTTTGGACACGTTTGGTTGAACTATGGAATTCTGGAGTTATATCCCTAAAAGGTCATGGTCAGAGAATATGGAACAGATAATTGCAGACCTTAGGTCACGGTCTAGTGCCTAGCTTGGGATCTAGGACCAACATTTCCAAATTGTAAAAAATAATGCTCCAGGATGGTGCTTCAATTATGAATATTGTTATAGATTGTTGTCAGGAAATTTTTAACGAAGATTCAGCAAGTAAAAATATGAAAAAAAAACTTGTCAGTATTAAAAAAACCATACACTATCTGTTTTTTAAATCATTGTTGCTTTCTCAGATCCATATGCTTGAAAACTGACCTTTGGAGTTTTTCGGTATGTCCATTAGAAAATAGCATGTGATTGATTGCCATTATTTACTAACGATTATAATGCTTTCGAAAACAGTGCGTCTAAATTGTTTTTTAAATGCAAGTGGCATGTTGTTTTATTTCACTAAAGATAGAGATGCATGGACGCCACTGATGTAAGAACCTTAGAAAACTTCATTGTATATGTTAGGGTGACTTATATTTGCGTGAAGCAAAACTCATCTCAATATTATTTCCGAGAAATACTATAAAAGACTGTCAAGATTATATATGATGTAAAAAAAAACATTTTAGGGTTTATCTTTATGTGGACTTTTTTATATTTTAAGGAGCTGATTCTGCCTTTAAATTTCCTTAACAACATTCTGTGTCATCCTATTATACAAGTTGCAAAAAATATGAACCAAAAAGAACCTCCTACAAGTACATTTTTAACAACTCTTAACAACCCGACTGCAGTAACGGAAAAGAATAAAGAGTTATTTGTGCTATCAGGACGAATCTAAGGATACCTGAAATGTCAAAATCCTTCAAGGTTTGTGGGCTGCAGCCCGTGAAGCGGGAATTTCTAAGTTGAAATCCGCCACTTTGATTTTATAAAATTTTCGTATAGTGCCAATTGCATTTTCAAGACAAATCATATTTCAAAATTCTTCAAGCCGTTTGACCTGTAGCCCGTGAAATAGGATTTTCTGTCACGCGCGAAAAACATGATCATCCTTCTGAGGCAGTTAAAAAAAGCTCACTGTCATCTTAGTGCAAGTAGTTCAACCAAATGTTGTCCAGAACATCTACCATCTACATGAATTGTAAGTGAATAGTAAATTGGACTATGTGTTAGGTGGTGGGAGGCCAGGATATAAGCGGCAGGCTAGGTAACCCCAGCCCAATGTTTCTTCCCAACATGCCTTCCGCCTCTAGCACAATGGCCTTACAGGTACGAGACAGTTTGTTGTGCGCAGATACCTTTACCCCTTACCCCTCTCCTATCATTACCAGCATGATCCATTGTACAAGAGCTGTTCAAAAAGCAATTATCAATAGAGATCCTTAAAGAAAATGTGTTCGAAGGGGTGGAAACTGCATATTATTGTGTAGTCTATTGTGTTTACTTTCCATAATGATCAGTTTTCAATAGTTAATCAGTTAAAATTTTAAGTGAAACTAATTATTAAGGTTTGGTGTAGCTTGTGACCTACAAGTAGTATAAATCATTCAAGGGAAGGCATTGCCGACTAGCCGCGCTAGAGGCACGTTCCAACATCTCGCATCGAGGTTTTAAGGGATATAGCTGCCGTTATCGTCCACAAAGAACGATGAATTACTGTTAGCGAGCTCACCACATATATAACATTAAATGATTATGATTATTTGATGTATCAGTACGATCCGGAACGGAAACAACAAATTTCTCAATGGAAGAGAGCGCAGTAACCACCTCCGAAAAAAAACAAAAAGATTATAATGATAATCTTTGATTCCGAGGTTTGTTGGTTCTAACATTCTGTTCCTCAAGGCAAGACTGTCCCGACTGATTATTACAAATAAGTTTTAATCGCGGTGTTACGTCATTTTAAAAAAACGGCCGCACAAGAAAAATAACGGAACGATAATGCTCAGCAACACATCGCCCAAACTGTAGCGGCATCGAAACTGTACCCTACCCACCTTACGGTACAGATTTGGCCACTTGCGATTTTTTGTTCTTTCCAGAAGTCAAGCTTCCGCTGAGATGACAAAAATTCAGGACCAATGAAGTGGTCATGAAAGCTGTGGAGGCGCAATGCAAGGAGCGTGCAAATAATGTTCTGGCATTGGTTTTTGAAAAGTGGCAAGAACGATTGCAGAAATTTCTTAGAATCAGAGGTTATTTTGAAAAAGAACACGTAGATTTGGAAGACTGAATAATATTTTTTTCTATAGAGCGTTTTTATCATTACTTTTTGAACAGCCCCCGTACCAAATATAAACCTCATAACTATATTGACCTGCCTGTTTGATTTGTGAATACCTAATGCTTGGATTTCGTAGCTTGCATACCTTACCTGTCTTCTGAAATAAATTTTTTTTTGAACCGTGTACAATTTTGAAATAAAACAAAAATTGATATAAAGCCTACAGTGGTTCCGATCACGGCATCTGCATGCTTGAGTAGCGAGTGTGAGAGTGAATACCTTTGTGACAGTTGAATAGGGGTGGGTGGGATGTATCTATGGGCGCGTGTCCACGACACATCTAGCAATGTAATTTGTGCACCAAGATACATTAACAATTTATTGAAAAAATGTCACGTTTGAAGGTTGACATTTATTCAATGTCTGAAAGATGGGATGGAGGGATGTATACACTTTAGGAAACAACAAAGATGGTAATGACCTCAGCATGTTTAAGTAATCTTCCAAAAAAATTTTGATTTTTCAAAAGTCAAAGTGAGCATATCCCGTTATTTCCTTTTACTCCAATAATTTAGGAGACACAAACAAAATTTGTAAGCAGGCATATAATAGCCTTTTTAAAGATTTGTTTGTTTTGCCCAATCTTAAACCTGTATACTGAAGAATAACAAAAACAATCAAAACTTCATACAATCCAAACAGGGTTTCGAAATTAAAGGCATAAATGGAGTTGCAGGGTAGGTTTTCTGAATAATGTGTTCTGGACGTTACATTAATAGTTACTAATTTAGTGGAGTAATACGGTTTTTTTTTTCACTTAAATTACTCTTGACGGTGTGGAAGTTGAGTAAAAATGGACATAATTCCTATTTTTGCCCAAGATATTTCCTCTCTGCAAAAGCATTGTGTATTCAAACCTCATTTACACCACGTCAAACGAAATACGATCAATCGATTAGATACTTTTTCATGCCTCTTTTTGTCTGTCGTTGCGTGTCCGGCATGGGTATCATGTAAAAAACCTAGGAGATGTCATCTTGCAAACTAGGTAGTTTTTAGGGCGCAAATAGTCATTCTACGTTTGCTCACTAGGATCGTTGTGAACGTCCATCTAAGGAGGAATCACTCAACTAAACTACACGCATTATTGGTTGCATATGTTTTGTCCAAATGGTCCTTGTCTGTAGTTTTTATCTTTGAGAAGAAAGTTGGTTGAATAGCAAGATCGCATCTGGATGATTAATGTGTATTGGTCTGAATGTTTATAAAATCAGTGATATTTGCTGTGTGAGAAAATCATTGCTCAATAGGCTGCCAATGGCTGTGTTCGACGGGTTATTTTTATGTTGTGCTTTCTGAAGAAGTTATATATATCACGATAAACTGAGGAGAATTACGGGAAATCATCACGGCGCCCGCATTGTGTGTAATTACTGTTAGCATGTATATGGCTTGTAATTCGACAGTGTACAGTGAATATAATTATTTCTTATCAATCTCATTTTTAAAATTCAGCAAATTTGTATATATAATTTCCAAAATGGATAAGAAAAAGTGGATGCGCAACTAATTTCTAGCTTTGAATCTCGATTAAGTGTATTTGAGACAAGAACCCAATGTAATTATCATCAACACATACAACTTACAGCTTAAACCTCCAGTAATGCCATCTCAGAAGCAGATTTTACATCACATCAGAGCCAAATATTGATAACAAGCCTCATGACGTTTAGGTAACACGTACAACTAAGTGCTAAGATAACATCTTGTAGAAAAACCTACATAATGTCAAAAAAAACAGCATAATCTCAAAAAAAAATCGGCATAATGTCATTTTTCAAGATACGTGATACCCGTGCCGGAATCGATGGCCCGCTGGCTAATTAATAGGGGCGCGAGGATTTGAAGTTCGCGCGTTTGTATTCGTTTTGACACGGCGTAAATGACATTTAAAGTTCCGATTACCGTGCAGTTCTTGAGTTCGCGATCCTTTTACAGGCCGCCCAGTCGCATCTAAAAAAACCGGCAGCGACTCCTCAGCAAACGCCCAGTATCTCGATAACGCCATTACCGCGAGGCACGAGCGCCTCAGCGGTGGGCGGAACAGCTGGAGGTCCCACCTCCGGCACTCAAACAGCCAAACCAGGCGACACCTCCTCCAAGAATACGTTCGTCATCTGCGAGATCTGCGACGGGTACATCAAGGACCTGGAGCAGCTGCGTAATCATATGCAGTGGATACATAAGATCAAGATACATCCCAAGATGATATATAATAGGTAGGGTATTTTGGTTCGATATCTCCATTAGTTTGTTATTGGTATTCTAGAAGATTTGCAGGAAGGCGGGTGATATGATACAAAAGTGAAGATACAAACATTTTTATGAAATATCTAAATTGAATGTTAAAAGGTTATTGTATGCAATTTTTTACTTTCCAGCAATGGTTTTAATCCATAAGGAAAGTCAAAAGCCTAACCCTTTTTAAATACTTTTTTATGCTTGTAATGCGTAAATTGTTTGAATTTTAACTTCTTTGTTCTTTGATGTAAACCTCCACGATTGCGCTACTTATACAATTTTATTGTGTCCCGCTTTGCGGCGTTAATTTACAAACAAAAACATATAATACCAAACAAGTTTGAATAAACGAAGAAAAATACACACACACACACACAGAGAGAGAGAGAGAGAGAGAAAAAGAGTACCAGGTCACCCATTCACACAACTGGTTTGAAATATCCACTGCATAACTGTTAATTTGACCATTCGCCTCGAGTTGCGGCGTCAAGCTTCCACGACTACTCATCACTTTCCCTCTCGCATTCACCCTTTCCGCAATCTTACATTTTTCGCTTATATGCTTTTCACTTTCAATTCCTCTGTCACACTCTTACACCTACAAGGTCTGTAAATTAAGTGATGAGACTGATTTTTTTAATTCATTCAAATATAATTACACCATCAAAATGACTTCCTTCTGAAGCCAGACAGCGCTGGAGACGGTTCTTCCACTCCTCATAGCAGTGCTGGAACTCTGGTACTGTAATATCGTTCAGCTAGTCGGTTACAGTCGTTTGTTTTCGACTGTCCTAAAAAAGTTCCCTGATTTTTCAGCTTCAGGAAGAGAACAAAGTCACAAGAACTCAAGTCAGGCGAATAAGGAGGCTGAGGAATCACAGGAATGTTTTAGTGCCCAAAACGCGTTTATTGATATTGCTGTGTGACAAGGAGCATTATCGTGCCAATTGTTCATTATCTGATAAACGCTGGTGTAAGTCAAATTTAACGCTTCTCCGATCATTCTGACTGTCAACGGATGATCTGAACGCTCAAGTTTCCGGATTCTAAATGAACGCTTTCCGCTTCATGGTTCACTCTCTCTTCTGAACATGCCTTAAACCACCGAATAAACTGGGCTCTTGACAAAGCACCATCTCCGTATGCCTGTTTAGTAAGAGTTTTTGTTGCACTGTGCCCAAGTCTGAAGCAAAACCCGATAGCACACCGTTGCTTATATCACTCACTTGTAGAACACAATAGAAAAAACTGTTTCACAAAAAAACACTACTGACAACCAAATGACTCGAGCGAGTTCAAAGTTGTACTGAAGGCGGATCACATTTTCCCCTGTGTCCCCTCCAAGGCCGGCGCCTCCAGTATTGCCAGATCGAACGCTACGTTGCCAGTCTCATCACCTTATTTACAGACCTAGTATATCAATTTAAGGTTCAAATATCAAAAAGTTTACGATGTTTTATTTTTTTTTTTAATTACAGGCCTCCATTGAACTGCCAGAAGTGCCAATTTAGATTCTTTACGGATCAAGGATTGGAAAGGCATTTGTTAGGATCGCATGGTCTAGTGACTTCAAGTATGCAGGACGCTGCTAATAAGAGCAAAGATTCTGGACGGTGTCCTGTCTGCGGCAGGGTAAGTAGAACCGTTGACTAACGAACTATTTTTCTCTTTTGGTGGAATTGGCTCATCTCTTAATTACTTACCTTGTCAAATTTCTGTTTTCCAGGTGTACCAGTGGAAGTTGTTGAACCACGTGGCCAGGGACCACAACATGACCCTGAAACCAGCCCATTTGTCCTACAAGTGCACCGTGTGTACAGCAACGTTTGGCATGTACAAACAGTTCGAGAACCACGTGTATTCGGCGCATAGCGTCGTCGCCAAGCGCGTCATGGACAAAAAAGGCAGCACTGCGTCGCCCTCCGCCAAGCCGGATCAGGTAATTAGGTCATCTAATCTCTTATCTCACATTCAGGGTGATTTTTTATAAAATCGCTAGTTACCACCACTTAATCTTGGTTTAAGTGTTGTTGGAGATATTCTACCAGAATATACTAAATCCAAACGAAAGCCGTGCCTGTGCTAAAATAAGCATACGAGCGCCATTTTTTTAGTTAGGATCGATTGCGCTTCGTGCCCTCGCATTATTCTGTCACGTGACGTCCGTTCAACCTCGTCCACTATTGGCCAGTCTCTCTTTACACCGCCATTACTTCTCTGTTGGTGTTAATTGTGCCTTGTTTGTCGCCGTTCTAATTCGGTTTTTAAACCCAGAAAAGTTCCCCCTGCTGAAATACCCCAGTAGCTTGATGAATTAGGCGCGCTGTTCAAAACCGCCGGCGGGAGGCCTGCTTTCTAGCGGCGTCATTCTGCTTCCCGACAACGCTCGCCCTCGCGTTGTCGCACATACGCAACTGAACAAGTTTCGTTGGGAATTACTGGATCATCCACGTACAGCTCTGACTTAGCACCTTCAGGTGTTCATCTTTTCCAAAACTTAAGGAATTTCTAGGTGGAAAGTGCTTGGAAAATGATGACATGTTAAAAGATACAGTTACTAACTGATCTTACGATCAGGTGTCAGCGTTTTTTGACGGCGGGATACAAAAGCTGGTGCCGCGACTTGACAAATATTTAAATGCTTATGGTGAATAAATTTTCATATTTCAATTTGTTCTTAGATAAAAAGTGACCTTCATACGTACCATGGCTTCGTTAAACACTTATGCTTACAATATTTCTTTTTCTGAGAATTCTAAATCTTTGGAACAGTTACGTTGAGGCGTGATCTTTCCTTGGCAGGTCAAGCTTTCTTTAGAAGGTTGAGGTCACGTTTAAGAATTAGCAATTTTCTTTAAAAGGAAATGGAATATTTTTTTGATACTTGTATGGGAATAACTCCGATCCTTCTTAGCAACACGATTGTGGCGATAGAAGCTGACAACGTCCAAATACTGCATAGGGTTGAACATCTTGGAGTCAATCTATAACGTAAGCCAGATGAGCTGAAATCATCGACAATTCAACATTGACATACGAGGAGATACCCAAAAATAACCGGAATAGCTTTGCAGTAGGCGGAGCTTGTGAAGTACACGTTTTGGCCCCTAGAGGCGTACAGCGCAACTCATTACCAGTTCAGTGCCACCTGAATTGTCGATCTGGCTTGTTTCGTTCCTCTGTAGTCATTATTTTTGCTAGAGCTGTTTCGTGCTTGTTTCGTTTTTTACGATGGCAAGCTTCAGTGAGCCACGTACAGCTGTGAAATTTTGCTTTCTAATTGGTAAAAATATTGAAAATAGCTTACAAAGATGATGCTATGGAAAAAACTCGAGTGGCTTGCTCGATTTAAAAATGGCGACATGTAGATTGATGACAAACCTCGCTCTGGACGTCCATCAACTGCCCGAATGGACGAAAATGTTGAAAAAATTCGAGTGTTTGTGCTTGCAGACCGTCGACTGACAAAGTAGTGGGTTGTCCTGGAGTTCGATTCAGCGAATTTTAACAAATGATTTGGGAATGAAAAGGGTTGCTACCAAGTTTGTTCCTCGGGCTCTCACTGACAATCAAAAAGAACACCGAGTTGAAACATGTCGTGCTTTGAAACATCAGCTTGATCTGATCCAAATTTTCTGTCAAAGATCATCACTGGCGATGAGACTTGGTGCTACAGTTATGACCCAGAAATGAAGCAACAGTCAAGTCAAATCAAACATCAAAACAATGCTGATTTGTTTTTTCATATCAAAGGCGTAGTCCATTACGAGTTTGTTCCCCCGGGTCACACTGTCAATCGGACCCTTTATTTGGAGGTTCTAAGACGATTGCGAAACAGTGTTCGGCAACCAGGAGACTTCCACGGATGAAAAGGGACATGAAAGGACGCCGCTTTGACGACATTGAAGAGGTCAAGAAAAAAACGAGAGAGGAGCTGTCAGAAATTTCTAAGGAAGACTTCAAAAAATATTTCGAGCAGTGGAAGCACCGGTGGGACAAGTGTATTAGTTGTAGAGGACAGTATTTTGAAGGAGATAAGGTTAATTTGTGATAGAGTTGAAAATAAATAGCTATAAGACTATGGTCATTCAGATAACAGTATTAAATACAAAGGGTACTATAGAAGTTTTGCAACACAGCTTTATTTATTGACTTCGTTCAAAGTAATTTCCCCCACATTCAAAACACTTCTTCAAGCCCTCAGAAGGTCCTGATCGCTAGAAAACCATTTTCCTTTTAGCTTCATTTTCACATGCGGAAACAGTGCAACGTCGCAGGGAGCAAGATCTGGACTGTAAGGAGGATGCTCAATAAGTTTCAGTCCAGGTGAGCTGGAGAGTTGTCTTAGTGGAGGTACCAGGTGTCCATTCTTGATTTTGGCCGCAGGCTTTTCATAGATTCTATGACTTTAGGCAGGCACTGTTCCATGTACCACTTAGCTGTGACTGTCTTCTGTGGGTCCAAAGCGACACGTCGATTCCCGCTCGATTTGAAAAATACAGTTATCATTTTTTTCTTAACAGATCGGGATTTTCTGACAGCTACATGTGTGTCCTCATCATCAAATACCCAAACTTTGTTTTGAGCCTTGGTCGGCACATGGTAATAATAGAGCCATGTCTCGTCACATGTCACGATTGCTGTTCACATACCGAGATTGCCACTTATCAAACATTTTCAGCATCTTTCGGCACCAAGTCGTACGAAGAGTCTTCTGTTCTTCCGTCAGACTATGCGCTACCCAGAGAGAAAGTTTCCTAACGTGTAAATGGTCATGCAGAATTGAATGAATTGCTGGTCCATTAAGATGTAAGGTCTCCTCTATCTGTTGGTATGTCACTCTCCGGTCTTCGTCAAGCATTTTCCTCACAGCAGTAATGTTTCCCTCTTTTACTGACGTTCGCGGCCTGTAGAATTCTCTGTACCACCTGAATATAGTCGTACGATCAGGACAATCAGTTGTTAATGCAAGCGTCATTTATTCTAAGCACTGGTCTATGCTTAAACCACGCGAAAAGTTATATCGTAAAACTGCATTTATCTCACTACGTGACCATGATGCCATAGTCCGCACTTTACACTGTCAATACGAATGAACAACTAAATCAATTGATCGGAGTCGCCATTTGCTGGTGTGCTCCAGGTAATTCAAGCATTCTTTTCTAACTTGCGTCTCATTCTGCCTCTCTTTGAACATTGCTATGGACCAAGTTTTTGATTAAATTATGCACAAATATTTCGATTAATTCAAGCCTTTTAGGAAGGAGAAATCTGCCATTCTGTGAGACGGTGCACATCGTTCTCAAAAAGTAAGTCGATAGAGGCCGCTGTTTCATAGATTTTGGCCAGTCATCACCAACAACTTTTTAAACATCCCTCATATATTTGTGAAATTCTGTGCGCATTGCCAGCTTACTTAATCGAACAAGAAAAAATACAGGGCCGGACTAGTTAAAATTGGACGAAACTGTTCTACCCAAAAACAACACCCTGTATATTGAAATCCATCTGATCCCGTTGAGGTTTTGAAGAAAAGGCTTGAGAGCTCCATTTGTTTCAGATGAAGCCGTTGAAGATAAACGATGAGATAACGATAATCCCACAGCCGACCAAGTCGGCGAACGGGACCAAAGAAGAAGGAAAAGGCGGTGCAAGCACCAGTAAAAGTAGGTAAAAGGGATATACGATGTGTATGAGGTATCCCGCGTCACGACACGACAAAGACACTTGACGGGAAGTTGTAAGTGAGGAATTATAACTGATGTTGATGGTTGTTTCATAGTCATGAAAGCATACCTCAGTGTTTTTTGTGATACATCAAAGATAAACATAAATCTGCCAAATCTCGTTTTCATGGGTCTAGAACAAACACCAGCGCGCGATCTTCAAATACTTGGGTTCCTAATGACTAAGGAGCGGTTGATACCAAGACAGGCAAATAGAGGCAGGAGGACTTATCGATCGATTGCTCGTGTTTGTTTTGACGTCGCGTAAATGCTGTGTGAATAGGGTTCAGTTAGATGAAAAAGTGCATCCCTTATCACACCGCCCCCCAACCTAGGCAATTTCAAAATGCTTAACTATTAGGTGTAGTGCTTCAAATGATTTTTGGATAGCGTGTAATTCCTCAGGAACTAGGAATGCCATACGGCGTAAAATTGATAAGAAATCGCCAGGTATTTATCAAATTGTCACAAATTATTTATGCATTGCATTCTAAGGGATTTGTTATAGTAGCGCAAAATGCGTCGAGCTTTTAGCACTATATTAGCCTTCGTCTGTCGGATATAAACGGCATTTGCATATAGAAAATTATACATATGAGTCGAGCATTGAGCGTGAATAATTCCGACGTCACTTCACTTCATTTTTCCGGTGCTCTATTTTTATATAATTATTTTGGAACGGTTGAGTATTGCATCAGACCTTCATTATTACATCAAATGATTCGGATCTTTTCGTTTATTGATAGTTTTTGGTTATGGTTGCGTCAAAATATGGCGGCCATGATGCCGAGCCCAGCGTCACCGTATCTTTATCGAAACGTCGTTTCCATAGCAATCGCCCGAACAGCGCGTCTCTAATGCCGCGCCAATAGCGTCAGTATAAATAACATCAAAAATGACCGAAAAATGACTAAGACAGTAAATACCTCACTCTACTTGTAAGATCATTCATTCGGATTAAAGTTTGGTAGTGTTCTGAGATAATAAGCTCACAGAGGCCGTGAAAAAACCATCCGCATCGAACATCATTTAATTCTGTGTTAATGAAAATGTATTTCCTGTACTAGGATGTTCGCGTCAGCGCAAGTGAGTGCGTGATGAGTACGGTGAATCAAGTAGGTTATATTATTTTTTTTTTATTTCGCACCCAATGATGTCGTTATATCATTTATGTATACATTTGATGATTATACTATATATTTAAATATTTTGTAACCGTGCGTGAAAGGATTGTAGTATTTGTAAGGAAATAAATGATTCTAGTTTTCTCTTTATTTTTTTGTTCTGTGGTGACACGGTTTATCGGAGATAGTGCTAAATGTATTTTGTAAATTACGGTGAAGTTTTTGGAAAATGACACAGGGATTAAAAAAAATCGTTTGTTATATCGCTGCACTTTTTCAGTTTTTTTTTGCAAGAATCCTTGGAATCGTAGACTGTTCCTTGTTAAACTAACAAAATGTGTATAGTGTTTTTCAATTAAGGAAATGCGGATCCACGAATACTCAGTACTGTACAATTTCAGACTGACGGGTGCATCCAGATACGTTTTTAACTTTTTAAAATATATAGTACGAGTGGTATTTTTTTTCTACTTAGTAACCTTAAAATTCAACTCCAAGAACTCGATATAACTTTTCTCATTTACCTGATCCTTCAAGTAGTCCACTAAGAATGACTTTTCAGGGATGATAGACATTTTGCTATACTCGATAGTCGTTATATCATTGGTTGAATTGAAAGTATAACAACTAATTTTCCCATAGCAAAAGTATATACTTCATCATGATGTAATAATGGATTGGCATTTAATTTTTATAAATGCAAATATAATAAGCGCTGTTAAATATTATGTCAGGAGTAATTTATTATTTGATGTATTTAATTTTTGTATGAACGTTAAATATTTTCAGAGTAGAATGTATCTTTATCAAGTTAATTTCCAGGAAGTGTAGTAGTTCAATTTTTTAGTTCAGACAAATTTTAGCATCTATTTGAAGTAGATAAAACTCATTTGTAAAAAAAGTATCAATAAATATTTTATTACCAACACATATGATATTTCTGTAAACTCCTTTTAACAGCAATTTTAGAGGTCATGATTACCTGGGGATAAGAATCTTGATGCAGGTCAATTTAAGATAATCATACGTCGTTCAAAGTGCACAAACATATATTTTATCATAATAAATGAACCTGTTACATATAAACTGAAGTGTAAAAATTAAACGACTACATAATGTAAGTCTTGTAAGTGTACCTAATTCGGTGGACCACACCATTTATTTACGAACGATATGACGCCAGCGACATTGGACTCGGGTGCCATTTTGGCTCCCATAGTTATTTTGGCCCATGCGTCTTTGTTTGCTTGTAAATTGCTTCTGGCAAACGATACTGGCTGCTTGCGAATTGGATACCCAGTCACCAAGCATGGATTCTGACCGGGTTGAAGTGACGATTCATACAGTTGTCTGTCGTCGATCGGAAGTGTCTAAAAAAAAAACAATTTGATTGTTTGAAATGGGTGCTCATGTCAAAATAGACCTTGATACAAAACTATAATCAGTTAACAACCTATTATGTGACCAGCAAGAGAATGCAAAGCAAATAATGAATTCGGCAAACAGCGATCTTATCAGATACTGTGCATGAAAAATAGTGTTACAGTTTCTTTTTATGGTCGAAATTAACTACATCTGGATAAAGTAAATTATTACAACGTTTTTCTTATTTAGGATAATAATTTTATAGCCGTTCTTAAAAACATCGAATTTGATTTTTATAACAAAACACTTCTCTCAGTCTGTTAATTTTGTTTTCTATTCTCCATCTCGTTGGAGATCATTTTTATAATAATTTCTGTCGACCGTATATACGAGATCTGAAGGGACTTGGTGCTATTTCCGGTGCTCTGGTGTATAAATTTGTCTGCGGCCCACCACCCGATTTTGTGTTAGTTTCACACGCTGGGTTGCTGATTCAAAGGGTGGTGGGATGGTTTCTATTAGAAATCGGTTGATGGTTTTTATTGTCGGAGCCTTTTTCTTACCCTTTTGAGGATTTAACCGTGCAGATAATTACTCTCAACCATCGAACGGAGGGAAACCGCCTACAGGGTTAGTCCAAGGCGAGTTTGAGTGGGACTCACGCCTGAGAAGAGTAGTTCCTCATTTTTTTTAGAACGCTCATTGTTAAAGGGCTACCCTCCAGTTTTACCATCCGGTTCTACTTTTAGGTTCTACCCTCCGGTTTTAGGGTAACATCTGGGACTTCCTACCCTCGTTTGCCGTTCGGGGATAGCCAAGGTTTCTTTTTAATTTTAGTTTTTTGGTAACCATTTAGCTAGGGGGTAATAGATATATTTATTCTTGTTAGCCTGTCCTCCAGGACTTCTCCTTATTTTTTTTTTTTTTTCGTTCAATTAATACCTATGTACCTTGAGTGAGTTGGTATTTTTTATTTAACGCCAGAATCCCAACAGTGATACCTGTTTCCATTTCCTAGTTTCTGGAAACTAGACGGAGCCCAAATAACCATTGCATCCAAGAACCAAAGTACAAATTACCTCACCCGGAGGGGGCTCACTGCTATCAACTTAGCTCACAGTCCATTCGGGATAATAATAGTTCTAGGGCTGTAATTTTCGAATATATTGATGGAAAATTTCACTAAATGCAAGAAAAGCATTATCTGTGCGACATACTCGTAAAATCAGTCTACTTTTTTATTTTAAGTCAAGAACACGCTGAACATCTCAAAAGGGTTTTCAAGCTTCTCGTGTGACAACACAGTAGGGTGGACAGTACTTGCATAGTTAATACCGATCTAACGGCTGTATAAATGTGGTATAAAATACTTCACATGAGCAAATCATCAACTTAGGAGAAGGGAGGCGGCAGTTTATCATACGATACCGGCACACCCTACCGGTATCTTCGGCCCCCGTACCTTTCCCTCTCTTGCATTGGATCCTGAATAATAGTTACTACTACTACCTGTTCAATGTTGCCATCCATACTGCTGGTAAGCACCCATTCTTTGATGCTGTCGTGTTCCTTGGGATCATCTGCCAGATATAGTCTAGAGGGTAAAGGTACGTTAGAAGGAAAGTCGGTTTGCATAAAGTCAGTATGATCAACCAATTGCCCTTCACCATCTTCTATTGCTTCATAAAGATCTAAGTAATGGTTGAGAAATACAAATGCTTCGGATAGACGTCCTTCGTCGCGCATGTCAACGCCTGGAAAAATGATATAAAAATTATTTGAAATCACAATCATAATTCTAGCCTTTATAACCAACCTGCTTCATAAAAAGCCTTGTCAGCTGGTATAAAATCGGTATATCGCAAAAGTGCTGCACTGATTTTGACTCCAATAGACTTTAAAGAGGATACTTGTCTGCAGGCGCATCTTAAAGCGTAATAATGACTGATCAACAACAGGCTTTTGAAATGAGTCTTTGTATCTGGTGTAATGTTCGGCGCTACTGCCAAACCTTCATTCTGAAAAAGATAAGTTTACTCAAACCATGAATATTTTATCTTATCAAAAAAATATAAAATGTTTTATATGCAATTTAAACGTAAATCGTACAAGCTTCTTTACTCTTTCAGAGTCTTCTTATACATTACGGATTAATTATTTCGAATAAACCAGCCGGAAAATTAGTAATATTCACTAGAATATAAAGTTAGCTTCATGAGTAGAATGAGGTATAACATACTATTTCTAGAAGCATCTGCCTCAATTTTTCCCACACACCATACCCATCTGGAGCGGATAGATCATTTGCACCGAAAAGCTCTGTTGCTATATGGTTATAAATGTTGAAATTCTGAGGCATGGCTGGAGCCCCATGGGTTGAATATAAATTCAATGCATCTGTCACAAATCCATCTTTCAACAGTTTGGCGGCATAAAGAGCCACGTATTTATGTAAAGTTGGTGTGTTGTGAGCTTTTGCTTTTTCGATACATCTGGCCCACTGGCCCTGTTCTGCGAGGAGATCGAGAGCTCCTATAATATCTGAAATCAAACAAACCTTGTATACATGCATTGCTGGCCAAAGTCGTTTTCTCTTTTAAATTTCCATGTGTCAAATAAGAGTGAGTTCAGAATGGTGCATTGCGAGACACCCAGGTAAATTACGTTTTTGTTTGACAGAAGAGCAAGCAACTGCATTCTAGACTCACCAACGTCCGCTAGCTGTTCAACGTCTCCCTTTTTCAGTAAACGATCTTTATATTTGCTCTCGACATAGCTTTCATAAGCAGGTTCTAGTTCTTTCGCTACTTTTCTAGCTTTGGCCCATTCCTCCGCTATTATGAAAGTATCAATAGCTTCTTTCATCATTTCCATACTTACGTAAAGTTGTGCTGCAACGTTATACTCCCCGACTTCCATTAATCTAAAGGAAAAAAACAAGATATGCTTCGTGACACTTGACGTCGAAAATGAAATGCGTGATATAGCAGCGATACGCAATCAAATTTTGCTTTCATCTAGGCAGATCTTCGGAAACGTTTGCAATGATCAGTGAGGCTTGTAAAGAACACACTCTATCAAGGTGTCAGGTATTCAAGTGGATTCAAAAACGGAAGGGTTATTACATAGAAACCCTATATTTCAAAAAAAAAGAAAAAACGATAAAATGCCACTGACTAAGTAGGCTAGTGAGCAAATTATTCGTTCCACGCTTGCTACAAGTGAGTATGCAGTTCCATGTTGATGTTTTGTTGGAAAACCTACATAATGCCAAAAAACCGGGTGCGGGTGTTGCCTTTTGAATACATGAAATGATCTTGGACGCCTTTCAACTAGTCCTCTGGTAGAAACTATAGCCAAAGCGAAACACATCGACAAGCTTTCCGAATACAAATTTACGGCTTACCAAAATTTTTCTTTAGATTTGGGCATGAGGAATATGTACATGAAGCTGATTTCACGAATACTTACGAAGAACAAAGAACAACTAGCGTCCATCACAATTCGAACAACTAGAGACCGCAATCCATTACGAGTGATGAGACTGATTTTTTTAATCCAAAAATAATTATAATTTTATATTGTCGCCTTCAAAATAACTTTTTTCTGGAGCCACACAGCGCTGAAAACGGTTCTTCCACTCCTCACAGCAGTGCTGGAACTCCGATACTGGAATAGCCTTCAGCTGGTCAGTTACAGCCGTTTGAATGTTTTCGTCTGTCCCACAATGAGCTCCATTGAGGTGATTTTTCAACATTTTTTCAACAAAAAAGTCACAAGGACTCAAGTCAGGCGAATAAGGGGGTTGAGGAGCCCCAGGAATGTTGTTACTGGCCAAAAACTCGTTAATTGGCATTGCCGTGAGTTAAGGAGTATTAACGTGATGCAATACCCAGTCGTTGTTGATCTGATGAACGGTGGTGTGAGTCACATTCAACTCTTCCCTGATCTATCTGACTGTCAACCGACTATCTGAACGCACAAGATCCCGGAGTCTGTCGATATTTACATCGGTTCTTTAAGATGAAGGCCTTCCACTTCGTGGTTCATCTTCAATCGACTCTCTCCCTTCTGAAAATGCCTTAAACCACCGAAAAACCTGGGCTCTTGACAAAACACTATCTCGGTACATCTGCTGAAATTTAGCAAGAGTTTCCGTTACTCTGTGCCCAAGTCTGAAGCAAAACCTGATAGGACACCGTTGCTCAAATTTTTTCATTTTTAGAGCACATTAGAAATAACTGTTCCACAAAAAAAATCGCTACGGACAACCAAATGACTCGAGCGAGTTCAAACTTGTACAGAGGGTGGATCACCCTGAACTTAAGTAATATACAGGACATGCATAGTCGGAGCAGCACACAGAGTTTGTCCAAAATCATTACCAAAACTGCAGAAACTGACCAAAATTGACCTAAAGTCTTCATTTACATTTTTCGAGGTCGCTGATAACGAATACGATGTTTGTCATTTTAACATTTGATACGCGACATTCACTTCACTATAAGTGGAACTAACGTTATTAAAAGTCGAATCGAGTACCCGTTGAACTGTGAAGAAAATCTGGAGCTAACTTCTCATTTTTTTCAACTTTTGGGGTTTCTTGATTCTGGAACCACTGTGCAGCAATTCAATGATTACAATATTACAAATTTAACAACTTACCTAGGTGACAAAACTTTGATGATATCGAGTGCCTCCTGCCCAAACAAAAACTTATTAACCATGTCAGCAGCTCTGAGCAAAGCTCGTTTTACAATCGATGGCTCGGTAATGTTCGTGTTGACTTGAAGCAGGCAATCTACAGCTTGCTTATGTTGGCCTGCCAAAGCCCATTCATTGGCTCTTGACAGAAGAGTCTCAATGTTTACGTCAGTCATTTTGTTGTGATGTGAGCTACTATACTCTGTTTGAAGAGTATGGTAGAGGTGAGGCAGGTAATCTTTGCAGACTCTAAGAGCATCTATCCACATGTCTTCACTTTTATATTTCTGTACGATTAGCTCAGGAGCTTGAGCTCGTAGTAATAAAACCTGAGAAAAAGGACTTTGAGTAGATTGACTCAACAGTTCCCATCCCACGCATTCAAAAAAGTGTCTTACATGATATCAAGCTGGCCACACAGGATAAAGTTGTCGAATGGCAGCGTTCATCTTTACAAGTCTCGTGATATATGGTCAGCTTAAGATCAGGTAAGAATAGTAACTCCTCATAAGTGACATAACATTTTTCATATTTTTTTGTACATGTTACCTGATATGATTTTTGCTTTTCGTATATACACCATTCCGCATATTTATAGTAACACTGAATGCAAGATGATAAGTTTTAGCAGTATTTTTACCTCAAATTCCTGAAATTGTTTGTCTTTGAAACATTGAGCTGCTTGTGCTTGTAGCACTTCAGGGACTGATTCCGGCTCATATTTTTCTGCGATCCTTAATGCGTTTATCCAATTCTGAGCATGAATGTACATTAGAATAGCCTCTTTCGGTTTTTTGGCCTTTATAAACTCAGTTTCAGCTTCCGAAAACTTGCCGTCGTCTTCTAATGCCATCGCATACTTCAAATGAACCTCATCTACCTAAAAAAGATATTTACCATTCGAAATAGTAGCGTAATATGGTTATGATTTGTTACATCAGTGAGTGGTATAAACAAATACAATATTGGATTCAAATGAAACATTGCAACTGATACCTTATTTGGTAGATTTTTACATAGCTGGAATGCGAAATCAAACTGATAAGTTTCACAAGCGTAGTTAATACATTGCTCTAAAATTCCATACTTATTGAGCAACTTTATAGCTGAGTCTATAGGAAGCGTTCTGGCCCATAAGAACGCTACTTGATTTGCAGAGTTTGTTCCTCCATTTTGCTTTGCTACCCTACGAAGGAAAATATGGCATTCTTATCAAAAAAATGTATTTCCAACTACTTCTAATACAGGGTGGCCGATATGTAACTGACTGGTTTGTATCTTGAATATTTGTGAAATAAAATAAAATACGTCCATCTTTTATTGAAACTTAGAAAGTATGTGTGAAAATAATATCAGACAAATGTCCGTCTCTAGAAGCCGCGCAAAACTGAGCCCTCTTGATTATATTTTCCATCACTTTTTGGTAGGTTTCGGGAGGAATATTTTCAATCGCTTCGGTAATATTGTTCTTCAGCTGCTCTACAGAATTTGGTTTGTTGGCATAAATCCTATTTTTCAAAAATCCCCATAAAAAAGTAGAGAATTGTTAAATCCAGTGACCTTGGTGGCTAGATGACATCACCAAATCAATAAATTAAATGTCGCGGAAATATTGTTCGCAAAAGATTCCTTCTGGAACCACATGTTTTGCAGGTTAAATTGTTGAATTTGAGAAGCCAGAAAGTTTTCACCACATCACGGTAGCGCTCGCCAGTGACAGTAAGATAATTACCTGAAGTGTCTTCAAAAGAGTAAGGTCCATACCGCACCAAACCGTGACTCGACGAGGGTGTTGATGGATGACACGACGATTCTCTAATGCCCAGATACGACAATTCTGCTTATTAACAAATCCGTTCATATCGAAGTGGGCTTCATCGCTCATTATCAGTTGTCGGTAAAAATCTTAACTTTGGGTATTAAGCTGCAATATTCCATGACTGTATTGTCGGCGACTTTCACGGTCACTAGGCTGTAGTTCTTGGGTTGACTGATTTTTTTATGGCCGCAGTCTCTTTTGTAAAATAGACTTTGGCAAGTCTTTAACTTCACCTGTTTCAAATTTCCGCATCAACTGACGAATGGTGTTGTCACTGGCACATTATTTCGACCGAAATCTTGTCTTAGCTTCCGAATCGTTTCAACAAACGACTCATTATTTAAGTAAAAAGTTTCAACAATACGGACGCGTTGTGGGATCGTGTAACCCTCCATGATGAATTGGATAAATGTGCTTTAAACAACTACTGCGGCGCCACCAATTGAAATGCGTGTATCAAAAATGGTGCGCAATTTAAATCAGTCAGTTATATATTGGCCACAATGTATAAGTATTCGTACCCAGACGCATAAAAATGCTTTTTGAAATTATCCAATTTTCGATTGCTTTGGGTCTGTACTCATATAGTCGCTTACACTGATGAGTGCCCCTTAACTTATTCTTGAACCTGTATTTGATAGTAATTAGAGATGCACGGAGTACTCAGTTTGTACCCGGTACTGGGCGTATCCGGTTTCGCTGAGTATCATACTACTCAGCCGGGTAATTGTCTGAACGCAAGACACGCAACATGTGTAAATCAAAGAATTTCAGATGCGATGTGCAAGGTCTGAGCTCGTGTGCCTTTTCCAAACCATCCGGGTACGTTCTCCAAGAAATTAACGCACCATCAAACAAATTTCCAAGGTTACAGCGTATTTTGCCGGAATCATCTGCCTGATTTGTATTATTTTTAGTAGATATCGACCTTCTCCAGTAAACTAGTGGATTTATCGAATTTGCGTAGCTTATTTTTTATATACAGGATGTTACAACTACATTTTTTTCCTAAAAAAGCGTAGATACTCCTAAAAAGTCTTTGGAGTATCTACTATAGCAGTCTGACGTGAAACCACATTATAATATTGTCTGTTTGAATCTCTTATTCGCTCTTTTCTTATGAACATTTAAAAGATGACAAAAATCACACACCAAACAAAATGCAGCAAAATTCGAAGAAGAACGTGAATTACGAATTACCCGCAGTTCTGCAATCAAAATATCTGTTCATACATAAGGACAATTCAGGTTTAGTATTTCCCAAGTCTGAATTGGTCCTGCTACGCCCTGAAGGTAGCTCAGAAACGTATAGAATTTAAATTCAGTGTTCGTGAAGATCGTCAGATGGCAGCGATTCTACGAGTAGTTGGTAATTTTTCGAAACTTGAGCAGCATTAGGCATCAAAAAATCTAGGATTAAGATATCGAGCATCTCTCTTTTTTTCACTACCGAAGCAGCTGGTAGGCAGAAGCTTAAATACCAGGATACCGCGGCTGCTATGAGGATCCCAAAGAAATTTTGTTAATCCGATTTTTGAACTGTCTAAGGTTAGCAAAACTGGGAAAAGCCTCCTCTTGTAGATTGTTCCACAGTCTCGACACCGTCGGAATAAAGGAGCTATCGTATCGGCCAGTTCCCGATTTACGAAGTTCCACACGATTAGGATGGGACGCCGAAGTCAGGCGGGCCTGTCTGGCAGGCACATCACGCGGCGGCATCATGAGGAGCAAAGCCCGTTGGTGTAGCAGTAGGAGAGAGCTGGATCGCCGACGGCCCGGTGGAGCGAAAGGGTCCCGAGACTGTCTGTTAGACAAGTGTTATCGATCAGTCGAACAGCCCTCCTCTGGACAGCATCGAGCATAAATAATGTAGTCGAGGCGGTAGCACTCCAAACGTGTGAGCAATATTCGAGGCTAGTTCTTATCTGGACCTTGTACAGAGTGAGGAGGTCATGCGGAGAAAAGTGCTTGTTAGCCCTAAACAAATAGCCTAGATTTTTCCCAGCAGCTACCGCTATTGACGAGATGTGCTCCTGCCAGATCAAGTCCTCGTTGATCTGGAATTCGACCAGCCGAAATGAACGTGTCTTTTGTTATATGAGAGATTGAAGAGTAAGTATATCACATTCCATAGTGAAAAAGATAACCTGGCTGTTGCAAGATTCTTTGAATATCTAAAAAAAAACTGGAAATACTATAGATACAGTTTCTTACGGCGCATCACTTACGAAAAATTATCTAAGCTATACACAACTGTTTTTTGTGGTTTGTTAATTTTTTGTAGTCACCAAAGTTTGAGGATAAAGCTACCTTTCAAAGATACTAATATAATATTAATATTTCTAACAGTGGCTGAAATGACCTAGGTCTAGGTACCAAATTTCTCTAACGCCAAGACTAGCCAGTACTCGGTATTTGAATTTGGATGAGTATCCGGTGCTCGGTTTTTTGAAAAAGTAGTATTCGGTGCATCCCTACCAGAGGCCATACCTATAAGCTTCCTCCCACATTCCTAGACTTCTGTACATATTCATAGCAGCTTTCCATTCATTCACGGCTAAGTAGTGAATTTCGGCTGCTCTATATTTGCCCTGGCTTTCCAGTTGCTGGCCAAGATGTAAATGAGTCGTGTGAAGCAGATTTGGGTGATACCTTTCGACTAGTCTGACCTAAAATGATATTCGACTGACTCTTATCTCCATTCTTGGTTGTCGGTGCGAATAACTTACCATATTATCATACTGTTCCACTCTTTTGTACATGGCTATAGCTAGATCTGGAGAGTTTATAGAAAGATACAACTTTTCAGCTTCCCTATACTTGCCAGCTTCTTCCAGTTGTTCAGCATGTTTGATATACATATCAGACACTTCTTCTGGCTCCAAGTGTAATGAAGCTAACGAATGAGCTTTTTCCCACATGCCAGCTTCGTTATACATACTGACAGCTTCTTTATACATGCCACAAGCAGCGTATAGTTTTTCAGCAGTTGTATAGTCCTGAAAACATACAGCAAGTTATGACTAAAGCATCATAGGGAGTACAAATCAGTGTAAATGGCAACAATGGTTTGGTGGTGTTCGTCCAGTGTGTCATGTCACACATCGAGTTTTGCCGCTAGGCTAGCCAATGAGGTCATTCACACTATTTATGATATTGGAGCTTTTGCTGACCTTAGCTGTAGCGAAATGGTTGGCGATGAGCTCATAGTACTTCTTGACAGTATCAGCATCTTCGATCACTTTCACGATGTGTACAGCCTTTTTCCATTGTTTGGCAGCAACAGCTGCGTCAAGAGCTTTGATTGTGCAGCCAGCTTCAATATAGTGACTGATCGCAGCGTCCATTTGCTTGTTTTCTACCAAACTGTCCCCCCATTCCTCCTCTAGTTGGACAACCTTGTCTGGACTTACCGTTCTGGCCAAGTCTACCGCTTTGTTCCACACCTTACCTAAATTTTCAGCACAGAGATAAAAATTACGTCAAGTAGACTAACTCTATACTCCCCAGCCTTCTTTTACAATCTTCCATATCGTGCTATTTAATCCATATACACGTGCATCAAAAGTCGTAAGTTATTGCACTTACCCTCCAAAGACAATGGAATATTAAATGCTTCAGAATTTCAAAAAAGAATCTATTCAAAAGACTCGAATCAAAATTTGACTAGGTATTTTGAGTACGACAAGTACGACACCTCGAACTTTCAAACTACAAATAATATCTATCATATTTATGTTTCAGTGTCAAACGTACGGAAAATATGTATGACATTTATGTCTAGCACGTGCTTAATATTGCAGACCCAACATTCACAAGGCCCACATCTATATCCCACAATTTTCAATTTCTGCATGAATAGCGATTTTTATTTTTTCCGTTTTTTGGCCCGTAGCTTCATCGCCACTGAATCAATTTTCAGAATACACAAAACTTATTCGTCCTTAGCATAGCAGTAGCAAGTCATTTTGGGGAGCAAAACTATTCCAAGATTTGTTTTTAATTCCAATTACCTTTTCTGTAGCACTCCATCGCAAGGTCTGGCTTGTCCAACTTTTCGTAGACTTCAGCAGCCGCTTCGAATAGCTCCTGTTTCACTAAGCTTTTCAAAACATTGGCAATAGCACTATGGTCTTCTAAAAGACTTGGTTCCTTTTCTAGTAATTTTGGTATCCTTAATAGTTTGTTGGATTTTACGTACATGGTCAATGCTTCTTCGTACTTTCCTTCTCCTTCGAGAATCTGACCAATTTTTTCAAATTGACCGGATTGCACTAGGAGAGTCATACGCTCCTGTTTCAGTTCGTCCAGTTTTTCATGATTTCTTTGTTCCGCCAATCTGAAAAATGGAGTTCAAAGAGGAAGTACTAATATAACGAAGTTTTTAAATTGTTTCTTGAAATGGCGATATGAAATTATTTAATACATATTCTAAAGTCACGAATGGATCCCAATACCTTATGGCTTCATCCCATTTATGAAGCTTCTTGTACATTTCCAAAGCCGCATCAATGTTGCCCTGCTCTAAATAAATATTTTCCGCAGTTGCCAGTTCCCCATATAAAATCGACAGCCTAGCCCATACATCTGGACTATTGTTGGGATTCTCGTTGTATTTTTCTATAAACTTCTGTGCAGTTTGCATGGTTTCACGCAGAAAATGTGATGTGGCAACATCACCTAAAATATGTTCATTAGAAAGCGATCTTTTTTATTCTGGAGTAGAACATGGTGTTTTGCAATTTTCTAACGTGAAAAATATTACCTAAAGCGCTGCTGCAACGGTCTGCTAGCGTTAGATTCTGCTGCTTCATAGCTATCACATAAAGAGTATGCCACATCACTTCTGCTTCTGAGGAGTTTTCCATATTCTCCAAGAAAAGAATTGCCCTGCTGAAGTCGTTATCGTTCAGCGCGGTACCTAGAATGAAGCAAAGTTGCCAGTCCTTCAACTGAAAAATATCCGACGATCCTATCATTTCTTGATTTTACCAACTACAGGGAAAACCAAATTTGTCTGACGGCTTGAGTTCAATGAGTACGAGAGGGAAGCGCGAGACGTGTGTATCAACACATGTTAGAAAGAGATAGGAGCTGGCTGAAGAGCGAAGGTTAGTACCACATTGCCTAGCAACGATGACGCAGAAGGTCGTGCAATCTGCCGCGTTACCAATATGTTACACCAGAAAATGTTCGCACAGGTTGCTACAATAGATTAGGTTTAATTTGATATTTTGTTTTCATCTTGATTAGAATCTTTTATTTCAACTTGTGATGTAACTTAGTATTGTAACTTATTTTAGAATTATCTTTATGTTGATGTTGATGTTTTACATGACTGCCTTAGAAATCATCTGCATTTAAATATCTCCAAATGCAGAATAGTAACCTTTAGCCGACGTTCCACCATACTATATCCTTAATGGTACAGACCTTTCGAGACCTGACTCAATCAGAGATCTAGGCTTTGACAGTTAACATTCAACTTACATATTAATCAAATTATTATGAATGCGTTTCGATCATATGGCTTTATCATAAGAATCTGTACGCTTTTTACTGATCTGTCGGCACTAACTTTATTGTATTCTAGTCTAGTCAGGTCGAAATTAGAATACTGTTCACTAATATGGAACCAAATTTACAATATTTATAAAACATGTATCGAAAAGGTTCAACAAAAATTTCTAAAGTAGTCATCTTTCAAGCTAGAGGTAGTGATTATGTGAAGCTTATGAACAGATTCAACTTTCAAACTTTAGAGAGCCGTAGAGGTCAGTCATCTGTTTTGTTTTTGCATAAACTACTAAATGACAAAATTGACTCTGTTGACCTGTTACCACAGCTAAATATCTGTGTACCGAGACTTAATGATAGAGGTCATTACAAGTCTTTATGTAAAAGAGCTCAAACAAATATATTAATGAAAGCACCTATTAATCAAATGTGTACAAGCGCGAAGAAACTGTCTAACGTCTGTGACATTTTCTACTGCAGTTTTGCAGAAATAAGAACCCAGTGTCGTATCAATTTGTAGTTTCGCTAAAGTTAGTTTTAGGTAAATTTAGTACATTAATGGTTTTTTATTACCTATTGCTCGGTAAATCGTGTATACTGCTGGGCGATATATGCTTTATTATTATTATTAATATACATCTTAATTCACGGAACTGGTGTAACATCTTGGCAACGCGGCATATTGCCGCCTCAGCGTTGCTAGGCAACGCAGCGATGAGCTTCGCTATCCAGGCGGCTTCTAACATATTTCTATACACACTGCTCTTTCGTACACATTGAACTCAAGCCGTCAGGCAAATTTGGTTATTGGTGTATTACAAAATATAAAAAAGGACTGCTTTTTCAGAGGAAATATTCTCAAGACTTTTCTGCTTGTCTTTTCAGTGCCTCAGCTAGATTTTACCGTTGATTAATTCTCTCTAAAATTGTCCAAAAAGATGCTCAACCCTGTGCTGTATTTGGACGTTCACATACAATTTCCATCGTCATAGCACTACGATAGCAGTTATTCACTTAGAAGTAATAAAAACATACTCCATTTTCCTTTGAAAGAAAATCACATAAGAAAAGATGACACCTCAACCTCCCTGCTAATTATTTCAAGGATTTCGTATTTTTTCTAGATATTTGTTTACTTTATCTCTTGTTTTGGATCAATTGCTGTTCATTAAAATTTGTGATATTTCATCTCTTAAAGTTTTACTATTTTTTGTACTTGCATCCACCGTCGTATATTTTTTGTTTGTATGATCTATTTTTCAACATACTCGTATAACTTTATTTGGCATTTTTGTAGTTTGTCGAAATTTATTTTTTGCATTTTGAAGCCCTGAAGATGACATCGAATAAATGTCAACACGTCGCCTTTATGAGTAAAGTGCATCATTGAACACCTTGGGCATTATAACCCAAAATCCGAAGTTTAGGACAAGACGTGTTTCACTTACTGGGATAAGACCTAACTCTTCTTGTATTACGTAGATTTCCTATTCTCAGAATTTTTCAACGATGGAAAAGGAAATGCCATAACCTGCACCGAGAGGTGGCAACGCTTGCTCCTAAAGACGGTACGTATACCAGTTTTCACGCAGTAACAGCTTCCAACAGAATTGGGTATCTTTTAGGAGAAAATATTAATCGTTGGCTAAACGTACCAAATTCCACGAGTCCTTCGTCTAACTCTACACTGAAAGTGTTGTTGCCATCAACACATATAGCTTCTGTTTTGGAATTGTTTCTGATAACGTCAGTAACATCACCTTTAATGGCCATCAGAGTAGGGTTTTCCGGAAGATCAATGTTATACCAGATCGCTAAAGTATTTCCTGACTGCGCTACAGCCACATCACTATTTTCTATCCATTGAACGAAGCTCACTCCAGTGAAAATAGTTTGCTTAGATTGTGTCACCGTATCTACCAGCAACAATCTTTGCTTTTTATCTCTGAATAACAGATGATGTCCAGTCTCATTCAATTCTAACCAATCAATCTTGGAATCATGACTTATCTGTGCAATCATGTAACCGTTCACCAGATCAACAATACAAATTGTCTTCAAATCCAACAGATATGCCAGTTTTTTGTTTTCAGAAGCGGGATTTCTTTCGTTCAGTCGAACGCTTATCAAATGCGGATTTGCGAATTCAGTTCTAACAGAGCACAATATGTCGTTATCGCCATACTCGATCAATGTCAATTCTCCGGCGTTGAATACTAGGCAGACATTCGGATTTTCAAAATAGAATTTTTCGTGACGCAAAGAATTGCTCCAAGGTACCTGGAATAGAAACCAGGTGTTATCTGAGCATGGAATGATTGCAACTTCGATCAAGACGCACATGTTTTCAAAAAGCGGATTGCTGTTGAAAAAAATCTCATCAGATAATTATTATACCTCACTCAGAAGATTTCTGCTCAAGTCAGCAACAAGAAGAGTTTCTTCAGTTCGTGCAACTAGGTAACAGTCTTTACCCATGATTCGAACATCTTCAATTTCTCCGCCATGTTGTGATCTGAGTATAACTCCTCTTTCATTCGTATCCAAAGGTTTCACCAATACTTGGCTTGGACCAACGTACGTAATTTCAAACTTGTCTTTCCAAATAGTCCTCTTTAGCACTGTAATAAATAGATACAGGACAGTTTTTTACCAAGACGAACCCAGCTCAAAACGGGGGAGGGGCACCTTAAACAAAATTTGGTGGAAGTTCCACAAATCATATCTACATCGCTTTGCTTAATATTTTTCTTTCTATTTGCACTTCATTTATATCGAGTCTTCCACGACGATTTGACAGTTCATATGTATATACAAAACTACTGGGATTATTTCTTTGAAACATTCAAGCAAACCAAATATGAACCCTGTTGTAAAAGAAATTGTGCAGAAGGATTTTTGTATTCTTTAGATTTAATGCAGAGGCCCCTCATCTCGAAATAAAACAATCTGAGTACACTATTTTTATCAACTTGAAAGTTATGTCTAGAGAAGAATTGGGAAAGGAATGAAAACACCTTCAAAATGGATATGTTCAGTTCGTTTCAACAATCGTTCATTCAAAAAATCTTTCGTTTGTTGCCGAACAGTGCATCAGAGTAAGTATAAAGTAGTAGCCTTTTGGAGTGATTAATATCGAAAAAATCTTCAAAAATGCAACAAAACAAGTTAGACATACACGGTGAGTTTTTAGAATATAATTGGACAATACTACTGAACTATGAAACACAATCAAAAATGTTATTCACAAAACCTGTATACCTTACACTTATCTATACTATTTACCTGTCTCAAACATAAACACTGCTCCACATAAACCGCCACAAGTAACTTTCGAACCATCTTTTTTCCAGGCCAGGGCCGTAATTGTGTAGAAATTCTTTATTTCTTTAGGAGCCGTTTCTTCCCATAAAGATCGCCTTGTGTTGTAATTATACAATCTGATTCTGTCAAAGCTACCCATGACAACAGCCTGGAGAGGAAAGTATCTATTTCAAAAAGATATTGTTGCAGTTCTCTTACGAAAGAAAAGTTAAATCACAAAGTCCGACTAAGTAAAAACTATAGAACAACGTGCTTCGTTGCAAGTTTTGCATAGTACGTCAAGGCTGGTAGTATGATGAATATTTAGTGCTACCCTGAGAGACGCCTATGTGATGTGCGACACTTGTCCGTTTCATCGAAGCGGAATGTCAATGAAAGATGCCATGAAACTGCTGCTAACGTAGGCGTCGGTAGTAACACGATTGGCGAAGTAGTCATAGCTGTGTTGCCTCTTCGTACTCCGTAAACGTGCCTGTAAAGAACTGAAAATATACCTGTCCACTAGGGCTGCACACAGCTACAGTAAACTCGTATTCATCATTGTCCCTGCTGTAATCGAAGTTTTTCACCAACTTTCCATTATTGTTGAATACGGCGACCCTTTTGTCGCAACCCCCGACAAAAATGTACCCCTGGGGCCACGCCAAAGCATAAGGTGGTGCTGAATGGACGACTATCCTTCCTTGGGCTTCATCTTCATTGTGATCATTGGTCAAGTAAAATCTGATAATGTTACCGTCTATGTGACCTGATAGAAACCCGGTGCCTAAAATATTGATCGGGTCAAGATGCCTTGTTTTCAGAATGTTGGACAATACGAATCAGAGGTGCTCACTCACATATGGATATCGAAGACTCACAGGTAGTTCTTCTGTTCAAATCGGGTCGCAGTTATAGTATCGATCAACGCAACTGCATCTGGTACCTCGCGCGAACGGGAAAACTTCCTGTGAGTGGTGACTTTAGCATTGAGGCAACGATTCATCAGTCTCTAATCTCTTTGATATCCGTACTTGAGAGGATGGTTCAAGTCTAGCGCACATCGGGGAACGGCTGGGTTCAGCATCGAAAAAAAATCCTTTCTGACAGCGCACTCTGATGAGAAAAATCCTCCGGGATACCGTGAGCTGACCGTCAGCTTACGACGGTATATAGGAAGATGCGAGTTAAAAAAAATTGGAACGCGTTTTTCATTTACAATGACCCCCCGGGAATCTTCTTGGCCATAAATCTTGAGCCCTCAGCCTGCTCCCCAGTCTCCAAAAAAATTTCAAATTCATCAGATTGATTCTGCCCCAAAATATTTTCTAGATCCGCCCGGCTACCTGGCGATCCAAACAAATTATTCTTTTCTATAGACATCATTATATGGGGAATCAAATGGTGACTATGATTTCAAAATGTTGTCGGATTATGCAGTGTCCTTAAAGGATTATTTTGGAAAAACCTTTTTCTAGTCCTTTATACAGAGTGGCCCATCCATGTGTGGACGGAATATTACTCATAAACAAATACATTTTGGGAAAATCTATTTATGGCATGTCATACATGACATTTCTAAAATACTGGCAATTATACAGGGTGTCCAGTTTTGACCTACATCTCAAAGTTGTGATTTTTTAAACGGAATGCCTCAAATTTTATTGCATATTTGTATAAACCAATTCAAAAGAAGAAAATTGATATAACATACTATGGGGTTTTGGTGATTAGCTACTGAGATGTAAGGTGTTTTGCCCAGAAAAACCGTCCACTTTGGCAACCCCTTAATCCGCCATTTTGGAATTTGGAGTGCTGAATTTTGAATAAAAAAAATTACACATCTCAGCTTTTATCTTATTTGTTACTTTTTTGAATTTCCATTTTTGCTCATACAAGGTAGTCAAAAACGCTAATTGCACTTTTTTTCAAATGCATCAACCTGTATATTTGTGCAAGTTTGGATTCAATTTTTATAAGCTTTTTTTTTGTATAAGGTTTGATTCAGATAAATTCACTAAATTTTGAGTTATTAAGCTTTTAATAGAACAACACACCAAAAATAATAAAAAATTCAAGTATTCTGTAGGTACCTGTTAATCTGTTATCGAGAAAGAAAGCCCGATAACTTGTCTGCCAATAACTCCTCCCCAAACATTCAAGCTCCATTTATTTTGGAAATCTATTTGCCTAACCCAGTAAGGGTTTTCCGTCGCATAATAGTGCATGTTATGCTTGTTGACAACAACTATGCTGTTAAAAGTTGCCTCAACGCTGAAAAGAACCTTATCCAGGAAAGTAGTGTCTTCACTCACTTTATTTAGCATTATACTACTAAACTGCGTTCGAGCTGCGAAATCGTGAGGACGAAAGCCCTGATGCAAGCATAGAGGTGTTATGGATGGTACCTATTCTTGTGAATAATCCTTTGGACAGAAGTTCTGCATATATCAGTTTCTGCTGAAATTTGCCGTGCACTTAAATGGGGATTTTCCTGCAACTTTAATAGAACCTCCAACTGATTCGCCTCATTGATGACACTTGGATTATTTATACATTTTTTATTATATTCCACTTGATTCGAAACGTTCTCGTAGTGTGGAAAATGTTTCCGGCCTTGGATGTCGCATATTAGGGTACCGTTGTTTATAAATGTGAGATGCTATGAAATGAACACCATGTTCACCATTTCTTCTTTAGAAAAATTCATTTTCAAACACATTTTTATTATAATGCTCACAAAGCTAATTTTGACAGTTTGTATCTGATCAACAATCTATTTGTTTCCAAGGATGATGCGATATTTTAGGGAATTAAGCCGTTCCATAAAAGACTGACGTAAAAACCCTTGTGTATAGTAAAAAAAAGCTTATAAAAAATTGAATCCAAACTTGCACAAATATACAGGGTGATAAATTTGAAATTTTTGAGAAAAACTAAAATTGCGTTTTTGACCACCCTGTATGAGCAAAAATTAAAAAGTAACAAATAAGATAAAAGCTGAGGTGTGTAATTTTTTTTTGATATAAAATTCAGCACTGCAAATTTCAAAATGGCGGACTGAGGAGTTGCCGAAGAGGGGAGTTTTTCTAGACAAAACACCTTATATCTCAGTAGCTAATTACCACAACCCCATACCATGTCATATTAATTTTCGTCTTTTGAATTGGTTTATCCAAATATGCAATAAAATTTGAGTCATTTCAAATGAAAAATCACAACTTTGATATGTAGCTCGAAATTGGGCCACCCCGTATAATGGCCAATGTTTTAGAAATGTGCCCTGAAATGTCATGTATAACATCCCGTAAATAGATTTTCCCAAAATGTATTTGTTTATGAGTCATATTCCGTGAACACATGGATGGACCACCCTGTATATGTAAGGGGTCTCTCAGCTGGCGGCCGCCCCGCGTGCGATTGATTAACATTTATAAAACAATGATTGTTGTTATACCTCCTAAAATGCTTTGGAAATTTGTTAATGGATGTTTCACGAATACTCAGGAACTAAATAAAGCAACATTAAAATTTTCATTTTTTATATTGTTTCTTGGGGTCGGAAATGGGTTATTTCGCGCGTTTTCAAATAGTAAATCGCTTATATCTCGAAAACTACCAATTTTGGAAATAGGTTCGTACGAACCTCTTGTTCAGGATGACCCAAAAGACTTAAGAAAACTTTGCTCCGATTGAAAAAACAATATTACGTGTTCAAAGTGCTCATTTTACCTTTAGAATTGGGCGCCAGAGATACCACCAAGCTATCTGAAGCAAAAAGGCTTTGTGATTTATTGGATTTTATTTGAAGTGCTCGAACTTTTCCATCGACTAGACCGCAAATTATAGGTCCAGTCAATAACCAAATTATGCACGTGACCGGCGACGGTTGAGGGAACTTGTTACAAATTGCCTGAAAATTTAAACATATTTTGAACAAAGTTCAATTTTGCATCGAATCCATTGGTACTAACAAAGTATACAGACTTACAAGCAGGGGCTTCAGGATGGGAGGAGGGTCACAACGTGTCAGATGCAAAAAATTTGCATTGAAAATGATGACGCACCTGCACACCATATCCTACCGATACTCAAATGATCAGCAGCGGCAACTAGTAGGTATTCAATTCCACACTCTACGGGAATCCCCTAAAAGGTTTTTACTTCGGACCCCTCAGGCCTTAGATTTGCTCCTGCTCACTAGATTACAATTTACAATAGAACTATACAGTCCTGACAGGGAGGTAGGTAGCCAGAGTTCGACCGCACTGCGATTTTTTTAGCAGCAACAAAAGGTGTGGGGGTCTTTTCTTAATAGAGTGACCGCTTTGCTAGGATTGCATGTCCGTCGCGGAAAAAAATGTCCTCTTTCTGTTAGTATATTGGCAGCACGCTTAAGAGGTGGTACTTATAGGTATTTCACAATAAAAGCAAGGCACATATCTTTGTGAATTTTGTATGAAATCTACGGTTTATTTCGTTAATCTATATAGTATTATTCACATGAACTCTTATGAGAGACATGATATCTCATATGACTCCAATTTTTGTCATATACAAATTTATCGAGACATTTTAAAAATGGTTATGAACATTGATGGGCACTAAAACGTTATTTCAGAATTTGAGGATTTTTTAAATATTTGACTCGAAATTAAAAAATCCGTGGTGTCCGTCGTTTTGGTTTGTGTTCCATATTATTTGATTTTGTGAATAGAAATATCTAAAAAAGTGACCTCGTGAAACTTGAGCAGCATTAGAATGTTACTGCATAATTGTGATGACTAATGGGTTTTTAAAAACTTAGCAAGAACCTTGATAAATTTGTAATTTTTGTCATATGGAGCTCAGTACGGCTACTATAAGTGTGTTATGTGTATGATCGAATGACTTTGGGAGAAACAGCTCCTACTGTCTCTCTGGTTACACCAACTAATTGTAATGTAGCACCTGAAACTTATCCAATGTCTCTTGTATTGGTATGATTCTATAATTGTGTGTAAAAAGTGAATCAAGCATATGTGGTTTCGTTTAGCGGCCAATCATGTCATGAGTATTTTCAAGTGATTATAATTTGCTGAATTCTGTATACCTTGCTAGATCTATCTCTCACTTTCAGAATCTGAGATAATTATAAACAATAATCAGTGTGAAGAGATACTGAAAAAATGCAATCACCTTTTTTTCGCCCCATTTTTCTCCAATCTTGTACACATAAACAATACAGTCACTTTGAGCTACTGCTATTTTGGTGGAGTCTGGACTAAAAGCAATTCCTGTAATAATATATGATTTTTTTCCAGCCTCTGGATCAAATGGCTTGGTAGAAAAACGATCTCTCTTTTCTCCTTTTTCATCATATAGCACAACCTGTCTATCTATTGTTGCTACAGCTAGCTTTTGGTTATTGGGAGACCATGCTAGACCCACTACTTTACAATCATATTCCTAGAAATTGTGCAATGTGAGCCTACACCAATTTAAATTCCAATTGAACTATATTACCTGTGCATCAGCTATTGTTTGCAAATATTTCAGTTGCATTTTTAGACTTTTTTACCTGTATTAATTATGGAGGTCAACATGAAGTAAATCAGAATTGTACCAAAGGTGTTGACATTATTACCCTATAATGTTACCATAGCAACATGTGATTGTATTGTAATCAGCTCTAATGAAACGGTTTGTATTGAGGGATGGATAAAACTACAGAAGTTTGTGAAAAAACTAACTTAAGAAAGCATTTGTTGTTTATTTGGTAATATAAAGTATTTAAATATGTAGTCCTTAGACATATATGCCAACTGATAATAACAAAAACAGTACTCCAAAACCAGAAAATACGGATGCAACTAGAGCTACCGACACTTCTTTCTTGAAGTCCCTTGTTTTCTTTGTACTTGTAACTTCATAGACGAAAAACCAGGCTGTGAAAAAGATTCCTATTCCTAATAATACTAGCGTCAGGTGTGGAAAAACTGCTGGGTTAACAGGTGAAACATATCTCATTAATTTCTCAGACCCTACCTGCAAATAAAAGTGGAAAACAGAGCTTAATAAAGTCGGTTTAAAACTGAATGAATTTGAACGCACCATTTTTAGAATGCTATATAAAATCTGATAGCGAAGTGCTTAAATTATTGTAGATTTAATTAATATTCCACGTGGATTCAGCTTTATTACTTAGCCAGCGAAAACTCCAGACGATTAATCCATTAAACTCCGGGAAGTTATCGGTAAAATCCACTTGAAAAACCAAAACATCAAATACGTGGTACGTGCCACTTCACAGATGGGTGACCGATGACAGACGGTGTGACGCTGTGACGGATGTGACTGTAGAGATCGAGAGTCGACTGCACAAAACATTTAAACATTAGTGATGTGCCGAGTACGGTTTGACTCGAGTCAGACTCGAGTCCTGCTTTAGAACTCGCCTACTCGAATACCAATTTATTTCAGTCAGGAAGAATCGATTCGTACTCGCTAACTCGATTCTATTTATGCGAGTCCAACTCACTCGAGTCTCGTATTAGAGTTTGGTTAACTCGCTCGTACTCGCAAACTGTTTACTTAGTTGTGCGGCCACACATAAAGCTGCTAGTGAGGAAGGTAGCGAAGAGGCAGACGGAAAGTACTTCGGATACTGGCTACACATGTCGCATCAAAAGTACAGAGCCCAGGCCCAGGTGACGGTGGTGTTGTTACGAAAAAATGTCTCTTGCTAATAATTTATATTTATATAAAATTCTACATTCTTCTATATTCTTTTATTTACCTGGAATATCCATGTGTCTCGTATTTTCGGTCCATGGTTTATCTAATATACCTCTGTTATGGTGCTGTGGATGTGAAACATCCCAAATTGGTCGGCTACCAAATACTTCACTAATTAAAGTTTCAAAATCCGTTTTTCCACGTTTACTTCTCTTAAAATAATAGGAAATAACCTAATAAGCGCGAAAATATTAAACAAATTTGACCGCTCCGCTACCAGCTAGCAAGTACGCTTCCTTCCACCATGCGCTCTGCCGTATGTGTGGCCATACCTATTTAATTTAAGTCAATCGAACGCTCCGCTATCCTCTCCGCATTCTTCTCCGATCCGCTGTCCGCCTTATGTGTGGCCGCACACTTAAAGGTGGCTACAGACACAACGGCAAGCTTGTCCAGCATGCTTATTCAATCTTTTTGTACAAGTATGCACAATTTGCCTTTGGCACCACACGTACAAGCATGCTTGATAAAAATAAAGGTAGTTTAATAAAATATGTCGAACTCCGACGACGATTCGCTCGCTTTGGCCGCTTTTGTTCGTGTAAAGAAAAGAAAAACCCGGATAAAAAAGCGTGCGGTGTGGTGTAAAGAATGGTTGATGAAAGGGAAAACCTGTTCTCACATTAACTTACTAAGTGAGCTGAAAATATATCCGCGTGGCTGGCACAATTGTCTGGCACCTTGTCGCTTGTATCACCTTTGATTCAAAAGCAGGATACGATCATGAACGAACCCCAACTAGTGCATGCTTGAAAATCTTGGGTACACACGTACCGTTTTGCTTGCTCAAGCGCGCCTAATTCAAGCATGCATAATTAAAATCAATTCAATCCTCAAGCTGCTTGTACAATTACAAAGCTTGCACCACATTTCCCTACAGATATTCAAGCGAGCTTGTACAAAAACATTGAACAAGCATGCTGGACAAGCTTGCAGTTGTGTCTGTAGAAACCTTTAGCAATGTAGTGGCGCGGCGCTAATAATACAAACAAGTTTGAACATGCATCATTTTGTTTTGATTTCTTTGTTTTGTGTCAGTTAGCAGTTATTGTGAGTACTGAGTTCTACAGAGTGAATTTATTTAATTGTTTTCCTTTTTCCCTTTTGTTCTAAAATCGGACTCTAGTTCTGTACTAGAATTTTCAGACTCGAATTCTGGACTCGAATTTCTAGACTCGAGTTCGGCTGGACTCCATCAAAACAGCGACTCGGCACATCACTACAAAACATATAACATATACACTGTTGCTGTTGTGTATGTCTAGTTCTTTGTTCAGCTGTGTTGCCAGCTGAATCTCAGCTATCAGTCTTGTGTTTTGTGTGGCTATCCAATATTATTGAGACCATCGAATTATCATGTTGCTGCTTGATTGAAAGTTTCGTATTGTCCACCTTCCAAAATCACGATTTGAGCAGAATTGTTCATATGCTGTAACGGTGATAAATACTTGATTTCTATCATTCTGCCATATTTAATTTAACTCTGTTTATTAGCAATAAGTGGGTGATTCACATCACAACACAGTATTTCTACCTTGCTGTACGTGGGTCCACCCAGTAGGAATGACTACTTGAATATCTCTTCCAGAGAAAATAATGTACGCCGATGTACCTATTGGTTTGTCACTTTGGTAGGCAAATTAGCCAAAAGTATGCATAAAAATTACACAATGTTGGCAACAAAAAATGCAATATAAACATACAAGCTTAGCTCCTGATTTATTTGAATTTGTCGATTGGGACATATTAAATCTGTCGGTTTTGAACTGTCAACTGGCTTGGTGGATAATTAATAAGAATTAAGCTGATTTGGCAACATCTACAAGGTGAAAATCGTACTGACATTTGACGTGACGTAAGTGTAAGTGTCAGCAGCGCCACCTTCAACTAAGTTAGTTGAAGGTGGCGCTGGTGTCAGTAATCAAATTCAAGCGAATAACCAAATGGAAATGGTATTTACCATTTTGGATTGGTATTTACCGATCCGTTCAAGCCAGTGTGGTTATCAGTTTGGTTATAAGATCCGTGACGTCATGAATCAGCTGTTATATGTCATAGTTATCACCGCAAAATTGTGGTATTTACCCAACTCGGGAGTAGTTTTATATTTCTGGTTATTATTTGACATGTGACAAGTTAGAATTTTGCCGGGTATTGGATATTTTTATTGTACTTCAGCTTCATTTTTGGGAAACTTGATGCAGGCTGACTTCAGTTTTAGCATAAGAGAGCACCTTATTATTTATAACCATTACTGTTGTTGGGTACACTTTAAATCCAGTTCCTACGCTTAACAAAGTATCCTGTATAGCCATATACCACAAGAATATTAAAATATGGCTGTATAAACTCACTGGATGATGTCCATCTGAATACGGTTTTGTTAATATCTTTTTTTCATCGCTTTTTCATCATTTCTGCTAAATCAATAAATATTTTCTTTGACATGCGGAAAAGTTTAGAGAATTGAAATTTATCATAGCTACAAAGCCATGGTTCCATCAGTAAAAAAAATTTTCTGAAAAAAAAAACTTTCCTCCCATTAATATTATGAAAGTTTTCTTTTTTTCAACTTTCCATACCCCGTTGTGGACGAAAAAGCACCGATTATTAAGTGATAATAAAAATAATCAGAAATTATATACGCGCTTTTCTAAAATAAACAACTTGCAACAAACCGCGGTTAAAACCAACGCGTTCAAGCGATTCGAGTATCTGACGTCATCATCCCCTATGTCATCTTGAACCATATTATAACCGCGGTACATAATACGGAAATTTTGGTTATCCGCTTGGATTTGATTAGTGTATATGTTTTGTGGTGTTATGACTTATGACATTTTACTTTGAGAGGAATGAACATATTTATGGAATGGGTGTTATATGGTATTTTTTCTTTTTCACACAAAAATTAAGGTAAATAACTCCACAGATAGCGATACAAATAATCATTTTATTTATCTAACAATGACTCATTAATGTTTACATGCTCCTTGGTGTATTATTTTAGTACTGTGGGCGGTTAGCCTATTGATGACAGGTGTCAATAAAAATATTTCGTATGTTTATAGCTTTTATTAGTAACAATTTATATAAATGAATGAAGTATATATATTTTTGCTATAGATGTGCTGACTAAATTCCATCCGCAGCCCCGTAAGCTTTATAGCCATAGTTGCGGAATGCAGATCATTACAGTGCACATAAGGTTTCAACACTCTTACATGGGATGAATGAAGACGATCTGCTGAAGAGGTCTGCCGAAGAGCGAGAAAAAATCTTCAAGCGATATGAGCAAGGACGAGAAGGGGCTCAGATCGACCCATGGGAAGACCCAGGGTTTGAGGTCTACCATGCCACAGATAGATATGGTTTCATCCATGATAAAAGACTTCCCTCCAAAGTGGACCCACAGGTATTTTGTACTCTCACGTTATTTGTTGAGAATCCTTATGATATTCCTAATCCTATATAAGTTAAGAGACTGTGATACTTGGTACACACATCTGAATATACCTACAGTGTGTTTCAAGAAATTGCTATAACAGTAACTATTCATGAACTTTTGTGATAAGGATATCATATGTATAATCAATTTTCAGAATAATATTAATTAAGTGATTAATATTCTACCTGAACATCTGCTCAAAGTGTGTTGATAGATATTCAAAAGTAGGACAAAGGATGTGTGTCACCTCATACAAAATAAAATCAATATGGATTATTTCAAGTTTCTTTGTTATTATAACTTAATTTTTATTGATAAACAGGATAAACATCCCCATTTCAGCAATAAATTCACAGTAACAAATATATAGACACTTACATTTACTCAAACTCTTGTGACTTTAAAAAGTCATTCAAATTAAGAAATATGCTGAATACATATAGATATAAGAATAGATTCTAGGCCAAAAGAAGTCCAGTTGAATAAGAAACACAATGTCAGCATATTGCAAAAACAATATAACTTAATTTTTCTACTATATACTTGAGTCAAGTACATTTCCACACCTGTTATGGATAAAACTGTTCAGTTTATTTTCTCTGAACTGTATCTCCCATTTTCTGATCTGATGTGTCAAGTATTGTCAAACTATTAAATCCCAATTGCTAAAAGCTTCATTTTGGATGTTTTGCAGTAACCTGATTAGATATACTATAGTTCCAGCAGATAGTTGAAAAACATTCAAAACACATATAGTTTTACAATTTGTATAAAAAACATGAAACATGTATTCAAAATCTTTTATATCAACAAAAATATTAAATAAGTCTGCTACAACAGTTTCATAATTAAGTATCCTTTTCCTAGACAAAGTTTTACTTTCAATAGATGGAATAGATTGCTTAAATTCGTTTTTCAATTATGATCCTCATTTTACACCCATATGTTTGAAAAAAAAAATGTATTTGAAATTCATATAGTGAAAGAGAACTCATGTAATTCTCCTGAATTTTCTGCTGGAGGAATCAGCTAATAGGATTTGACTTTGTTCTGGACACCAATGATGTGATCAGACATTTCATGTCAAACATTATAGAATAAAGGTTATTTTCCTCACATCAGATAGAAGCCTCCATGGCAAAAGTAAGGTTTCATTCTAATGATATGATGTGGATAAACTTATTTCATGTCACACTAGAACAAATGTCACTGCTTTGGCAAGTACTTAAATGTTTCAAGTGTCACAGGCATGTTTATATTAATATATTTTTTGTCAACAAAACATTGAAATTGTCAAAATAACTGTTGTCCCTAGCATGTTCTTGTATCTTTATAGGAAGCTAAAAAAGTGCAGATTGAAATAGAACGTCAAAGGAAATGGTTGAAGATGATAAAGAATTGGGATAGCACTCACACAAAGGAAAAACTAGCATCTAGAGTGTACAAAGGCATTCCAAATTCATTAAGATCAGACGTTTGGTGTAAATTATTGCAAATAGAAAAGATAAAAAATGAAAATAAAGGAAAGTATGCAGAGATGATGAAGTTAGCAAGAAAGTATTCCACAGATGCCAGGCAGATTGATTCTGATGTTAATAGGCAGTTTAGGGAACATTTACATTATAGGTTGGTAATATTGCATAGAATTTGGCACAGCATATTTAATACACAGCAGCAAAGCTCTCTGAAAATTATGCTGAAAGAATCTTTGGGTGAATTGGTGATGTTGAGAGTTGAGCATATGCTGTGAAATGCTTACAGATGCAGTCATGTCCTCTGGCTGGCACTGTGTGGTCATCCTCATGGTAAACATTTTAAATAGTTGGTTTTCCTTGACAGCTGAAGTAAAAGTGAGTTGCTGGAATGCTCTGCATAATAAGATAATGCGCGAACCTCTCTTAACATAACTCATGAAACTTATCCTGTGGTTTTATGTTCATAGAACTCCATTGTTTGGCTGAATAAAACTACATAATGCTTTAAATTCTCTTTATTTACAACATTTTGGCCACCACAGTGGTCTTTTTTAAGTACTGGAATAAAGAGAAATTGAAACATACAGTCATTGAATTCCTGTCAATGTACACCATTTACTCTCTGAGAGACGATTCCCAAATCAAGCACATGGTGAAAGAAAAATTTCATTTTCTTACGAGGACGTCATCCTAGAAGCTGTTCTAGAAGACCTGTGTTCTTCAGTACATAACTAAAAGCAAGCATGGGAGTGCCCAAAAGTACAGCCTCACTGAATCTTGCAACATTTCACAATTTTATGTGCTGATGGGTCAACATTTAAAAAAGATGGCTACATGAATCAACACAAATTACACAAGTGGCATGTAGAAAATTCACATTTGATGATACAAGACAAATCACATAAAGTAAACTTGAGGGTCAGGATTTTATTCATTGTACCCTTTGAGCTGCCAGAGCTCTTGAATGGCAAAATCTATTTACTTATTACAAAATCATTTACCAAATTTATTGGAAGACATGCCATTTATAGAGACATGTGGTACCAGCAAGATGACTGCCCAATGCACTATGCATTTAGTTAGAGGATCCACTCAATGTTTGTTTACTGGGAGCGGTCAAAAAAAAGTTTAGTCAAAGCCAGTCGAAAATTTAGCTGACCTACAGGACAGAATGATGGAAGAAGCTAAATTTGTTCTAACGGAAGTTTCGCCCGTCTGATAACCCGATCATTTTTAGGAAGATGTCAAGCTTGCTTTGCGGCAGAATGAAGGCACTTTGAACATTTATTGTGAATTTTATACCTTTACGAATTAATAAAAGTGGCGTTGCTGTCTTGCTGTCACTACGTAGAATGACACCGTCCATCACTCTGTCTAAGAAAAAATTTAATTTGTAGTAATGGGTATTGAGAACTAAAAGATCATCACAGGGGGTAGATTTTTCCGATCTTTTTTATAGTTTTCTGATATAATATTGTGATTTGGCCTATCCTCCGTTTCTGGCTTGACGCCGACTTCTGGGACATCCTGTATATGTGGTTTGATTCAGCCAGACTATGGAGTACTATGAGATATATACTGTTGAGTATTGGATATGCTGTGACAATGGGAGACCTGGGGCCATACTCTATAGAACAATAAATATTCTAGGGAAAGGTACAGCATTAAACAGCTGTCACTGTTCAATGTACTAACAGCTTATGCTATGTATAATTCAGAAGTTGGATACTGCCAAGGCATGTCAGGTTTAGCTGGCGTGCTGCTCATGTACATGGACGAAGAGGATGCCTTTTGGGCAGTTCATGTTCTCCTCACAGACCCTAAATATGCTATGCATGGCCTGTACAAGGAGGGGTTTCCAAAACTTACGCGTTTTTTGGCGCATCATGACAAAATCCTGATGAAATTACTGCCCAAGATAAAGAAACACTTTGACAGGCATGGTCTTGATGCGATTTTGTACTCTCTAAAGTGGTTCTTTGTCTGCTTCATTGAAAGGGTAAGTAACCACTTTCTTCTTCAGATAATCCCTGTAACATATACATGATCTGTTATGACAACTTTATATTTTCACAGATTATCTTAACTTTCATAAAAAACAATTTTATAGGGCTGCTTAAGAGAGAATGAGATTCAAGCATTAGTTCAGAAAAGTACTCGAGAAAATCGACTGTTCCATTTATGAAATATTTTAATATATCTTTTTTTTGTTTTGTTACAAAGTTCATAAAACACTGGATTCCATCATAATTGATATTTGGATATTAATTCATTTTATACAAGAATTATGTTGTTAGAATTGTCTGAAAAAGCTTATTGAATTATTAAGCTACAAAACTGTTGAGTTCATAGTCTCTGTCGCTTCGGACAACGCGGTTTGAAGAGAAAGTACAGTTTTGTTGCTGTTAAGCATGTTGTGTGCCCGACGATCTAAGATAAATTTTATCTTTGAGTATTGTGCTAGACATTCCTTAAGTACAACCAGTATGCATTGATTGCTGAATACTAAAGGAGACAATCACAACCACGCCAATGCAAAATTATTGACGGCAGCAATCATTAAATTAAGTAGGTCAAATGTCAAGCCTATGAACAATATACAACAATTTAGGTGATCTAAACTTGGCAACACGCATGTGATGTTATTTCGAACCTTTAGCTTTAATATAACTTTGTGTTGAAATTAAATCAATTTTTTTGAATTGTAGGTTCCTTTTAGTTTATGTTTACGGATATGGGATATTTATTTATTAGATGGAGAAAGAGTGATTACAGCAATGGCCTATACAATACTCAAATTGCATAAACGAAATTTGTTGAAACTAAATGATATGGATTCAATTGTAAATTATATACAGGTGGGTGACATTGCAGGTAAAATTTGTCCCTTTCTCAAAGTAACTGGTATGGCATTAACACCACAATTACTTTAACTTGTGGTGCTATTTAGTAGCCAGCAGACACACATCTTGATAGAGAAACATTTTCAGGTTAAGTTGTACAAAGATTTTCTCTATGATGAAGATACAGCAATATATCATTTAAAGCATTCTATGGACGAACTGAAGAAACATAAATTAGATCTCCCAGGACCTCCCTCAAAAGAAGAATTACCTATTGGTCCATTTGGTGTATTCAAAGAGCCCACTTTCGATCAGATTGTCGGGTTTAGAAAAGAGACGTTTACAGAAACAGAGAAGGTAGATAATTTTTATTTCAAATTGTGGCCCCATGTTACCCTTTTCCTTGATCCATCCTCACTTATTCCTATTCCTTTTTTCCTACAGAGCAGGGATGTTTCTCCAAGAATACCGTCGCATGCAGTGAAACGAATGATTCATGTTTGAGGACTTGTTCCGTATACTTTGGAATTATACATTGATCTGTGGTAAAAAGTACTTTATACAAGTTTTTCAGTATCGCCCTTTCTGAAGGCTCTCTCGAAAATGATAATGGAAGATGTAAAGGGATTATTTTTTCAATGGTTGTTGTCATTAAGGTGCACATGGTTACATGCCATATTTTATTTTCAGTAGATATATAGATATTGGTATGTATATCAGCATATTTTGCGCCATATATTTATTAGTGAAGTCTTTGTTACGTGGATAATAATTCAAAACTTAACAGCCATTTTCGGTTTTCAGTCAATGGTTTAATTATAGCATTTTAGTATGTTCGCTACTTTTCACTCAAAGGAATCTGTTCTAGCATAGGGCACAAATTACGCTATCGATTTCGTCAGTCAATCAATAACTGCCGAAATATACTGAGATATTAATAACGAAGGGTACTATAAAAGTTTTACAATACAGCTTTATTTACTGACTTTCAAAGTAATTTCCACCACATTCAATACACTTCTCTATCCGCCAAAACCAGTCCTTAAACCAGCTCTGCCAAGTTTCACCCGGGAGTGCGGCACAAGGCGCAGGGAGCGAGATCTGGACTGTAAGGAGGGTGTTCAATAAGTTTTAGTCCAGTAGTGGTCAAATACTCGGTGCAGGCTTTGGCGCGGTGAGATGGAGCGTTGTCATGGTGAAGGTACCAAGTGTCCATTCTTGACTTTGTTCGCAGGTTTTTCATAGATTCTATAACCTTAGGCAGGTACTATTCCGTGTACCACTTAGCTGTGACTGTCTTTTGTGTGTCAAAAATGACACGCTCCACAATCCCGATTGATTTGAAAAATACAGCTATCATTTTTTTTCTTAACTGATCGGGATTTTCTGACAGCTACGGGTGTGTTCTCACCATCAAAGACCCAATCTTTTTTTTGAGCCTTGGTCGTCACATCGTAATAATACAGCAAAGACTCGTCACCTGTCACGATACTTTTCACATACCGAGATTGCCGCTTATCAAACATTGTCAGAGAGAACAAAGTTTCCTTATGTGTAAAAGGTCATGCAGAATTGAATCAATTGCTGGTGCATGAAGGTGTAAGGTCTCCTCTATATGTTGGTATGTCAGTCTACGGTCTTCGTCAAACATTTTCCTCACAGCAGTAATCTTTTCCTCTGTTACTGACGTTCGCGGCTTTCCTTCCCTCTCAGCGTCCTCCTTACTGAAATTGCCCCTTTGGATTTCTCTGTACCACCTGAATATAGTCGTACGATGAGGACAATCATTCTTTAATGCAAGCGTCATTTCTTGTAACCACTTGTCTATGCTTAAACAACGCGTAAAGTTGCCCTTATCTCACTACGTAACCACGATGCCATAGTCCGCACTTTACACTGTCATAACGAATGAAAATCTAGATCAACAGACGTGCTGCTGGCGGCTACTATGCATTCATGGACACGTCTCAACATGCAACCTCCTGCTTAGGTTTGTTAAGTCTTATTACAAAACTTTTATAGTACCCTTTGTACCTTTTGATATTTTCATACTATAATATACTTTATGCCACTTTGAGAATCTGAACAAAAGCAGTCAATGCGTGTATGCGGTTGTGAATATTGTGTTTTAAAATATTACTGTTCAAGTTGGTTCGTACCGCTGAATACATGCACGAAACTAAGAGTATACTTGTCAAGTACAGTTACGGGTAGACACAACTAGACGATTTGTGTAGATGTCTATAGATTTGTTTGTGTCCCCCGTACTCGCCCGAACCAAAATATATACCTGATTGTGTACGGCGAGAAACAAACAAATGATTCCAAAATCCGTCTAGTGCTCATAGTGTGATGCGCGGGATGCGGACTTGTGGCCCAGTAGTTAGTCTATGCAGGTATTAGGTAGCTTTTATTGACAAACGTTTTTCAAGAGCATAAATATGATCCCGTGATGAATGGTTCTGAATCTGAAGTAAATAAAAAACTTAGTTTTCCTTCATTAGAATGTTATTATTAATCGAATCTTAAAGTACACACGACAGTACATTGGGAAAATGGCATCCTTGGCGTTGCTGGCGCATACATACCTCTGACAAAATTTTCCATGACCATTTTGCATACATGTGGTGTGAGAATTTGGTTGAGGACTGTGGAGCTGTCAGCATCGACGGGTGACTTGAAAAAAACATGTAAAAAGAAAAAATCCAATGCTGTTGAATCAGATGATGTATGTGGCCAATCAAAGGCGTACCCAGCTCAAAACAGAAGAGGACATCTTCAAAAAAAAAATTGGTTGGAAGTTCCACAAATTATATCTACTTTACTATCCTTAATATTTTGCTTTCCGTTTGGATTTCAATGTTTTAACCATTGATATAGAGTCTTCCACGATGATTTGAGAATTCATATGGATATGGAATACTACTAGAATTACTTTTTGAAAACTTCATGCAAATATTGCACGAGATGATTTTTTAAGTGATAATTTAGGCGTTTGCAATACTTTGAAGCAACACTTAAGATTTCTGAAGAAGTTTTGCAATACCGCAAATTTTATACAGGGTGACTTTGAAGTTGTGTCATTAATTTTCAGATAATGATTGTAGAAGGGAGATAAACCAAAATATGTGTGTAAAAATAAAGAAAAAATTTTACCTTGTTTTATAAAGTATCCTCCCGACAAGTATTTCAGTGCGGACCTGTATTTGATCGTGAGGTCTTGGAGCACCGGCATGCCGTCACCTGATTCACGAGCCCGTTGTACTACATTAACAAAGGCACGAGGGGTTGGTTGCACTCGATTGGGAAACCGATCCGCATAAACATGTGCCATTTTTCATTTCGTTTGAGCCACGCAACAGACACCACTATTCACTGACACTGACTGTATACAAATGAATAAAATAATTGTAAAAACATCGTTCCAAATTCTTTCGCTTTTTTGTTTCCGATGCGATGAACCGATACGGCGGATTATATCCGTTGTCGCCAAACACGAGCACATAATATTATTATTGAGACAGGGCGGTACTCAAACTTCCAAAGGGCTATAACTTTGTTACTTTAATTTTACCAGAAAAATGGTAAAGGAAAAAAACATTTCTTTTGATCAGATCTACTCACTGTTAAAATAAATGACTTAACTTCGAAGTCACCCTGTATATCCAGGTATAAAATTCGTCATATCTGAGCCATATGATTTTTTCAAATTTTTGGGCGTACATCTCTCTCAAAATTCATACAAGTTATTCATTTTTTCAGTCAAGTCAGGAAGCCAAGGAAGTACTATAATCTTCAAATAAAATAACGATTTTTAGATATATCATAGTAGGTACATTTTTTGTGGCGTCTGTCAGCTAATTCTTGGCCCTCTATTAGACAGAAAAATATTTAGTTTTTGCTAATAGGTCTGGTTGAGATAGAATAATCACTAACTAATCATCATTTTAGTAGTACCGGTATTATGGTTAAACTTGACTTCATCTTTTTTTTTTCGTTTCTGCTGATTTTGGACAGAATCAAAAATTTCTTTAGGGGAGACAAAATTCAAGAAAGTCAAACTTGGCTTTTTGATATATTTTAAGACGTATTCAAGAGTTTATTTGAGGGATTCAAAATTTGTGAAATCCAGCAAAACTCGTTTTTTAAATTCTGATCATCCAGTCACTGTTGTGTAACTCCAAACACAACAAGAGGTGTGCAATTCGACAATATGTGGGGTGGAATCTGAGTTGAAAAATTGGGAAACTGCTGTTGCAATATGTTATCTAGGAACGTCACAATACTTATTTGATCACACTAACTAGCCTAAAGTGAACCCTGCTGTAGAAGAAATTGCATACAAGGATTTTACAAAAGAATTATATATTCTTTAGAGTGACTGCAAGGACTCCTCGTCTCGAAGTGAGAAATTCTAGTAGTAGTAGTAGAAAGATTTATTTAGCACATTTGGCTACATAAACAGAATAATTGTTAACAACTTAGAACTAGTAAATTCAAGCCATATGGTGTATGATGTAAATGCTGGGCAACCTATAATTGTAGATTTAACCAGTGATTTCTCAATTTTACTTTAAATTTTGTCAAAGTTTTCTGGTCTTTTATCTCTGAGTATAATTTATTATATTCAATCAACCCTTGATGGAATACAGAATTGTAGCATATGTTATAATTTTTGGTCATTAAATGGAATCTTTATTTCTGGTATTATGTAAATGATGGTCGACATTTGATGCTGTTAAATTAGTTAGACTTGATGGAAATATATTATTATATATATAAATGAATATCATTACAAGATATTTGATAAAATTTTTTACATTGAGCCATTTTAATTTGCTAAGCATTTGCCTAATTGGAGTATATTTATCTTTATTTAGTATTATTCGCATGCACTTATTTTGTAAAATTTGCTGTCTTTCAAAAATGGAATTATTTGCTAAATATAGAATAGTCGAACAGTACAAGAAATTTGGAAGAATGATGGTAAATATCCCACTTTACTACTAATCTTATTATAACTTTTTCATAATGAATATCAAAAATTAATCTAGGTAACTTTTTTTATCAAACTTCAAATTTATACTAAGTGACATATAAATCCGAACACCCAGTTTAAATGGTTTTATTTTAATAAAAGTTGGTGAATGTATTTATCTTACTGTAAATAACAAGTGAACAAATTTTCATCCTTATCAGTTGGACATTCCGGTTTTTATACTGCTTTTTTTTAATTCACTAACGCTCTAAAAATGAATATTTCAGCCGCAGTAAAGAATCAACGTTGGCGGATTTTGGTTCTTGACATCCTTTACGATCGGTTACGATGCCTAGAGTACGGAGACCTGTACGATTGCGTCAACTTAGTGAGTTTGATAGGGGCCGTATAGTGGGACTTCGGGAAGCTGGACTTTCTTTTCCGGCAATTGCAGTTAGAGTGCAAAGAAGTGTAGACCTGTGGTTAGGTGTTGTCAGGCATGGCTTCGAGAAGGCCGTACGCAAAGATCAAGGGGCACTGGACGCCGCCGTAGAACAACAGACCGTGAAGATCGCCGCCTAAGATTATTGGCCTTAAGGGACCGTTTCTCCACTACCAGGTCCATTGCAAATGAATGGTTTGCAGAACACGGAAGACCTATTGGCATGCGAAGTGTTTACCGACGAATGAGAAGTTTTGGCTTGTTTTCATACCGGCCACACTGGGTCCTCCCTTTAACTCGAGAACACCGACGTAATCGCCTTGAGTGGTGCAGACAACGGTCACTCTGGGATCAGAAATGGAACAGTATTGTCTTTAGTGACGAGTCTCGATTTTGTTTAGGCATGCACGATGGTCGTGCCAGGGTTAGAAGGCGACGTGGTGAAAGGAGGAATCCACAGTTTTTTGTTGAAAGACATGTTCATCACACTGTTGGAGTTATGGTTTGGGGTGCTATAGCTTATGGTTCCAGGTCACCGTTAATCTTCATCAGAGGTAACATGAACGCGCAGCATTATATCCACGAAGTTCTAGAACCCCATCTTTTACCCTATCTTGACACCCTGGCAGATCCAACTTTCCAACAAGATAATGCCCGACCACAAGTTGCAAGAGTCACAATAGACTTCTTTCAACATAATGATGTCACATTGTTACCATGGCCACCAAGATCTCCCGACTTATCCCCAATTGAGCACGTGTGGGATATGATAGGTAGGAGACTGCTCAATTTGCAACGTCCTCCTCAGACTCTAGAAGCACTTCGAGAGGAGTTGGTGGTTGCCTGGACTGAGATACCACAGGAGGACATTGACCACCTGATCAGAAGCATGCCTAGGCGCGTTGGAGAATGCGTAGCACATCAGGGTGCATCCACACATTATTAAAGGTCAAAGGGCTTTAAAGCAGTGCAATCATTTTGAAATTTTTAACATTTACTTATTATGCTTCATTAAGTACTTATACAAAATTTTATTAAAATAAAACCATTTAAACTGGGTGTTCGGATTTGTATGTCACTTAGTATATAAGTCTATAGAAGTATTGTAGGGAATGAATATACTTTCAAAATGAGAACTAATAGATATGACTAGTTCACTGCAACGGTTAATTACTTGTTCCATAAAATCGTTTATTTTTTGCCGAAAAGTGCATAAAAGTAAACATGAAATAATAGCAAAAAATGAAAGCGTTTGTAGTGATTAACATCAAGTTGTCAAAATTGCTCAAGCTACCCAGCGACGTAACAACAAGTTAGGCATGCGGGGCGAGTTTTTAGTATGTAATTGGTCAATATCTCCATTACTATAAAAGATAATCAAAAATGTTATTTACAACAATTGTACGATTCCTACTTGGGAAATATACTGCCGTCTACAGGGTGATTCATAACGACATAACAGAACATTTTTAGTATATCCTATATGCCACTTCAAAGGAAGAAGTTTTGATATAGCTGCACATTATACTAATTTCGGAAACAATTTCTCTTTGTTGATATTTATTCGTTATATAGTTTTATAAAATACTTAACTAGAAGAATATCCTATAACCTAGTTTCTTCTGGAGTGATTTGAAAAACAAAGTTGTCATATTTTCACCATTGTCGTCTTCGAAACGGTAAGAGACACGGGTCGGTTGAATGGCGGCAAAGTTGTGTGATCATATATATTGCAGAAAACTGATTTGAAAAGTTTGGACGCTTCGAGTATCTCCGGGGATACCCGGAAAAGGAAACGAATTTTTTCAAAATCGTATCTAAATGTTTCGGAATTTGTTTGGGATAGGATTTTAGAATAAACTTCACATTAACATTACCACTTTTGACCTCTAGAAGGTGGCATAAATAGAATATCAATATGATTTTTCGTCGTTGATTTTTTTTTATGTATGCATTATCTGGATAAGTGAATAGTTTTGAATTCCGATTTAAAATATTATACCATTATACATTAATATCGTAAAACTATATTTAAAAAAGGAAATTTCCTAAGTAAGCCTTCAAATTATCATATAGTCATTTATTCCACAAAATATCAAATAATCTTACACTAATCCTAATAATTTTCCATCTGATATACAGGGTGTTTCAGTTTATTGTGACATAACTTTAAGATTCGATAGAACTTTTAAAATTAAAGCATAAAGTCTATATAAACATGGGTCGAAAAATGCGTGGCTTCCGAAATACAGGGTGTTTAAATTTACTTTCTAAAATAGTTTTTTTAAATATTTCGAACAATATTTGATGTATAACAGTGAAAATTGGTGATAGTTTTACTGTATCCGCTAGAGGGCGCTCTCTACTATACCTGTAGTGTATTAAAATGACGGAAAATTTTTTCTTAGTGCGATTTTTTGCTTTTTGAATAAAAAAACTGATTCTTCGCACTTTTCAACATAAAAAAGCTCTCCTGTGAGTTTTCGTTATAGTTAGCCGTTTTTGAGATATTTCGATTTTTAAGGTTCGATGCATTTTTAATTATTTATGATAAAATAACGTTAAAAAGTCAGTATCTCGATAATTTTTAAATATTTTTGAAATTGAAAGTAGAATAAGGTTAAACGTCAATTAGTTGACAGTTAGTTTTGTTGTCTGTTGAAACCTGAAACGTTTTTTTGCAATTGCGAATGCACGAAATTTAGTTTCTTCTACCTGTTTTTTTTTTAACTTTTATAAAAATGCCATTTTTATTCACCAATCAAGAGTTAGCGGATATTCATTTTGTGTATGGCTTTGTAAATGGAAACGCAGCAGAAGCAGCCAGAGAATACGCACGAAGATTTCCAAACAGACGACATGCAACTCGCTCAGTATTTGTAAGACTGCATCGCCAAATAATTGAAAATGGTTTTGGAAATCTCCAAAGGCATCAAAACATAAATGTTCGTCAGCGCAGATTTACCCGTATGATTCTGCGTGAGTTTGATAGAGATCCGACCACAAGTGTTAGGAGAGTTTCTGGTGCCTTAGGAATTTCAGCAAGCCATGTTCACCGTGTTTTTAGAAATAACCATAGACGTCCTTACCATTTGCAACCTGTGCAAGGACTACAGCCAGGGGACGGAGAACCAAGAATCACATTTTGTCAGTGGATTCTTGATAGAATCGATAATAATAGGGAGTTTTTAAGTAACGTTTTATGGACCGATGAGTCATGCTTCACTAGACGTGGAGTGGTAAATTTTCATAATCAACATATTTGGTCGCATGAAAATCCGCATGCAGTTCGGGAAAGAAATGTTCAGCATGAATTTAGTGTGAACGTGTGGATTGGTATCTACCGTAATCGACTATTTGGACCCTACCTTTTGCCTGCAAGGTTAAATGCTGCGACCTTCTTGGAATTTTTAAAGGCTGAACATGCAAATATGTAGGATGATGTTATGTTAGATTTAAGAAGATTGGCCTGGTTCCAGCTTGATGGTTTTCCAGCTCATTATTCGAGAATAGTTAGAAACTGGCTGGACGAAAATTATCCAGAAAGATGGATTGGCCGTGGAGGACCAGTCGCCTGGCCTCCACGATCCCCTGACCTAAATCCATTAGATTTATTTGTGTGGGGATTTCTAAAAGAAAAAGTGTACCAGACTCCCGTAACCACAAGAGATATGCTAATAGACAGAATCAGGAATGCATGTGATGAAATAAGGCCTTATTTGAATAATGCCACGTTCGATCATTCGTAGATGTGAATTGTGTATTGAACAATTGGGTTTACATTTCGAGCAACTACTTTAGATTTTGTATATTTGTCCTAACTATCCAATAGCATTTTAGTTGTAAATAATTAATTTAATTTGTTAAAAATAATATTGGAAAATTAAACAAATTAATATTCTGTTTTTTTGTGTTTATTTGGAGTTAGGAATTATTGCTGTGTTTAAAAACACAATCAAAACGATCATCTTAATTACTTGTAATGCCCAAATCGAAAATGTAAAAAAAATATTATTGTCCCATAAATAATTAAAAATGCATCGAACCTTAAAAATCGAAATATCTCAAAAACGGCTAACTATAACGAAAACTCACAGGAGAGCTTTTTTATGTTGGAAAGTGCGAAGAATCATTTTCTTTTATTCAAAAAGCAAAAAATTGCACTAAGTAAAAATGTTCGGTCATTTTAATACACTACAGGTACAGTAGAGAGCGCCCTCTAGCGGCTACAGTAAAACTATGCCCATGGTTCGTTTTGTCGTACCAAAAAACCCTTGTATACCAATTTTCACTGTTATACATCAGATATTGTTCGGAAAATTAAAAAAAACTATTTTAGAAAGTAAATTTAAACACCCTGTATTTCAGAAGCCACGCATTTTTCGACCCATGTGTATATAGACTTTATGCATTAATTTTAAAAGTTCTATCGAATCTTAAAGTTATGCAACAATAAACTGAAACACCCTGTATAATATAAAAAACGTTCTTTTCGTTTAATTTTTGCCGAGATAGACGGACTGCTCCCTTGCCTCCCCCCCTGGGTACGCTCATGGGGACAATTCCGATCACCAAAACGAGAGAGTGTGCGACCAGAAAATTTAGACAGAAAGGTCAGACTAAAGGAAAATTTCGACATAAGAATGTGTGCCATATGATGTTTTTCTACTTTGTTTCAAATTTGCGTGAATTATGCATCACCTTTTTGAATACCAACGTTAATTTTTGTTTACAGGAGACCAACAAGATAGTGACTCTAGCGAGCGAATCAGCAAAGGAAGCTGCAGAAAAGGACAAAGAGTGTCAACTGAGTGTCAACGATTCGGTCGGCTTTACAGGTACAGATACCAGCCAAAATAATTCCACTATGGGTAGTTGCACCACCTTGGCTAGTAAGAGCAGTACGTGTGATGATGACAATGGTAGCGAGAGTGGCGTTGAGGAATGTACTAGGCTTTAACGTACAGCTTCTTTTCTTTACCAATCGCCAGGAAGATTACTTAACCCTGCGGCGGGCGCCCCTTTGAAAATCCCATGAGCGGTCGCACCGCGGTAGGTAATCTATACCGCAGGTAAAATAATTCTAGCCTCACTAGTAAAATGGATTTAAATAGAAAAATACATACAATACTAAACAATTATAGTCGTAGTAAATGCTTTATTTATTAAATAAGTATTGTAACTCAAAATAAATACAAAAAAATCAAGAGATTCTCAAGTAATAAAAATCAAAAATACATTTCTACAAGTAAACGTTTTACAAAAAGGAATGTATGTATATATATATATATATATATAAATTATATACGAGTATATATAGTTTTTAAAAATTAGTCTTGCTCCATTGGGAGATAAAGACAACTATTACATTGCACCAATTTTTCACAGTGTGATTTACAAACAAATCTTTTGCATTGGCTACAAGTAACTGTTGTTTTATTTTTGTGTGCACTGCATATATGACAACGACCAATCCGATTTTCAGTCAGTGCGACAGGGACATTAACAGGAGTGTTGTAGCGAGATAGGAATTCCCGGATGTCCTTAGGAAGTGTTTCTATCTTAGCGCGTTCCTTTAGATGATTTTCCATAAGGGATGAACCTAGAGAGGTCAAATACTTCCTTCTTCTTGGCGGCGTATCTACTGGTCTATTATTATTGATTATAATTTCGGAGTTTATTCCTGCAATATCTAAAATTCTAAAGAATATTGCTAGAGGCCACCTTCTTGTGATTCTTTGTGTTGTATACGAAGAGCATTTTTGGTCGACTGTATCGACGCCAGATTTTGTTCTGTTATAATGTAATATTATTTCTGGTTTTTGTGTTTCCTCATCAATTTCATCGTTGTTATGCATGGTGGACAGCAAAATTACAGCTTTATTTCTTTTAGAAACATGGGATACTAAAGTGACATCAGGTTGGAATCCAAACATAGACGATCCAACTGTGCTCGGTAGGAATTCAGGCGGTAATTCCCTTTTGTTTTTTTTAGTGTACCAGTCAAAGTTAGACCATTTTTTAAAAGATATTCTGCCAATTCATAACTAGTGTAATAATTATCTGTAGTTAAATTTCTTTTAGTGTTTTTTATTGGCTCCACTAGTCTCTGCACAATATCGAATGGTTTGTTTGAATTTTTGAAGGGTCTCTCACGTTGTAATCCACAATATATTTCAAATTTCCAAGTGTAATACGTTTTACTGTCACAAAGAGCATATAATTTGATGCCATATTTAGCAGGTTTCAGTGGCATATACTGAACAAATCCGCATCGTCCTCGGAATGGATGTAACATCTCGTCTATTGTGATAAACTCCCCCAAACTATAATGTTCCATGCAATTTTTGACAAAATCCTCAAATATCGTTCTTATCGCTGCTAATTTATCAAATTTCTCGCGTTCTTTTCTTGTTGTTATATCATAGAAACGAAGGGCACGAAGAAGAAACAAAAATCTTTTATAACTGAATAGTGCTCTTAACAGAATCATTCCAGTACCATCTTTGGCCCAAAGTTCTTCAACATTCACATGGTTTCCTTTTTCTATGGAAATTATGAAAAGTGCTCCAAATAATGCCAAAATTTCCTCGGAAGAAGTTAATTTACAATCTCGGTCTCGTGCAAAATTTGCACGTTTATTTTCTATATAAATATTAGTGCACAATACTATATGGTTCACCATATCCTTAGTCAAAAAAAGAAGAAACGAATCTAACGATTTTGACACATTTTTGGTCGCTCCTTTTGATCCAGGTAAAACTTTGATAATATTCTTAGCCCTGGTTTCGTTACCTTGAATTACAGGGATGCTTTTCCAAATAGTCTCTTCATTTTTTCCAATATAAAAACTTTCATTTTCATTTGGCCCAAAAAAGGATTCGGTTTCTTCGGAAAATTCATCAGCGGACTGCTCCGACCCACTGTTATAGCAATCTTCTTCAATGACTTCCTCTTCTCCTTCGCTTTCACTCTCAAAATCGACAACGTCATCCTCATAATCAGACCAGTTCTCCGCTATGTAACGTAACTCTTTCTCAGTAAGTGGTTTCCTGAAAAATAATTACAAAACTTTGAAAACTAATGGCAGATTGTTTAGACTATTTACAATAAAGTTTTCTGTGCAATATATATATCAAAAATACAAAAGGTATCATTTCAAACTTTACATACATGACCGGTCGCGTTGCGGCACGGAATACCGCAGACCAGCTCTGGTTACTTTGACGCTCCGAAACAAACTGACAGACTTACACCAATAAACTTCGTGCAAGCCAAGCGCTCCTAATATACCGATAGAAAAATGTATTAAAAATTTAAATTGCGGCATTGAGTACCGTTGCGCGACTGGCGAAGGGTTAAACCTTAAGTCAATATGAGTTCGCATAAACGTACGCAAAACTGAAAATAACCTCCACCAAAATAAATGCGCCCCTTGCGGAAGGTGTTTCAGCAAAAGCGGAAAATTGTCAGCGGTAACGATAGGCGTTGCTGACATTGCAAATAGTTATTGGTTGAGCAAAAATCGGCTGAAAGTTTGGTGTCGTATAATGCCTGGAATATCGAAATACATTAGCCGGCTTTTTTGTTTGTTCACTTGGTAATAGGCGCAAGTATTGACTAGAGGCTTCTTTGTAACTCGTCTTGCAATGAAGATAGTGAGTCTTACCTGGCGATTGGACTATATTGTACAGCCTTTAGAGCATCCGATCAGTTTTTCTACAGATATTATTGGCTGTACCATTAGTTTTCTTTTCCAAACATCCCTAGGAGTATTAAGTTCTTCCAGTGATTGTTGTTTGATGCAACCATTGAAACCTAACCATCGAATACATGAAAAGTTTTTTAACATATAAGGATACATCTGCATATACACGAGAGATTATTAGCTAACCTTAAATCATCACAGGTGTTGGTGGATGTTCATGAACCATTCTTCCCCCCTCTACTGCGCTTTGGAATGCTTGGGATCTCAAGAAAGTGCTTCGATCGAGCGCTTTTTTTTGTTGTGTATAGACTGATAGCTGTGCTTCCACATACATTTTCACCGTCGCCTGTTTATTTCGCGGTTTTTCATTCCTTTGTTGTTGCGAAGTCGATATTCAAAGTGCTTCCTTCGAGCACTTTTTTGTTGTTGTGTATAGACTGACATAATCAGCTAGATCTGTGAAGATCAGATGCTGCGCCTACAAGTTTCCTGATTGAGCGGGGACGACAGCTGTGCTTCTACATATATTTTCACAGTCGCCTCTTTATTTCGGGTCAGGAGGTACCGGAGTATTTTTCTCTTCGTTTGTTGTTGCGATATGGCATCGCCAGTCTATTTAATGTTTCGAGGAGCTTCCAAGTCAGAATCCATTTTCCATTGCTTTAGTGAGGGACTGTATACAGAGCCATTACAAAATGTAGTGAAATGTAGTTATGAGATAAAAGTGGCTGGTCTTTCCGATTTTTTCCAAGAAGGTTGTGGAAGATCCACACGAAATTGAGGAATGTGCTAGGCTTAAACGTACAGCTTCTTTCCTTTGCCAATCGCCAGGAAGATTCCTTAAATCTTGTGTGGTCGTATAAATATACGCAAAACTGAAAATTACCTTCACCAAAATAAATGCCTTCGCGGAAGCTGTTGCAGCAAAAGCGAAAAACTGTCAGCGGTAACGGTAGGCGCCATCATCTCCTGAAGCAGTTTTCAGACATCTGCAAATGGTTATTGGTTGATCAAAAATCGGCTGAAAGATAGGAATACATTTGCCGGTTTTTTTTGTTCACTTGGTGATAGGCGCAAGTATCGAGTTATGTTTCTTTCCAATATAGATAGTGAGTCTTACCTGGCGATTGGACTATATTGTACAGCCTTCAAGATAGCCGATCACTTATCTATTTATGTAACTAAAAACACTAAATCTTACAGCTGTTTAGAGTATCCGATCAGTTTCTCTACAGCAATTATTGGCTGTTCCATTAGTTTTCTTTTATAAACATTCCTAGGAGCATTAATTTCTTCCAATGATTGTTGTTTGACTATTGTAACATAACCATCGAATACGTGAAAAGTTTGATAAAAATAAAGGGCACATCTGCCTATACACCACAGAGCGTTAAGTTGATGATAACAAAGGTGTTGGAGCAACCATTCTTGCCTTCTTTACTGCGCTTTGGAATGCTTATTTCGATATTCAAAGTGCTTCCTTTGAGCACTTTTTTGTTGTTGTGTATAGAATGACATAATCAGCTAGATTTGTGAAGATCAGATGCTGCGCCTACAATTTACCTGATTGAGCGGGGACGACAGCTGTGCTTCTACATATATTTTCACAGTCGCCTCTTTATTTCGGGTCAGGAGGTACCGGAGTATTTTTCTCTTCCTTCCTTTGTTGTTGCGATATGGCATCTCCAGTCTCTTTAATGTTTCAAAGAGCTTCCAAGTCAGATTCCATTTTCCATTGCTTTAGGGAGGGACCGTTTATGAAGTCGTAACAAGACGTCTACGCGATGAAATGAAGTGAAATGTAGTTATGAGATAAAAGTGCCTAGTCTTGATGTTTTTTTCCAAGAATGTTGCGGAAGCCTCACATGAAATGCAAGGCCAACATTTGGAGTTTTCATTACCTCTTTAACAATATAGAATTACATTCATTCTATTACATTATTTTACTTCAAAATAAACAAGCCAATTTAACCAAATCGGATTTACTTTATGTATTCGATGAATAGGTTTCAAATAGCATGGTACTCAAAATGTCTGGGAATGAGGAGCAATATATGTGCATTTACTATTTACAATATAAGGAATCACTTCCACCTATTTACATTACTATCATATCAGTGATAGTTGATGCACATAATGAAAATATAAAATAGATGCACCAAATACTATGGTAGTTTTTCATTAAATGTTTTGAAATTATATGATTTTAGGAATCACTGTCATCCAAAAACATTGACATTTTTATCATTTTTTATGGAAAGCTATGCACTAATTTCAGCTACTCACACCTATGACACGAAAGTCACAATTTTACTTTTGGTCATTACAATTTGTTGTCCTAGATTTTTTGTTTATGTAGGCGTTAGACGTACTGTAGTCCTTTTTCCTTTTTACGATTACCTAGTCAGTTGGATTTATTGTGTGTGCGTGTGGTTGTGGGGGCTCAACATTTCTCATGAACGCTTTTTTGGCTGCAAAGGTACATAACAAATACAGACTTTTGTATGTGTTTATGACTAATTTTGGTGGTATGTAATTCTCTGAAAAAGTGTTCATGTTTGTTTTCTGTAATCTAAAATTTTCACCTATCATCAATCACTTTAACCAATTGTATTAACATTTAAAATGTGGATAACTAATGTGTTCATGTGTAGATATAGCATGCAAAAAAAATCATCTGACTAGATTTCGTAAATGAAAGCATACTTAGTTTTTCTATAAGTACTTAGTTGGATATTTTTTTGAATTTCTGTATTACATAATTTGAAATGTATATAGCTTACCAAAAAGCACAAAATGTGATATTATCATTGCGATAATGTTTGCCATAGTTGAAGCAATATTTTCATAAGACTTTTAAACTGTTATTTAGGTAAGTTTTAAGAATCCCAACTACAGTAAGTTTGGAGTGTTTTCAATCATCTGAGCAGTATTGTTGATAGGTAAAAGGGTATTGTCAGAATTAACAGGTTTTCCACATTATTTTGCCAATACTGTTATCATCATTAACCTACCTAGCATTTATCTAGGTACTTAGTGTACAGACGTTTTAAGTTCATATTATTTTTGTATATAAACAGCCAATATTGTAATATATTTTTTTATTTTATGTACTATTAATGGAATAATATAATACCACTCATAACCTGATGGTTTTTGGTTGTCTGTCCTACTTCAATCATCAATTTGCTAACCATATTAACAAAAAACCTCAAAAACTAACTACTAATATTTTTTTTCACTTCTATGCATATTTCTTTTGCTTTGGTAATAAAATGCTTTTTTAAATCTTCAAAGCTGAAAAACCTTGAAGGAATGTGCAGCTATTCTTTTACCATAGCATCGAGGTTAAAATTAAAATATTATTTACACACAGCTTTTGCACAGCAATAGAAAAGCTGTAGATTTGTAGTTTTTAAATGTTTCTGTTGTTACTGAATGTTAAAATAGAGTTATACTTTTAGCGCTGCCTTCTGTCAGCATTTGAAGTGGACTCTTCAAGCTTTTGGTAGGTTTGCATGAATATTATGCATGACTAGATGTTTTTCTACAAAAGTAGACATTTTGTGCTGTTTACTTTGTATACAAAGACATATTGGAATTAAGAGCTCAAGTTATATTTAAACATCAATAAAAGTATGTTACATACTTCCTATGAAACCCACAGAGTGATTAAAAAAATATCATTTCCAATCAGTTAACAAATTCTCTCTTGGAAAAACATTTTATTTGTCCATTTTTATTACGAATTATATCACAGGTACAACTCCACTATACTAAAATGTTCGCAGTTGATTTTTAGTTCTCAATTTTTTCCTCCCAAGGTCTAGGTCCTCTGACTTGTTCCCAGTTATCAATGTCCATATTCTTGATTTTCTCAAATTCTGTTTCAATCGATACTTCTCCAGGTTTTTTCATCTCTATTCCACTTTTTTTGAGCTCATCTGGCCTTATTTGAGACACTTTCGAAAACTGATATCGCAGCTGTGTGAACTCTCTTAAGCCAAAAGAGCCTCCTATCATCAAAACGAAGAACGGAATTCCATATTTGAATAGTCTGTTTCTAAATATTCTTTGTATCTTAGTTGATAAATTCATATTTATTTGAAAGATTTACCTAAAATTTTTAGGTTATCCGTAAACCTAACCCTACTTTTCTGAAACGTCAAACGATCGGCTGATCAAGAGCAGGGGCGTACTAAATAATGCTTTCATGGGGGCGAGTCATAAACAAAAATTGAGTCGAGTAAACTCGACACCTTCTAACATTATCAGAAATATATATTCTCTTAAATCATGCACATATACAACCTCTCAAGAGTTTTTCAAGCTGCAGCAAAAATTTTAAGCAAAAACAGCAATACCCACAACTCGAAGAAAATGACCGCAGAAATTCATTGTCTAACATATATCTATAAACTATAAAACATAGGTATTTTGTTGCTATAGTGCTACGGTATAATACGTAGATATAAAATAACAATATTTTATTTGTTTCAAAGATTTTGAAGTTGACTTTACCATGCAATATTTGGAGTGTATAAGAGATGGTGTACGAATATTGGAGAACAGGGATATTTGGGAAGAGATAGATGATGAACAAGGTATCAGGTGCACCTGTGATTAATCCTGTTCTATTTGGAGTGCTCGATTTATCCCTTTCCTCAACTGATTAACAAGCTTGCTTATTGATCGTGATTTGAAAGTAAAATACGAACTTTTGATCACAAACTTAAAAATATTACCTATTATAGATTTTTTTTTTATTACCCGTTGGTGTTTGTATTTTTCGCAGCTTTTGATGTTTTATAATGATTTGTAATATTATGATAAATCTCAAGGGTGGATTTCGTACATAATTCATTATTTTCTATGCATTAAAATGTAATATTACAAAGTCGTGTTTTGAATTCAAGATAGGATATAAATCGTATTAATAATTTTGTGGTCTAAAGTATCTATTTTGCTTGTATGTAGTATTAAAATATCTATAGGGCACTTGTATTCTGCGCTTTTTATTCCCATAACCGTATGGTATAATACACAATTTTTGAAAAGAATACTCTATCCATTTGATGCAAAATGAACGATATCGCCTTGTTTTTCGAAATTTGCTTCTACTTTTTTAGGACTTTAGGCATTTGCGGTGAAGTGATACATTTTGGAGCAACGAATAAAAATCGTCAAAAGAAGGGAGCACAAACCTTACGGAAATCAGTCCCCGGTCAATCTTGCTCAAACTTTGGGAATAAGCTCTTCATAGCATTCTGATCAAAAGTTCTCATGGGCTCTTGATAATCCTACGAAGCCTTTCCATAATATACAGGGTATCAAAGAAAACTATTTGTGGGCTATAATAATGGTATTCAAGGGCACATACTCACAATGTTGCCCACATCAAAAGTATTTGTGTTAAATGGAAGGTCCTACCTTTTATAGGATAGGCCCTTTTAAAAGAAGGTTGATATAACGGTTTTGATTATTAGTCATTGGGCTATTTGGGTATTTTATATAAAAAAAATACCAAAGTTCAACAACTTGCACATCAGCTGTCAGTGTGCATTAGTGTAGGCATCCAAGTTAAGATGATGAAAGGAAAACATAGATAGTTAGAATTTTGCAGATTTGACAACGACCATAATCTTCAAGGTCATGCCAAAGTCAAGTCACTATTTGATGAGACACTTCATTTTTGATTTCAGACATGAAAAGAGTGGGACATTTCACATTGACCTACAATAGTTGAATGCGTATAATAAATTTGACTTAACGGTCAAGTTATTTTTTTGCTGACTCTTGAAATGATAAAATTCACGAACTTCATAATGATTAATCTTGACCTCAACCTTCACCATCATATCAAGGTAAGTCACTTGTTTTCAAGAGTAAGTGTATTTGACTATGACCATAAAGGTAAAAGTAAATCTTTGAGGTAATTTTTAAAATCACAGGTATGATGATCCTGATCGGCGCTAAAAATGAGTAATATTGAAGCCACAAGTTATATTGGAATAGAAATGCTATATAAATGAAGTGAAAACTTATTACTACTTTTGGACCATCATCAATAGCTCCCCATTGATCTACTTTTATGACGTCCGGTATCAAAATCAGTAGCATATCCCATTTAAAACAGTTCACTTGACTTTGACGTGACCTTGAAGGTCATGGTCAAGATTTATTATTGGCAAAGGTCATTGCTTCATGTAGATATTTTAATGTGTAATGTCTCATTTTTTTTATTTCCGTAATAAAAAATGGAGTGTCTCATGAAAGAAGTGATTTGACTTTAACATGACCTTTGAAGGTTATGGTCGTGGTCAAATCAGCAAAATTCGAACTACCTATGTTTTCCTTTCATCAAAATGTTAACCTACATACCTACATCAATGCACACTGTCAAGACAGCTGATACGCAGGTTATCAAAACTTTGTCGTTTTTTTTGATAAAACACCTAATACATCAATAACTAATAATCAGAACCCATAAGTAGGTTATATCAATCTTCTTTTTTTAAAAGCGCCTATCCGAGAGTGTAATAAAAAGTTGGGCCTTTCGTTTAAAACAAATATGTTTGATGCTAGGCGAAATTGTGACATGTCCGGCATCTGTTGATGTACCTCAGGGTGTCACTAATTTAAGGCTTGCGAGCTCTCAGTATCGAGTTCAAGTAAACTAATTCCAGATTTCAGGCAACTAAGAGCAGTGTTTTAGGGTTGAATAAATGTATTTACTAACTTTTTTCAATTAATATCAATGTAACTACTATACTATGTAACTACCGGCCTGGTGGAAATATACGAGGGAGTCTGAACAGTCGGTAGTGAACCTTCGTAGTGCTGCAGGATGATGCAGGGTGCTGACGGATGAAGCTTTCGCACGTTTAGGTTGAGAGTTTACAAAAGTGCTTTCATTCCTATCGCTCAAAAAAAATATGGAAAACTGTCCAAACCTGTATTTTCAACGAGATTAAACTACAGCACACACCTCTATTAGGGACTGTTAGCGGCTTTGTTAGGAAGATATTTGAGGACCACAATATTTAGCAATGAAGTTGCAGTCAGTACGATCGAAATCGAGTGGAAAGTATTGAAAAGGCTATGGAAAGAGCACGAATATCTGAAGCAGAAAATGACCACCCTTTGCGTGATACCATATTTCGCAAGTAATTTCCCATAAGCGTAGCATATTGGTTTCGTTTCAATTCAATTAAAAAAGATATGCAAAATTTAAATCATATTCCTTTTGTGTCACCTTGTAGTTAGTCTTAAATTATGCAAGTAGCGTTGATACGATGAAAGATAAACCTACCTCCAATGCGATCATATAGACCATTATTGAGTTCGCTGCGTGGCACGTAGGGCGCCTTGTTGTTCGAACTACATGCACTTCACGTCCATATCGTTTCCTTCGGGCTAAAAGAAATTGCTTGCCACTGATTTGTAGTGATCCTTGTTGACAGTAATGGCTTTACCAACTTTCGTTAAAAAAAAGTTACATGTTAAAGACACCGTCTGCCCGAGACTCACATCGAACAACTTTCTGTCTTGGGCATTGACACCTTAAGTCGCCAGTATAAAATTAAAAAACAACCAACCGATGCCATTAAAGCCATTGTCAATGCTCAAATTCAGCCTGATCTATGGCTGAATCTATGAGTCATTGCAGCCATAATGCATTGCATGGACCTCAAGAAAAAGAATTTTGTTAATACTTCACACATAACTTGTTTTAATCTAATGCAACATTTGAAATTTATCCGGTAATCATCTCACTGATCGATTTCACAACTGTATATGTGAAAGTTTACTGACGTTTTGGCCACCTCGCTGGCATTGTTCAAAATACAAAATAACAATGACAATATATTTTATCTGTCCACCAGGTCACCGTTCATTTGTTTTTCGCTCTACTACTTTTCGGAGTGGAAGTACTTGCCTCGGGGAGTCCTGAACTTTGGTGGGTTCAGGACCAATTTGCTGTTATTGAAACACACTACAGAATAATGACAAATATCAGATGAGCTGTCACCTGGAAGATAAATAAATAATGGTACATTACAAATTTAGTTTGAGAAGCAAGCCACTATTGGTTGAGTGAGAATTTTTATATTCTGAGATGCATAGAGCTGAGAGATTTTCTCAAAGGAGGTATCGATAGAATTGTTGTCACTATTAACACTATATTACACTACATTGGTTTTTGTAACATTTAAACATTTCCATCGTATTCCATGTCATTACCCTAATCTATAGGTAAATCAACGTTGACGACATTAAATTTACACTCATTGTAGTTTGAAGCATCTAGTAGCCTTGTATCAAACAGACAAACTCAATAGGAAACAAAGGCCTGTTTCAGCTGGGAGTAAGGTGCTAAGGTTTGTTGGTTGTGCTTTTATTTTGATAGCTTCATGGCGAGCTATAGCTAATATAAGTTATTTCTCACTTGTTTTCAAATATTCCGGGATATAAAGTACTAGCCTTAATCCGCGGTTTCGTCCGCATGGAAGAAGTGTAAAGTATTGGTCATTCGATTTTCATTAGTGTGAAGGAGATTGGTTTCGGGGAAGGAAATGCAATATTCAAAGTAATGCAATAGACATTTTTTATACGATATTTAAATTAAATGGGTAATCAGAATCACAATAAATATTACGTGAAATACTTCACACAAATCTAAATCAAGACGGTCAACGATCACGAAAGTCGAAATCCAGTCAATCCACCATGCAAATGCCCTATTTATACAGGGTGTCCGCAAAGTTGGGGTTTTCCTTTTCAAACACAACTACGCTTGATATAACCAAGCTTATATGTGGTGAAACGTAAGCGAATAAGTAAAAAAAAAATAAATGAAAAGGAACTCACTGTTCAGCTGAATTGAAATTCCAAGTACGGCTCTGTCGTAAAATCAGTATTTACATCGTAATCGTACGTCGTATAACTGTATGCTGGCGCTGGCGCTGTGGACGTGATCGAGGGATAGGACAGGACCGGCTTCTGTTTTGTTCAGGTTTGATTGAGTTTGCGGAGCCCAATCTCTCCGTTCTTTTAAGACATGGGTATATATGCTACTAAGAAAATCCGCTTATTTTCTCAAGATCTACACGTCGTGTAAAGTAAAACTCCAACTTTGCGGACACTCTGTATATTCTTACTCATTTAGATCGAACCAGCGACTGATCGCTTCCACGCCAGACACCTCATGTCAAATTCCAGTAAGTCGTTTGGGCCATAGCCCGTGAAATAGATATTTCAAAGTTATTTCCCAGGAATAAAGGTAGCCTATATAAAAATAAACGTTCAGCCAGTTTGGTGTGATTGAATAAAAAACATCCACACTTTCTCATACAATAGTAGGAATAGTTGTCAGATTGACATAATTTGATAAGCAGGAATTGGCATTATTATTTATCTAGCTTTTTTCGTTATCGTTATTTAGCTAGGGAGAGCAAAACTACTTCTCAGTGCGTCATTGCGGTCAATAATAGTGATTTCTCTGGTTAGTAGTGAAAAATACATATTTTCATTGTCATTTTGTAACTCGAAAAGGCAAACTGGGTGGCCAACACGTCAGTAAACTTTTAATTCTACATCTGCAGTTTCTTTTGGCGGTTATTAGAGCATCGAGATAGTTTTATTTTATTCCAACATCAATCGATAATATAACGCGATGTATTAGTATGTCTTTAAGCATTTTGTATGAAATATTATAAGTGCCTTATAAACAGTATGTGGCAAATCGGCTTCGCCCGATGCAAACATCTTTCTATCTCACACAGATGCAGTATAAAATTGCATAGAAAATTTAATCGCTTTACTAGTCACAATCGTAGATATATGGAGTGTCTTAACCACATAGTTTTACGATACTAGCTATTACGTTTTGCCAGTTGAGAGATACATAAAACAAAGAATTTTTCTTCCCTCCTCATGCTCTAAGTCTTCTTCTAGGTTCAAAGTTCTCATTCGACCCGAGCATAGACGATGCGAGTTCGCTGCTGGACGGCGAACACACTGGTTCCAGGAGATCGTTGGCCGACACTAGTGTCACTTCTACGGCGGACCTGAGCGTCTTTTCCACGGTTACCAGGTCCCAGGCTCACGAGAATAGTTTGGATACACACAGCAACATGTCGGATAACAGCGTCGGAGGAGCCAGTTCAGTAGGTAAGGGTATTAAGGGTGATATCCAAGATCAGGATAGTTGATCCAATAAATGTCCATTGTCGAATCTTGGATAACGAAATTCTGTGGCATAACCTTTTATAAGCGTTTTCGTGGACATGATACACTTATCCATGGGAGCCCGCGGTTGGCCTCATGAAATTTACATCTTTATCATAGGTGTGTATAACATATTTAAAACTTTTAAGAGTTGCACTCCCCCTGCTGAGAAAATTTGCAACCCCTCGTACTTCAATTGTTTGGGACTGATACATGAACATGTTTATGTTGCTGTTACATACTTCTCTGATGAATCTTAATGTTGAAACCACATATGTAGAAGTAAAAATTTGCTGACGTTTGGGCGGCTTTTTTTAAAGTACAAAACTCAAACGTCAACTTTCACATCTGTGGTTTCATTTGACGGCCAGCAAAACCTTTATTTACATTTCATAGTTGGATGTATACAGCGTGAGCTTCTAATGTATAATCGGTCGATAGCGCCGCTATTTTGAAAAATATCTGGAAAATTTAGTTTGTTTCTTAGCTGGAGTTTATACCGCTCACTACCGATTCATAAGTACCTACGTGCTAAAACAAGCATGCATTTTTTCAATGGAACACTCTGTATATTTTAGTATATTCTGAAACGTCTCCTCAAAGTTGATGATTCATGAAGTTTGAAATAGCATACTATAGAGTTTTGATCGCTACTTCTGTAGCTACGCGATATTTTGTCCGAAAAAAACAAACAGTAAACTTTAACAGCTTGAATTAGGACCGTAGCCAATTTTCGGCAAAATGAGCTTCATATATCACAGTTCTAGACAATTATATCAAAGAATTCATATAGCTGTATTTTGGCATACAATTTTTGGTATGAATTACTAAGTTTTTGACATACATATGTGCGCAATTCTGATGTGTTCCTCTGTCGTAAAACAATACATAAGTAAATATCTGGGTTTCTAGATGACCCATGCCCAGTATCTGATGCCTAAGTGAAGTCGTTGAAAAATGGCGCCAAAAATAATTCGAAAAGTACCTATCCACATGCTTATTACGTAAAAAACCTATATACTATAAAAAAATTGGAAAATTGTCAACTTAAGCATTAGGTAGCCACTAGTTCATTCCGCGAGTGAGAATGAGGTCAGCTAGCTCAAAGGTGAAATTTTGCAGGAAACCCTACATAATGTCACTTTTCAAGTTACGTAATAGCCAGCTGACTTTTGTGATAGATGGGTAAAAATGAACCTGAACAGAAATGATAGTAGGATGCACCTATTAAGACGTTACAGAAGGCTTAAGAAAATCTTGCTAAGGAGAAGAACAGAAACATTTTTCTGTTTTTGAAACTCATATGTACCTGAAGATTGCGCTTAAAGTCGCCGAAACGTCGTATTTTTAATAAATGTTTTAAGTTGACCGAATCCCAGAATTTAGATCTTGACTTGATATCAACGGTCAGGAATCCAAAACTGCAAAGATGTTATAAGGGGGATCTGACATCTAATTTCCGTTATTCGTGGGTTGAAACCTTTACGCCGTGTTGTGATTTTTGGATATTGCTATCACATAGATTTTTGTCAATGTGACATTCGTTTCAGGTTCCGGCATGGGTGCAATAACCAGTAGCATGCTCGGTGGCGGCAGCCTGCCTCGAGGTAGCAGTGGAGGTGCAGGCAGCGTGATTAGCAGTCACTCCACACCTCGAGCCACTCCTCATAATCCCAGTCCTGACGTTTTAAGAATCTACGTACCTTACTCTCCTTTTGACACCCCTGTAGTCAGTCCTCATGGAAATGGGACTTGCGGTGACCCGCCAAAGCCTTGCAATTTTATAGAGACCAACAAGATCAGGATACGAATTGACAACGATGAGTTGCCTACACCTCTGGTCGAACATGGCCAGATCAAAGGCTTCCAACTAGATAGTCCTGTTGATCTCAAGTGAATGGATCGTTTGTATTTGAGCGTTGATTAACGTATACTACTTGAAGACACAACCTAATACTATAATACCCGCGTCCAATTAATTATCAGAGATCAAATGAAATACCATAGAGTCGTCTATGGGAATTTTTCTCCTATCTGCACTAATTAGAAATCTATCTATAATAGATGGCGCAGTATGTTTATTTGCTACATACTAATGGTTAGCCAAAGCTCCATCTATGAAATACTAACCTTTTCAAAACAGATTTCTAGCTAATGCGAAGAAGAGAAACATAGATGTGACAAATTCCCATAGATGGCGCTACGATATCTCATTTCATCTCGGATATTCTTTTGGGTGCGGGAATATAGGCCTAGGTTGGCTATCCTCAGATAGAATAAGTTAGTCCAATATTTGAATAATTTTTCACAGTGGTACAGAATCCCTGCCGCTGCTCGAACGCTTAGTTATATTAACATTAATTTGCATCCGCACCTAAAGACGGGAACACACTATTGCCACGTTAAGCGATCTTATGAACTATCACGCAAACTCACGATTTTTAGCATAAACTTCAATATAAAGAACAGCCCGTATGCAAGGAAGGAGACACATATTTCACTATACTATTGTCTCCACAGGCGCCCCTGTTTCTGTCAGCCCATCAATTCAAATTTAAAACCTGAGTTTGCGTGACAGCTCGTCAGTTCACGTGATGTGGCAATAGTGGATTTCCGGCTTAACAGGTAGAGTAATGTAAGATTGTCAGGCGGTCCGAACTTTTTGTAGCAATGAAATCCTAATAGGTGCGCTTAGATTTTTGTTTTTCCTAGCTTGTATTCGGTCATCTTTGCAAAATAACGTGATGCATTTGGTTATACATTCTATATACGATATTGTCATGAACGTACCCTTGGAATGTTATAAAAAGGTGGGAATTGGTAGTCACATGTTGCAAAAGCTTGAAATTTAAAAATATTAGTACTGACAAATTAGTGTGTAGCAAAATAATAAAACATCGAGAGTTCTTGACCTTTGGGAAGGTTTGTCAAGGTCTAGAGAGTATTCTGATCTTTTATAGATGAAACTGATGGTTGACTCTATGTTTATGTCAATTAGCAATTTGTTTAAACCATAGTTCTAGAGGTAAGGAATTGACTTGGATATAGTAGAATCCATGTATATAGTATGATATATTGTGTGTATTGAGACAAAGGATACTTTTGCTTCACATGAACATTCAGTTTAATTCAGTGATTAGAAAAAATGCGTTTATTTTTTTTAATGAAATAATTTACAATTACATATCTAATGATTATGTAAAATGAGTGCGTATGATATTGCTTTCTATAGTTTTAGCATTTGAGTATACTATTTAAGCAATAATGTTTTACGTGTTAAACATCCTTGAACCGAATATTATACATTGAGACGTCCTGGCAATTTCTTTCTGCGCATTTCAAACCACCAAGGCTAAAACTTCGCATTCGTGAGAGAAATTTTACAGCTGGATTTCTTTCATAATCACGATTTTCGGATGCACCTTAAAATGAATCAAGAGGTTGCCGGACGGAACTCGGTGCAAAGCTTAAACAGGCTTTTAAACAAACCAAAACATGTTTTTTCGCTCCGCGCGAGCTTTTTTTAGTTTTTTTTTGTATGATTATGAATAAAAAAAGTGCTTAGTATCTCCTCTCTAAATTTGACCATTCTCGAGTTACACGTGATTTGAAATCAAAAAAACCCTAAAAATGGCAATTTTCAATGCGAGATTGTCAAGTGTGTATGTACACTAAAGTTAAAATCTTGCCTCACAAGAAACCGATAGTACTTTAGCCTTAGTTTATTTTAAAGCATTGTGATCCGTGACTTCTTGGCAACCTTAGAAGTAACTTTTTACCGTGTTCTTGAACAATGAAAATTGCCATTTTTTTTATTTTCAGACTCCACATATTCGGACATGGTAAACTTTATAGTAAACTTACCAAGGACATTTTTTTGTTCAGAATGACCCAAACGTCGTAAAATAAGTTAGTCGGGAGCGTCAAAAGCGATTTTGTATTTGTTTAATCAAATACACTCTGGGTTACCACCCGGCAAACTCTTGGTTTATGGAAAGGTCCAACAAATCTGATTATAAAAAAAATGGGGTGGAAAATCTTTCTCACGAATGTGTGGCTTTAGTCTTGATAAAATGCCAAGTAAGTGTTCTAATTTTATAATCTAGTGAAAAATTCACCAGGGATTCGTTTCTAATTGTCGCTCATAAAAACTGATAATATATGGTTAATATTTGATTATGATTTACGTCTAAAAATGTACGAACTACCATTTCGAGGAAATGGACATTCGCCTTTGCTGGAGAGACATTTTATTGGATGAAATTTACATTATCCATATCAGAAGTGTTTCTCAGAAAGAATATGCAGGTATCTATGCAACCAAATATTTTCTGCAATGTGGAAGCGTAATGCCATTAATTATTTATCTCTCTTCTCAAGGAAAACATGAAAAAACATAAGTCATGTACAATGTACTGTATATAGAATTAATTAATTACTCTTCTTTGGAAGATGTATATTTTTTATATTATTTATTTTTTGTTACGTTTATTAGAGTATTATTAGGGCACTCTTGCCTTGTATCCATAAGGGAAAGGGCTGTAATAGGGATATATTTTGCGCTACTGAAATATAAGAAATTATTCCATTCCATGGTCAGTACAATATTATTTTTATTTTCATGTAAAATATAACATTATTTATTTATCTAATTTGAGTGAATAACTTATAGTAAGGACTAACGTCGATTAGGTGAACCATTTGGTATTGCTTCAGTAAAACTGATAATTAAATGATTTGAAGGGTTTCCAGCAAAAACCGCATTTGTCAAAAATTAGCATTTTACAGAAAACTAAAAAAACCTGTTATCTTCTTAGATGTTAATTATTTCAAAAGGCGGTTCCTGGATGGGTTGTAGATTAAAATGCATAATAAAACAATGCATGATGAAATAAATTTAAAAACGTTTTAACATCATAAATTAGATTTTTTTGTTTGACAAGTGCTGTTTTTGCAAGAAAATGAAAATGAACTTACAAAGAAAACATACTTTATTGAAATATGATGACAAAGTTCGCTTAAATAATAATCATTCGATGTTAAATATAAACTTAAACATATTCTAAATACGGGAACATCATTTTTTCTACTCGTCACACCCACTGCTGTTATCTTCGGGATCGATGTCGCTTAATTCAGCAATGTTTGATTCTGTTGGTCGTAGGGCATTATAGAAGCCGGTATGTTCTCTTTTACTCAGTACCTTGCTGGGAGTCTGTAGGTCTTTTAGTTTTAATGGATTAATGGCTAAAGGTTCTCGATATAACGGAACAAGTTGAAGTTCATTGGATAGAGGTATTTTATTTCGAAGTATGGATTGTCTCCATGGTCCACTATAACTGTCCCTTATTTCCAAAAACTTGTTTTTCGCCTGAATGCGATACATTCTTAACGATTTCAGCTTAATTGGAGGTCGAGGGTTCTTAAGAAAATATTTATCTGTGGATAATTTTACGTTAAAAAAGTGTTTTTGTTGTACCTTAATCAGATTAAATGGAGACGGATTGCTCCTGCAAGTCTGTATGATAGTATCCCAATGCTCGGGAATCTCTGCTACTTCAACCGCTTTTCGTTTTGAGATAATTGAAAAGTCTTGATCGTTGGGCAGAAATGAATGGCCACGTATCGGAAAAATATAGGTAATATTGTCAAACAACTTCAAACAGTGGACTAATAAATACATAAAATGCATCATAACATAATTTTTATTTTGTCCCGGGCAACCATCACTTATTAATACCAAGTTTCGAGAAGTGATGTCAGGAACCTGTGTAAAATAATGAAAAAGTAATGAAGTAACTTCATTTTGACCTTTTTTTGCTATTGTTTCATCGTAGGTGTACATTGTTGCACTATCATCTTTAAGATTATGGACGCCAAAAACGTAATACCAAAGCTGACGGCATCTGAACGCTAAGTTGTCCCTAATATGCGGTAAAGGTAAATTTTGCATAAAGTCGAAACAAACAACCATTGCCTCTCCATTTCTAGGCTTTTCTTGCCACTTTTTCTTCAAATCATAGAATGCTTTTGCTTTTCTCAAATGAAGCTCCTTTTCCGCTAGTAGGGGAGCTCTTGATTCGTCATTTTCTGCTGCAGCAATTTTTTTAATCAGAGAGTCGCAAGTTGAGCATGTATCAGTTCTCGGCATTCCAAATTTTATATTAAATTTCTTATGAAAAACTGTCCAATAAGCTTTATAGCTGACATTAATATGATAATCTTTTAAAAATGATCTGTACAATGCCCGAACACTTAGGGTCTCAGGGAGATAGTAACGATTTGGATTTTGCCTTAATGAATAATGAGATTGTCGAGGTCTGTATGATTTAATGTGATCTTCAACTAAATTTTGCAATTCACAAGGTAAGGCATTGGGTCTATTATCATGTTTACCGCGCCTGTCACAGGGTGATTTTGCTGTTTTACTTAGATGTTCCTGTATGCGTCTAAGACGCGCACAACTGATTCCGTGGAGACTAAGAAAAGCTTTCCTACATACGGGCACTTCTTTATAACAATCCCCAGATTGCTTTGTTCGAACTTTAAAAGCATAAGAACTTGAATGTTCATAATTTGGTAAAGTGATGTCTTCGTCTGAGTCGGAATAATCAACGAGATCGTTATTTCTTGCAGGTTTTCGCGACCGTCGTTGCTTTACTGCTTGTAATGTAATAAGGCCAGACAGATGTGAATCTTGTAAGTCTTTTGTAGGAATATTATAAAAACTTTCGAAAATTTCTTGTCTTTGCTCTGGCAGCACCGCATTGAAGCATTTGTGACGAACACACCTACGAGCGATGTAGAGGTTAGAAGGAATAAACAAGAGAAACAGCGTGAAAAACTTACTTGCAATCCTCACCAATTTGCTTTTCCGGAACAAAAACGCCTTTATGGTTTAAGTGAGCAGCACCTTTAACTTTTTTTAGACGTATTAACTCTCTTTTCTTCAGTTGTTTTGCTCTAATTGTCGGTACAACACTTTGCGACGCGTCCATGTTTTAAACACTGTAACGAATCTTTAATTTCCTGCGAAAACAACACAGGTCAAGACAAGTGCGGTTTTTGCCGAACGATCCATGCTTTATCTGTATGAATAAGGCTGACAATTGCTGTTTTTGCTGGAAATATTTTTTAGATAACACACTAGGATTATTCTTGATACAATGTTGCCAATATCTCAAAAGTGGACAAATTTGACAAATGCGGTTTTTGCTGGAAACCCTTCATTTGAAACCTTCCTAAATTTGTGTTGGTTATATAGTTTTGATCCTAAAATAATACATGTGAGTATAAGCATAGGTAAGTAGCTATGTAGAGATTATGCTGAACATACCAACTTTTCGGCTTTACGCAACTTGAAATTATATTTTCTTCTTATATTGTCAAGTTTGGATTGAGTTTCAGTCACCAAATATATTTACATAAATATTATATGGAGGATGGAGGAGTTAAATTTCGTTGTCAAAGTTAGATTAAAATATTAATATATTTTCAGGAAAATATGTATTATCGATGTGCCATAAAATGTTCATGTGTTCTCGAAAATATCAAATTCTATGACGTTCATGTCAGTAATGAGTCATTAGATCACGGTTCGCAATATATTTGTGTGTTCTGAACTCAAAAATAAATTTTCTTGTAAATTTGTAAAACAGATTCCTTGATAGTTTCTAGAAGTAATAATGGGACTTTAGGACTCACGCCTCATGTAATCACTCAAACAATTCAATGTTATGACATATTTCGATTTGTTGATTCATAACCGTTCATCGCTATATACTTTACTAAAAAAAACTCTTTTAGCATGTAAAAACTATGAAAGTAGATCGTGGAAGTTTCAAAGCTTTTTTTACACTCATATAAACATTGGAGTGTTCATTTACAATCGTAAAATATTTCTATATGTCATCTTCAAAAACTTGGTCCTGATTTTTTAGTGATTCACCGGCCTTGCTTTAAAAATGTTAGTATCAAAAATATACGTGTTTCCATAGCTCTAACGACAGCTTGGCTCTATTTACTCTGTCATTGCGTACATACTTATCAAAATTATCTACTATTATCACTATCACTAGCAATATATTGATGTTAAAATTTATCATAAGGCTAGAAGCAACCCATATCTTCATAATGTCAATGAATTGTACGAAACTTACGAATATTAGAAATACATGTGTCTATACGTCATTTTTGTATCTACTGCCTCGATAATGTATATATAAGTAATCTTTAGCAGTGTCAATAATCCTAGAATAACGAAATCCTCCTTGCTGATTTACAAACCAACCAAACCTAGATCAAAATGTACTTAGATTTTTTTGTGAACTACATCGATCCTTGCATAAATTGAGCTCATCTACCTTCTTTCTATGACCTTTTGGAAAATAATGTTTTATTCAAAAGTTATAGGGTATAATATAAATTTCTTCATGGAAACGTGATGTCAAATGAGGTTGCATTTTTTAAATAGAACACCCTGTATATATTTTTTAAAACACTTTATAAAACTTTATGTATAGTACTTTTCCTGTATGCAAAAAAAGACAGTGTATTGTACTTTATAATAGACCATATTCCTTTTGTATAAACCTTTTTTCCAAACGGTCATACAAAAAGTTAGGGGTGGTCAATGTATAGTGGGACACCCTGTACACAGTGTCCTTGGGAGGATGAATTTTTATGTGAAATGCGAAAACGTCTTTTCTTACATTCTCTATATTTTTTAAAATATGCGGCTATACTTTTCAAAATACTCGTATGTTCATTACTTCGACCAACGGTTTTTGGCAGCATTATCACTTACCGGACGGTTTAAAGTTAATAAAACCCTCAACAATATGTTGAAGAGTCATAAAAAGAAAGTAGTAAAATCTCCACATCATAAGCTACATAAGAAATATTCTAGTTATCCATTCAGCCTGATTATCATGGGCCCAAAGAATAACAAATAGGTTTTTTGATTGTTTATCCTAGAACTTAATTCAAAACGAAAACTTGGACACTGCTTCTTATTCCAGTTCCGTTACATCTTGTAGGCAAAAGAACAGTTTTCAGTATTGGTAAGCATTTTTATCAAATCCAATGTGTATTTTTGTTAGTTGAGTTGATGGCACTTTACTTACTTCAAGTGATCATGATAGGTAGAACTTTATACGAAAAGTGATATATGCAATAAAAGTGTATACTAACTCAATTGAAAATATTGTAAAATGTTGATAAGTCATAGGATGACTTTTAAATTTCTTAATAAAATTATGTTCGATAATGCTGTCTTTTACTTTAACTCTATTGTCCCACACAAAGTTTAAACTTTCCTTCATGCGGGGCTTGTAGGGTATTGAGGTGACAACTTGCAGGTTTTACGATAACTCGTGATACCTTAAAGTTAAAAAAATCATCCGCGTGATTTATAAATTCATGAAAACAAGTTATTCCTAAAACCCCTGTAGTGACACCCAGCTTATAAGCTACGAGTGCCGTTTGATAAGTCAGTGACTTTTTGAATTTCCCGCGCAGTAACTTTGAATGCAATACTGCTGCCGGCAGCTGCCATCTTTTATATGACAACTCTCAAAATTTGAACAAGCTATGTCATTTCATTTGAGCTTGACAGCCGTTGAAAGTAGACAGTCTCATAAATTCTAACAAAAATGGAGAAAGTGAATTTCGTGTTCTAATTAAACATTATTTTTCGCGTAAAATCCATCACTGCAACCAAGGAAAGGCTTGACAAATACTATGGGGACTCTGCACCATCTATTTCAATGGTGAAGAAGTGGTTTACTGAATTCCGTTGTGGTCGAACCAGCACAAGTGATGCCGAACGTTCAGGTCGCCCAAAAGAGGTCATCACACCAGAAATCGTGGATAAGATCCATGGGATGATATTGGAAGATCGGAGAATAAAAATACGTGAAGTAGCTGAGGCTGTAGGCCTAGGCATCTCTACTGAGCGGGTACATCACGTTTTACATGAATACTTGGGCATGAAAAAACTATCCGCGAGATGGGTGCCGCGATTGCTCACAGTCGACCATAAGCGCAACCGTGTGACCATTTCAAAGGAATGTTTGGTGATGTTCAGCCGCAATCCGAACGAATTTTACCAAATAGCGAATACACCAGAAACCAAAGAACAATCAAGAGAGTGGGTTTCACTTGGTGAGCGTGCTCCAAAGAAGGCTAAGGTAGGTCTGTCAGCCAGGAAGGTTATGGCCACAGTTTTCTGGGACGCATGCGGTATTATTTACATCGATTACCTTGAGAATGGCAGAACGATCACGGGATAGTACTATTCAGAGCTGTTAGACAGATTCAACGTTGCTTTGAAGCAAAACCGACCGCATTTGGCAAAAAATGCTGTTCCATCAAGACAACGCACGGGTACACACGTGTGTAGTCTCGATGGCAAAAATTCATGAACTGGGCTACGAACTGCTGCCCCATCCAGCCTATTCTCCAGATTTAGCCCCCAGCGACTACTTCCTATTTCCAAACCTGAAAAAATGGCTGAGTGGTAAGAAATTGTGGTCAAATTAAAAGGTCATCATTGAAACAAACGGATATTTTGGGAGCCTTGATAAAAACTACTAAATGTATCAAGCTAAAAGGAGATTAGGTTGAGAAATAAAATGCTTATTTGCCGAAAAACAGTTTTTTTATTTAGAAAGTAACTGACTTATCGAACAGCCCTCGTATTAGGGAACTACGCAGGAGATAACATGATTTAGTTTACAATCAATTTGAAACTAAAATGTTTCCTGACCTCAATAGACCGCCTTAGTTATACAGGGTGATAAAGATTACAAAGCATATTTTGAAAAACTGTTCATATTGTAACGCCCTCGTAACCGGAACAATGTGGCATCTTCGTAATATCGATGCTTAGGCGACAAAATTAAGTAACCGGAATATCGGGAGCGTTCGCGGCGCATTGAGAGCGCCCGATACGCAACGAGAATTGGTCGATTTGAAATAAATAGGTGCTCCTACGTCGGAAGAGCAGAGTGGTGGATAAGTCATCAACAGCGCAAGACGCAATAGTCCAGTCGTTGTGGTTATGAATTTGTAATAAATTAGTTGCAAGTATTGTTATGAATTGATGTAAGAGTGATAAATTATACTTCAAATAACAAAAAAGGTTTTTTCGTTACAATATAAACATAGGTCTGGAAAATGCTACGTTTTCATAATACTTAAAACTTTACTGTTTTTGATAGATCATCTTACATTTTTCTAAATCAGCGTGCTATATGGGGTGACTTTTGGTACACTCAATAGTACGATAAAAAGTCACATTGACATGTTCAAAGTGGATTTCTAAAGCACTTACACCAGTGGTGTTCGTGCCGGTAAGTGTTTGTCTACTTGAAATCAGATTTTTCATAATCATACATTAGTACATCAATATGTTTATCATTGAAAAACCCTTATCGAGCAGCCACTTTTTTAACGAGCATCACCAAAAACTCCAAGAAACATTTCCCCGAACAGAATTAATATGGCTTTGAGAAAATGACAATATTTTGCAAATGCTACCAGTGTATTCTTCGCGAGATCCTGTATGTGAGCTCTATGGGAATATAAGCCTCATAGCAAAAATAAGACCGCCTGTGTGCTATAACCAATTTTAGCAATTTTTTGTTTTGTGTCAACGTGAGACAGTCGAACGAAAAATGTTCACCCTTCCACCGAGGCCCCCCAAAGACTACGTCATCAAAAACGTGACTAACAATCTACTTTCGTCTGGACAGTTCTCTCCAGATTCCCTACCAAGAGTGACGCAACCGAATTTGGGCAAGTTTTGTTTTCCAATCGAGTACCAGGAAAATGAACAATGTGATAAGCGTTTTAGGTGATTTTACGATTATATTTAAAAAGCAAATTCTAACTTTACCAAATTTTAGTACGGAAATCAATCCAGTAATCATGGAAAAAATGATCAACGACGCTAAGGCGATGTGGGTCGTCCCACCCGGAAAAGACGAGTTTGTATTGCATGATTATAAAAAGTATAACGTTCGTAAAGATCCAAAAAGCTTAGATCCTAGGTATTTCATCAAAGGTAAGTATATTCATAAGGACTATGCTAACTTTAAATAATAACGTCAGGAAGGTGATCATGAAAAAAAAAAGGGTACATAAGAAAATCTGTCTCATATTATTCGGTGTTACAGAATGTTGTCAGGAGAATTTAAGTGCAGATTTGGTAGGCAAAAATATGGAAAAATTTTTAAATATAGATAAATTCTCCATTTCCCTGGTAAGATTAACTTTATGCTTTACGAAAAATTGTACGGTAGTGGTTTTCAAGTAAATGAGTGTTGTTTTCTGAAACCTTTACTAATTTTGCTTGTAAAGTTACAATCTAGAAGCGTTTGACTTTGTCAAAAAAATGACACATTACTATTATTTTAACAATGATAAACATATTCGGTTAATAAATTGTTAATAAAATGATAGAACTAAAGATGTGGGAACTCAAAATTCTAGGGTCGGACTGTTTTGTCTCCTTGTAATCTGAATTTATTACTTCGCAGAAAAAATACATGTCTGAACCATAATTGAAGAGTGGTAATTCAAAAGCGTCTAAGTGCCAAAAAGGTTTTGTTGAGAAACTAAAGAAAAACATATCAATATATTACTGGAGACTGCAGGCGGATTTGAAATACGTACCTGCAGATTCTTGACTGGCGCATATACTGTTTGGTATAACTATTGGCAATGGTACATGGACCTTAAAATCACTGAAATTCGGAAACGCCTAAATATGGCACTTAGATACTTTTGAATAATTTTATGCATTTCAGTACGAAACTATTCTTTTTGTGTAAATGTTTCAGTTCTAAATAACACATGTAAAAACAAGACAAAGAAAAAACTTTTAGGAAAAGAGCTTTTGTAACAAAACTGTCGTAGACATCTCTACTTTATTGTAAAATGTGTATAATTTCTTCCAGATTCCTGATGAAATGTTTGAATTTGTTTGAAAGAGAAAAACGTACCAATTTATTTTTTGCAAAAAAATAGTATGCTACTTGAAACATTTTTATAATCAAAGTGCATAAAATGGTTACTATTATTATGATATGATTCATTCCGGTGAGGTAAATTCCAGTACTTTATTGTAATAAACTCACTTTGAACGAACCTTGTATATGGATTCATAACGTGGTGATGTTTGCTGGAAAACAGCCATTTTGGGATAAACAGAAATTCTCAAAAACTTGTTTATCGATCGACTCCAATTTTGTTGTGCTTACTTAGGAGTTGAGACCCTCAGACCTGAGTATGAATCATATTCAGCAAATGCCAAAACCGTCATTTTGACGAGGTTTTTGACCATAACTTTATTCCTTATTTTGTAGGTCTCTTAAGTATCTAAAAATCCTATTTGAAGAATATTTTCGTTTATCCCAACATTTTAGATTGTATCACGTGTTTACTCATTCTTTGTTGGAGAGTAACATTTTTCCCACAAACATTGAGCTACCCATTTTATGCGCCCATATTCTAGTCTATAAAACTCTATACAACTCTCATCGATATAATCAAACTTTACAATTATTTGGCAAACCAGGGGATTTTTCGTCTGATTATGATGGGATTATCGGTTTGTCTGGCCGGTTAATTAAGGAAAAGTAATAGTGAATGATCATTCTTTGACTCTTTTAGATCCTATTTTCTTCCTGTGCACATAGATGTTCTAGCGTTGGAACGTTCACTGTTGACTTTAACGAAAATGTTTTGTCACATTTCGTATAAAAATAATAAACCACCACCCAGGCTAGTTACCTTCATAGACCATCGTAATTTTGATTTAAATTCATTTGATGATGACTTATTTGTATTTTGCGTTAATTGGGTTGCGTTATATATATATATATATATATATTCCTAATATTGATGATTTTAAATATATACCCGATAACAATATAACAGTCTTTAACATACGTGCACCACTAAAAACAGTGAGTGTGTCTAAACCTAAAGCAACATGGCTTACGAACAACTTGAAAACGATCATGAAGGAACGAGATAAGGTTTTTCGTGGATACAGTCGCGAACAGATACAATTTAAAATCATTGCAATGAATTGGGGAAATTTGCAATATTTGCTGCTCGTACAGAGAAACCTGGTTACCTTCAACATCGATCTGGTGAACAAAGCTTTGCAACTCCTTATAAAGCATTTAAGTCATTCAAAATACAGGATTCTAACATAACTGATATTCCAAACAATTTAGAAGTTCCCGATGAAATTAATAACTGCATATTTTACAAGTATATTTCAGAAAAGCGACAACGCTTGTTAAAAAAAGTTTTTGGGAAGCTCTGCGACAAGTTACTCTTGAACACTTTTCCATAATATTTTCAATTCGTTATAATTAGCACGCCGATTTTCCTTGATAATCCATTTTAAGGCTCTTGGTATTGGAATAACGCGGGCGACATCCAGTTGTTTTGTACAATTTAATAATTTCTCGAATTCTCGATTTGATCATACTGTCAGCGACTTAGGAAGGATTTTGGGCCTTTTAAATGCAAGTGAATGATCACTTTTCTTATTTCGTTAGAAACAGATTTACCACAAGCCATTCTTAATTGTTAGCAACACCAATGCATTAAAAGTTGATTTAAACGTCAAAAATCAGCTTCTTAGCAACGTAAAATGTTATCATTCGTTTAACAAAGCCTAACTTTATTTTATCGAAGCGAGGAAACAGACCATTCAACTTAAGTTGTCTCCACCATGTATTTTGCTATACACAAATCATTTTGCAAAGAAGACAATTTCGAAATAAAAACGCTTTAAAAATAGCCGCGTCGGTTTTGTTATCTTTCCATAAACATTTAAAGAAACTGATATTATATTTGAGATAAAATTTTAATTAGCCATCAAATAAATTCACAAATACCATGTTTTGGGGCGGTGGGCTAACTTCACTGAGCTATTTTTTCCTGGCTTTAGTCTAAAACAAAGCTTTTCAAACATCCACATAGTATACAAATTTCAAACAAATTAAGCACCCAAATCATTATAGAATAAACTAGGTAACCCAACTAACAATTATCACGCCTATTAGAGTTGCAAGAATGATTATACAGTATTCCTTAAACAGCATTGTATACTGTAACACTGCACACATAATAGGACACTTCAGTCATTTAAGAGGTTGTATAAGGGCTACAGGTAACAGTTATAAAACAAAAGTGTAAGCCTCTTGCAGCCGCTATAGGACATTTGCGTTAGTGCAAGATTCAGTTTTTGTCAACTATACAACCATTCTGTTACGTGTTTCTACTTTATTGCAACCAAACTATTTCTTATGTATTGTACAGACGAAGTGAAGAATATATAACTAACACATTACAGTCATCTTGTTTACTTACATATCGGTCATTGTGAATTTCATATGTATATGATAAACTTCTACACTGTGATATAGGGCTATTGAATTACTTGCGCAGAAAATTTTATTGCAATTATCGTGCAAATTAGTTACCCAATTTCTACGGGCTTTGTATTTGATTCATATTTTGACAATGATCAAAAGTATGATGTCTAGATTTTGAAGATGGAAAACTGAACTTATCTGCGTTAAATCTTCCACAAATCCTATATTTAGACACAATTACACTAATGTTTATCTCTTTATATCTGTAATTTTGACTGAAACATAATTATTTAATATTAAATAGAGGAATAAATGTTTGCCCAATATGGCGGGTGGTTGTGTACAATCATGGCATCGTCCATGTTGTCTTTAGGTTATTAGAATATTTTGGTGTTGCCTGCAGGTGTTATACAACAATTTGACAAATGTTTGAAATCAAATACCGACAGAGTCGAATGATTTACCCAGAATTTGTACCAGATCTGTTTGAACAGTTGATAAAACCTTTTGAACCAATACGCATGCGTTGTTTGTCTTAAAACATTGGTTATGGCATTTTACAAAAATATGACAGCAGAAAGTTAGGTTATGGTGAAGTTGTTTACCAACATATTTAGCATATGTACAGCTTTTAACAGTTACTAAACAACAGTTGTATAAGTGCTTCCGTTGGGAGCAATTTGTTGACTAAAGTAGTAAATTGCACAGCAAAACAACAAGGCTCGAGTTTGTTTTATAAACGTAACCATGGATGCCACATCACAACCATGTTGACTAACGTGCAGATATGCCGTATAAAATAGTTGTATAAATGTTTATGTAACAGTTAGAAATTTGCCCTATAAGATGTTGTATAACTATGCTATAAGAATATTTTAAACACCTCATTTTAGAGCAAATATGTTGCAGAAAGCAAATTTACATTCCACACAACATTAAGCCAGCATTTTGATATTCAGGCAACAACAATAGAGAGCTTTTATGGCTGAACGGTTCTTTTACCAAAAGCTTATACCACTACTTTGCTAGTTGGGAAATATCCTTCTACCTATTCTATGAAACTATTTTTGGCTGTATGACGAAATTTCAAGAATGTAAATGTAGAAAAACAATGAATAAATATCGACAAATAGAAATTATTTCCGGAATTAGTATAATATGCTATATCCCTGGATATATTAAAACTTCTCTCTTTGAAGTGGCATATTAGAATATACTAAAAGATGTAAGGTGTTCCATTTAAAAAAAATCGTGTTTGTTGTCATGCCAGTATGAATCAAACCGTAGGAAGCGTATAGTCCACAATTTTTGTAAATAATATTTTTGATTATGTTTTATACGAGTAGTAATGGAGATATTGCCCAATTAGATACTAAAATCTCACCCTGTATGTCGAATTTGTTGCAGCATTTACGTCGCTGGATGAGCATTTTTGAAGATTTTTTTTCGATTTAATCGCTACAAAGGCCTTAACTTTTGGCTATTTCATATTTACTCTTATGCACTTTTCGGCGAAAAATGCACATTTTTTTGCAAAAACCAATTAAGTGTTGCTACCCATTTTGTGCTTTCATTCCTTTTCCAATGCTCTGTAGACTTACAACCTGATAAAAAAGTTACCCAGAATTTCTTATTTCGGTCCCTTTATGTTCATTCTAAGGACTATCTAAATCGTTCTGCGCAATTACTTTTACAACAGGTTTCAGAATTTGCTTGCTTGAATGTTTCAAAAAAGTAATCATAGTAGTTTTCGATACCTATATGAATTGTCAAATCGTCGTGGAATACGCTATATAAATGAAATGCAAATAGAAAGAAAAATATCAGTCACAGTTATGTAGAAACGATTTGGGAAACTTCCACCAAAAACTTTTCGAGGTGTCCCCCTTCCATTTTGATCTGGGTATTTTTGCATATGATGATTTGTGGAGATTAAAAATTTCAATGTTTTCCTAGAGCGCTGTTTTCCTCGTTCCTATCGGCTGGAACTAGACTGCATTGAGAGCGCTAGACTAGAAAAGCTGCATAAAAAATGCGTGCGCGAAAATGAAGACTTCGAAAACCATTTCAAGTTTCTTGTGGAAAGACAAAAACGAAAAGAAAAGCCACGAATTAGGGTTTTGTCTTGCAAACATAAGCCGCCAAAGTGGTGGAAATACTCAGAGATGAAGAAAAGTGAGGCTACGAAGGAGCTTGCTGAATATAAGACACCCGAAGTGGACGAAACTACGTATGCGGTTAAGTATGAACGATGGCAAGAGGAACCGAATTTGACAGCTTTTGTGGAGGACGACCCGTGCCATAGGAAAGCAGATATGCTCCTGTGAGTTTAAAGTAGAAGGGGGTTATCGAAGTGTGGCATTTTTTTCTTCAGACAAAATAAAAATCAAATTCGTGGTTATATACATTAGTATCCTCGCTTTGAATCTGTCTACTTCGAAGTAGTAGGTACTGGTGAAGGTATGAACCAGAATACATTTGTAACTCCTGAAACTTAATATGTGGTTTTTCTTGTTCATAGCACTCTATTGCCGGGCCTAATCAAACAACACATACAAGGTCTGTAAATTAAATGATGAGACGTCCTTTCCTAATTTTTTTTATTCAAATATACTTATAATTTGATATTGTCACTCTCAACATAACTTCCTTGTGAAGCCACACAGCGCTGGAGATGGTCCTTCCACTCCTCGTAGAAGTGCTGGAACTACGATAGTGGAATAGACTTTAGCTGGTCGGTTACAGCCGTTTGAATGTTTTCGACTGTCCCAAAATGACTTCCCTTGAGGTGATTTTCCCACTTGGGCAAGAGAAAAAAGTCACAAGGACTCAAGTCAGGCGAATAAGGAGGATGAGGAGCCAGAGGGATGTTTCTACTGGCCAAAAAAGTCGTTTATTGACATTGAAGTGCGACAAGGATCATTATCGTGCAGATGTTCTTGATCTGATGAACGCTGGCCAAATTCAACTCATCCCCGATCATTCTGACTGGCAACTGACTATCTGAACGCACAAAATCTATCTGTCAATATTTTCATCGGATCTTGAAGATGAAGGCCTTCCGCTTCGTAGTTCATCTTCAATCGACTCCCTTTCTTCTGAAAATGCATTAAAACACCGAAAAACCTGGGCTCTTGACAAAACACTATCTCTGTAGGCCCGCTGAAGTTTAGCAAGACTTTCTGTTGCTTTACGCCCAAGTCTTAAGCAAAAAAAACCTGATAGCACACGGTTGCTCGAAGTTGATGTCATTTATTTTTAGGACACAATAGGAAAAACTGTTTCACATAAAAAATCACTACGGACAGCCAAATGACTCGAGCGAGTTCAAACTTGTACTGAACGCAAATTACGTTTTCCCCTGTCTCCCCTCCAAGCCCAGCGCCTCCAGTATTGCCATAACGAACGCTACGTTGGCAGTTTCACCCCTTAATTTCCAGACCTTGTATGTCTTAATCTATATTGATTTTTTTTTATATTCCAACTACCACGAAGGCCTAAGGCCTAAGCACCCATTGGGTACCGTGGGGCTATGGGGGATACATGGGAAAAGGGGGACGCCACACGGACTCTGGCGAGGGAACACGTGTGCATGCAACATGCACACATTCTGGCTCCGCCTACGAGAACCGCCGGGTGGTACCTCCGAGTTCGACAGTCAGAGACCATCTACCACCTACGGACAATCACAACATCCATAGCCAAGAGAAAAATTTCTCCTGGGACGGGACTCGAACCCGCACAGCGCACGGCGACTGATCAGGAGACCGAAGAGTCTACTACTGCGGCCACCGCTGCTGCCTACACGACGTTTCGGCCATCACGGTGACCCTTTTCAAGTACAATAACTAATGACAGTATATTTTTGTTTATCTGTTTTCCAGGTAACAGTTCGTTTATTTTTCTTTTTTCATTCCTATACAGTGTGTTGCGACAATAGATACAGGGTATGTCCGGAAAGTAATAGGACTGAGTCGATTTAAAAAAATGTATTGAGCCAATCGTTACAATTCTTTAAAAACTTTCAAAATAGGCTCCTTCTGCATCGATGCAGTGCTGCCAGCGCGATTTCCAAGCATTGAAGGCGTCACGGAAGGCATTCTCCGGAATAGACTTGACAGCCGCGGTGCAGCTGCTTGGATCCCCTCTGTCGTCTCAAAATGCTTGCCTTTCATCGGCCTTTTCAGGCGAGGAAACAAAAAAAAGTCCGGGGGGGGGCACATCTGGGCTGTAGGGCGGCTGCGGAACCGTTGGGATGCTGGCCTTGGTCAGGTAGCTGTTCTCAAGAAAGGCGGTGTGAGCATTGTCGTGGTGCAACTTCCAGTCGGCTGCGATGTCTTGTCGGACCCGACTGATCCTTCGTTTGAGTCTCCTGAGCACTTCCACGTAAAACTTGGCGTTGACGGTTTGTCCAGGAGGAACAAATTCATGGTGGACGATGCCTTTGATGTCAAAAAAGACAATGAGCATCGTTTTCACTTTGGATTTGCTCATTCTTCCCTTTTTTGGGCGAGGAGACGCCGTCGGGTGCCACTCGGAAGATTGCCTCTTTGTCTCGGGATTATACTCAAAGACCCACGACTCGTCACCTGTGATTACGTTATTCAAACATTGGGGGTCACTTTCACACATGTTCAAATTTTCTTGGCACATTTCCACTCGCCGCAATTTCTGGTGGTCAGTGAGCACTTTTTCGACCATCTTCGCGCACACCTTGCGCATGTTGAAATGCTGTGTCACAATGTCATGAACCACATGTTTTGGTAAATTTAACATCTGGACAATTAAACGAATACTTAGTCGACGGTCTGAGTTCAAAACTTTGCGCACACGTGTCACATTATCGGTGTTTGTCGAAGTCGAAGGTCTTCCAGCACGGTCTTCATCAGCGACCTCTTCCCGGCTCTCCAAAAAGGCCTGGTGCCACCGAAACACACCACTTCTTGCTAAAGCAACACCTGGGTAAGCCTCCTTGATCATGTCAAACGTCTCTGTCGCAGATTTACCGAGTTTCACATAGAATTTAATCGCGTACCTCTGCTCTAATGAACGCTGCATTTTCGGCTTGCACCACTCACAGAAACACGTCGCGCGAAAATGCCTGTCCTGACTCTCCAAGTGCTTGGAGACAACTGACCAGCCGCTCATTCGTTAGCTAGGAACGCCCTCTACCGAATCCAGTCGGTGCGCGCACGCTCCGAAGTACAGTCATGGCGGAAGAAAATGAGTCCTATTACTTTCCGGACAAACCCTGTAGAACTGTCCTGTAACATGCCGAGATCGCGTGAAGCGATCATTACAATTCTGAAATGGCACTGCTCAACACCAGAAAAGCCGAGGATCACCTGTGGTAGGGATTCCCGTTCTCAAAAGATTTACAGCCCCCTAGAGCTATCAGCAAGCATGCGGCTATCAGTTGCTTTGGCTGTACTAGACACGCTCATTGCGACCCACCTCAAAGCGACAAGCGAGCATGAGGTTATTTGTCATTTTTTTAATGTACCAAGCTCGCCACCCTCCTCCATCGTCCCAAAAACGAGTAAGCACCACCTGAGAACGCGAAAAACCCACCTAGAACCAGTGTTGTAACATACTGGTTAACCGCTCTTGCGAACCCGTTTCGATCCCAGATAATTAATAATAATAATAATAATAATAATAATAATAATAATAATACTTCTTTCCAAATTCTAAATGGAACGTGATCTCCCGATGGAGATCAGGATGTCCGACCATTCCGCATAATATACCATCTCTATTCATCTAAAGAGGCCTGTGACAGTACCCTCCCCAAGGCTAAGTGATTCTCTTTTTCTTATTCATTACCCTGGCATTTTTCTGAATCCAGGAAATCTTTTCAGCCTGACTGCAGTAATCTGTATCACCGTGCCTTGCCCAGGTTTATAATGCCCATTCATGTAGAATAATGGTAACCTGGCGTCAGCTAAGTCCCAACTTAGGATCGCGCAAGGGCGAACTTATACGCTCACACCCTGCTATTTTTTCTAATAAAATAGAATCGTGGATACGTACACCCCTCCTAGACGTACGGTACTTTAAACACTTCATTTGTCGAATGCATTTGTTCTCCTCAGAAACGCAGCTTAAGCATGCAACCGCCTCTTGTTTTCCAATTGTCAATCCCCAACCCTTCCATTTTTGGAATGAACATGTTCCTGAATATGAATCTTGGAACCACCGCTGTGCCCCTCCTCTAGACAGATCCCTAAATCAGCCATTGGGTTCGAGGCCAATGCAAGAGGTTTTAGCCTCTAATCTAATCTGGCGATGGACTCTCTCAGTACCCAGATTTTCAGTGTTCAGAGACTCAGAGTAGGACTTGTCCAAGAATAGCCTAGTGCTGTTGAGCAGTTTAGCAGTTATCGTTTATGAACACTTCACCGTGAATGAAGACGTTATTTATTTGATTATTATTTACTATGCACGTGATAGTTTTATTATTTTCTTACAGAATACATGGAATTGATCTATGAAAAGTTTGTTTGCAGAGAGGATACATTATAATGTGCACAATAGTTGTTAAATGGCTATATACTAAGTGACATCGAAATAAGCAATTTCTTACACAGATGTTCTAGGTATTTAAGCAGTCTTACATGTTTGTTAGACAAAAACGATCAGATTTCCAACCCTATCGATAAAGTGGTTTTTGTTGCCAACACATTATCAATTTTTACATTTTTTCAATGGTTGGATTTTTCTAAAAGTTTGATCAATTACTTACCTTACTCTATAAGAGACATGTACACAAGTAATTATTATACTAAATTAATTATCACTAGGAGTTTTTTTTCTGTCACTCAATACCTATGAAAATTAAACGTGACAGGAGTTCAAAAACGTATAACATAATAACATATAATGAGTGGTCCTATTTTGAAGCCCAAGGCGAAAGTGATTGTCTGTAGCGTAGACTGACACTGACGAAATCATCAGTAGATACTACAGGTATAGAGCACAGTGAATAATACCATGTGGTAAAACTCTGAGACAGCGTTTCGCCAAGTAAGAACATCTTCAATCTACAAGAGAAATAGTAATGACAAAGTATCAAAATCAAGATTAAAATTGAAAAATACCAATATGTATAAGTTAATATTTTTTCTGCCATGGTAGCTGGCATTTTCCGTTAATATATCCTCTATCTGCACCAGTTCCTGATTTTGTACCGCCAAATGAAATCTTTTTTCGCTGAATCTAGCGAAAAATCCACTGAGTTGATAACACCGCTCCGGAGTTCTTAACTCGTTCACGACGACAATGCATGGAGTAAAACTCGACTGTAGCCGATAATTGTTTTTTCGTTTTTTTTTTTTAGTGCATTTGTACATTTTCTGTAATGTAATTTCTAGAAAATGTGTAAGTGAGTATTATTTTGAGTTTTGAATACCTTTTCCAATATGTACCACCGGTGGTACACAACGGCTTTGATGATTCTTTTTTTCATTATAGCTGTAGCTTACCACCGGTGGCCACTGAGTGAAATAAGGACTTCAGAACACAAGCGGTGTCAAAGAGGCTAGAAATAAAGCCAAGCGTGTCTCTACATTTTGTAAAGATTGTCCAGAGCAACTGACACTATGTCTTCAATGTTTCAATGAAATTCATAATTCATTTTTGTTTCAAATTTAAAAGGCATTATTATTATTATTATTATTATTATTATAAGTAAAGTTATGTTACCTACCTAAATATATGTGCTCACTTCCATTGTTAGAAAAAATATTTTTGCGTTATTTTTCACTAATTATTTTAACCAATAACTACTTAGTTTAGTTACTTCATATGGTTGTTACAGTGTGTTTTAGAAATAAAATCTTATGAAAACCATGGATTTTTATACCCCTAATTAAATATCATATAAAATTATAGCCAAATGCGGCACCGGTGGCGCACTAGTGTGTATTTACTATATCTATAGCGGTATGCCGAAATTTTTGCAGATATATGGTCATATTTCTAAGTCCATTAATAAAACTACAGCATCAAGGAAAATAAACTAAGAATCCATATTTAACAGTAGAGAGAACCAAGGCTTCACTTTTCACTGTTTTTTCAATATGTTACTTAAAATAGACCTATTATTGTACAGTGAACGACGATGCGACGATACATACGAATGCTTTTTAGACGTGTTGTTTCAAACGAAACTGCTCGTCAATTTGTATACCTAACATTTTGGATACGTTACAGAAATTCAGTTTAACACCATTAATAACTATACTGAAAGCCTTTAATAAACTGTCGATGCTAAGGTTTTGATCTTGCTCTATCGACTTCGTCTCTTATATGCAGAAGTGCAGTCGTGGTACTGTGATTCTTAACGAAAATCCCATTGACGACTCGGTATAATGTTGTTTTCATTAATATGTCTTAAAATTTGTTGTTATACGAAATCAGATATAATGTTTGGATTCTTCCCTTTAGGGAGAGGCTTAACTATTGCTAGCTTCCATGATTCTGTAAAGTACGAATTTTCGATGCACATGTTTATAATATTCGTTATATGTGAAATAATTGCTGGTAAACACTGCTTAACCGTGGACAGGTTTATTTGATCTACCCCAGGAGCACATGACTTTAAAGAATAAACTGCAGATTTTACAGAATCATTATTAACTTGAGATAACGTATAAATACACTTAGAGAAAAGTCCATTGCTATAATAGTGTACAGTGTTATTCCAAATATTTTTATTATAAACCGATGAAAAATATTTATTAATTCTTTCCACCAGTTGTGAATCTTCAGGTATTCAGACTGTGGCATCTTTACTAATCTCCATGTGACGCAAAGCAAAATTTCTCAACTCAGTAAAGCTGTTCGATGCAGATTCTGCCTTGAGTGATTTGTAATATTGTGACTACATGTTGAAATTAATCGTTCTTCAGGGTTGGAGCCCAGTTCAAGAACGACGCCTGCAACTGGTACTACAACAAGTACCCTCCGCCCAACCCGAAGCTCAGATTCAAGAAATTTTCATGATCCAGACGCGTCCTGTCAAGCGATCACGTTGACATAACCCAAATTCGAAAGTGTGATGTCATCCCGAGTCTTCCAAAATTTCCCGTATTTCGATTGATTATGGAGAAAATCGCCACCGAGAACCTGTTCCTGCTGGAGTTCCTTGTCGACGAAGTCGACATAGATCCAAAAAGGGACAGCGATGCACCAGGCGAGATTTGTGTCTCCTTCCAGTTTCTGGACAATGCACCTCTGGATGTGTGTGAGGCCGACTGCAACCCCCAAAGGAACTACAAGTTGGACAGTGAGGATGTTAAGGTAGCACTTGGTTTGCTTAAAATTCAGTTTTATTACTTGTTAAATGTCCTGTGTTGTCACATGGTCTTGCGAAGTTTGAGTGGGCTCAGACTTTCACATGGACTTTAATAAGAAGCTTCCATATGTTTCTCTATTATTTCAGTTCGTATTATACACCTCAAATTTGACCACAGTGGTCAAAATTGTGAAATAATGACCTACGCCGACGATACTCTTATCATTTCAATTTCTATCATTTCTCCCAAATAATCATGAACATGCTACCTCACTAATAAACAAAGATCTGGAAGTAATATAGGTAGGTATATAATTATGCAAAGGACGATGCTCTTAAATTGAATACTGAAAAAACCTGAATGATTTTATTCCGCCCAAAAACAAAATTCAATTTTTTGAAGCACAACATGCAAATTCGTATCAATCAATCACATTTGATTCAGTTATTTTCAAAATTCTATATTGTATGCCATTTTATTATCCCTGCCTTGACCAATATACACCAAAACGTTTGAAGAAAATCCAAAATTACAGGTGTCGTCTGCTAAATAATCTAACAAGATGTTATAATATCAGACTAAATCATTGCTATGAACTGGCTGAGGATTAAACACTTGTTCAAATGTTTATTGCTTACAATTGTACATAAAACAAAGCTCAACAAGAAACATTTTTACTTTTACAGAAAATTCATTCCTCGTAATAACACCTCAACAGAATATGCGTTTTTCAAAAATAATCAGTATTTCTATATTCACAAGATCTTTCATATTTAATGCAATCCCTTTTTACAAATTCTCTACCAAACGACCTGAAAAATATGACTCTGTAATGTGCAATTGTAATGGTTTCTGGTACTGAACTTTTACATTGCTTTATCTTAATTTGTTTGCTGAATATGTATATGAATTTCTAGTGTGCAGTGTATGGAAGTGGAAAAATATCCGAAGCTAAACTTCGCCCATTTATAATGTTTCGTTATAAATAGTTTATTCTTCTTTTTCCTCTTCTTCTTATTATTATTATCTAAAATGTTCAAGTGCACTGCACACTTGGGTAGTATTCGAATACACGCTATTTCGAATCATATTCAGAATACATTTGCCTGGTATTCGATTACTATTTGAATATACAGGGTGACTTTCAATCTCACGTATTCCTGTTGAGGGTTGATAGATTAGGTCAAAAGCAACCGATTTTGCCCTATAATGTTATAAGTTAACCGTTTTGAGTTATTTGAATTTTATTTTTTTTATTTTTTATTCCGATTTCAGACGGTTAAAATTGAAATACAAAAAAACTGCTTGCTTGATTTTGATTTTTTTATTATCGTCGCATAGCAGACATTCCAATAGTTCATAATAAGCAATAAAATGTTGAAAAGCTACAAACGTTTTAAAATTACGCTTTTTAAATGTATCATTTTCTTATTTTTTACTAACTTATTCAATAAAAAATGCAATTTTCTGTAAAAAATCTCCTAGTAATGAAATGTGCAAATTATGTAAATAATATCTCCATCTAACAAGCTTTTATTTGAGGTATTAAGCGTTCAATTATCTGAAGTACATGCAGAGAAACAACAATGGCACCCACAGAGGCTGGATTTTTAAGGAATTTGTATTATCTGTTTGAACAAGTCGTTATTGTCCTCAAAGGACACGCATGCCATGATTATTTTATGGCATCGGCTCGACGAGGAAGCGAGCGAGAAGAGCTGACTTTAGTTGGTATCAACTACTGCGTACGCGCACACGTTTTACGCACGATTATTATTTTCGAGTTTCCCAGTTCATTTCGAGTGGTTTCTTTATCATCATGGCAGACGCAGAAGATCCGCCAGGACCTCGCCATAGCGAGCACGGGCAAACTTTTACAAATCAAGAATACATAATGTTCTGTTATGGACTTTGTAACGGCGATTCTGCAGCTGCCCGCCGTAAATGTCGGCAACGTTTCCCGAATCGCCGAATACCTCATGTTACTGTGTTTGACTCTGTGTATCGGAGCATCCGCCAAACCGGACGTGTTCAAAGGCAACATAGTGATGCTGGTCGACCCCGAGTCTATCCTCCTGACGTTGAAGAGGAAATCCTTCGTGTGTTTCAAAAAGACCCTACTACGTCTACGCGCATTGTGGCTGCTCAGTTGGGTATATCACAATACAAAGTATGGTTTACTGTGCATACTGCAAGATTATACCCTTATCACTACACGCCTGTGCATGTGATTGAAGAGGGCGATCCTGCAAGACGATTAGATTTCTGCAGGTACATGTTATATGCAGATACAGAAGATCCAGACTATTTTTAGAAAATTCTGTGGACCGATGAATCGAAGTTTGATAAGGACGGGATCACTAACTACCATAATTGTCATTGCTGGGCTGATATAGAAGCTTTAAACCCCCGAAAAATAAGACCGACGGGGTCGCAGAGCCAGTTTTCAGTCAATGTGTGGATGGGCATCATTGATGGATATTTAATTGGACCTCATTTTCTGCCCGCCAATTTAAATGGAGAAGTGTATGAAGAGTTCTTGAAAAATCACTTGTTTCCCTTAATGGAAGACGTCCCATTGGCGACGAGACAAAATATGCGGTTCCAGCACGACGGCTGTCCCGCACATCACAGTAGATTAGTACGGGCGTATTTAGACTCTAAAGTTCCAAATAAATGGATTAGCAGAGGCGGGCCCATTGCCTGGCCAGCAAGAAGCCCAGATCTCACACCGATGGATTACTATGTGTGGGGACATATGAAAAGCCTGGTGTACGATGTTTTGTCCATACCAACGCGCGATGAAGTAATTACAAGGATAATTAGTGCAGCTGACCAAATAAAAAGCCTCTTAGATAGAGAGTCTTTATTGTCTTTTGGTCATAAATAGCTATGACATAAGACTTGTCAACATTACATATACAATACATAAGTATGCGATATGCAAAAAAGAACAGGTAGTTAATTAAAACAGTAATTGAGATAATAAATAATAAACAAATAAATAAATAAAATAGGAGTCATTACAAACACAAACAAATTCTTAATGACTTCTAACGAACATGAAAAAAAAATCAATTTTAAATAAATAAAAACAATTGAGCACTTAAAAGCTTAATAAATAAATAAAAAGAATAAATAAATAAAATTAAGCAGTTAGGTATTCGTCGACGGTGTAGTAACACTTTTCTGATAGATATCTTCTCAGACGTTTCTTTAATGTCAACATATTAGTGCTTCTGCGGAACTCAATTGGTAGTTTATTGTAAATTTTTGTAGAGGCATAGAGTGGTGATTTCAGAAACTGGGTTGTTGCGTGGACTGGTATACTTAAGTCAAAACCTATTCTAGTGTTGTAGTGCCTGATGACTGTGTTGTTTTGAATAAAACTGGTCCTATGTTTAAATGCGAAGAGAGCGCATTTATATATATATATAGATGGATATTAATGTTAGCAGATTATATGTTCTGAAAATATCTTTACAAGAGTCTCTTTTGTTGATATTGAAAATCAGCCTGAGTACTCTTTTCTGCAAGATGAAGACTCTGTTGTTCATGACTGCTTGTCCCCATAGTATTATATTATTGCTAAGATGCGGGTAAGCCAAGGCGTAGTAGATATCTATAAGAGCTGTTTGGGAGATGTTTTGTTTGAGTTTCAAGATTGCAAAGTATGCACTATTGAGTTTCTTAATGACATGATTCACATGTGACTGCCAGCCCAACTTCTCATCAATATGAGTTCCTAAGAATTCGATTCCGTCTGAGAAGATATCGTTGTGGAACCGTGGTTTGCTATTGTAGAAATGCACATACATTGTTTTATCAGCGTTTAGTATAAGGCGGTTTGATACACACCAGTCGTTCATTTCTGTTTCAACTCGCTCAATTGCTTGGAGCAGGTCAACTGGTGTTGCGGCACTACTACTGACGTATCATCAGCGTAGTTGATCATATGGCCAGATAGTTTTAGGTCGTTCATAAACAAAATGAACAGGAGTGGTGCTAGTACCGAGCCCTGGGCTGCACCAATGCTTATGTCATACACCCCCGACGAGGAACCATTCACTCTTGTTTTAAGCTGTCTGTTTGATAGAAAAGAAACAAGCCAGCGTAAAAGAAAGTCCCTAATACCGAGGTTATACAGCTTCTGCTCGACGAAGTTTATGTCTATTATATCAAATGCCTTCGAAAGATCGAAAAACAAGCCTGCAACATATTTATTAGAATCAATATCCTCGTAAACTTTGTTAAAAAAGTCAAATGACGCTGTTACTTATTTAAAAAGCTAACGATTCGTCTAAGCAGGCACTTTTCTATAATTTTTGATATAATAGATAACAGAGATATAGGTCTGTAGTTCTCTATATCAGTCGGATATCGTTTCTTAAATATAGGAATTACAATGGCAAGTTTGAGACACTTTGGAAATTTACCTTTCAGCACTGACTTATTTACTACAGCACTAACAGCTAGAGTTACCAAAAGTGAATTACGTAAGAGAATGCAGGCGTGTATTCATAACAGGGGATTACAATTTGAGCAGAATCTGTAAAATACTAAAGGAAATGTAATTAAATAAAACTGTAATTAAAATAAAATCCATTTATTTATCCTACGTAATTATCGTTCGTACAACTTTACTCATCTTTTTTTAATTTTATGTCTTTGTACTTGAGTTAGTTGTAACTTTTATACCTCAAATGAAAGCTTGTTAGATAGAGATATTATTTACATAATTTGCACATTTCATTACTAGGAGAAAATTACATTTTTTATCGAATAAGTTAGTAAAAAAATAAGAAAATCATACATTTCAAAAGCGTAATTTTAAAACTTTTGTAAGTTTTCAACATTTTATTACTTATTATGAACTATTGGAATGTCCACTATGCGACGATAACAAAAAACTCAAAATCAAACATGTATTTTTTTTGTATTTAAAATTTAACCGTCTGAAATCAGAATAAAAAATAAAAAAATAAAATTCAAATAACTCAAAAACGGTTAACTTCTGGATAGGACATTATAGGACAAAATCAGTTGCTTTTGACCTAATTTATCACCCCTTAACGGGAATACGTGACATTACAGGTATATGTGTTTCGTATTTGTTATTCGACTGAAAACTTTTTGGTTAGTACTCGGTCTTCAGGATTCTGAATAACATTTCTGACTCTCAATATTCCAATACTTACTCTGTAATCAAATCCTGGTATTCGAATCCCGTATTGAAATCAAGTTTTCATTTCATTTGGCTATCCTTATGAATATTCCGTTACGCCTTACGCAACTTAGGCGTGTTAAAATACGTTCGCGGTGGTTATGAATGGCACAAACAAAATAGTTACGCAAAGTTATTTTGTTTGTGTGGACGGCGATGCTTCTGAATGCACGATGCCGACAGGTCCCTTAAGGAACAAGTAACAAGATTAGATTACGTATGCACTTGCGCTTGTGTAATATTACCATTTTATTTTATAATAAATTTTAATACCTCTTATAGTGATATACAACAATGTAAATTTATTTTTTAGTAATGTAAGTGCATATACAGGGTGTTTCAGTTTATTGTTGCATAACTTTAAGATTCGATAGAACTTTTAAAATTAATGCATAAAGTCCATATAAACATGTGTCGAAAAATGCGTGGCTTCCGAAATAAAATTTACTTTTTGAAATATTTTTTTTTAATATTTCGAACAATATTTGATGTATAACAGTGAAAATTGGGATACAAGGGTTTTTTGGTACGACAAAACGAACCATGGGCATAGTTTTACTGTAGCCGGTAGCCGCTAGAGGGCGCTCTCTACTGTACCTGTAGTGTATTAAAATGACCGAAAAATTTTTCTTAGTGCAATTTTTTGCATTTTGAATAAAAAAACTGATTCTTCGCACTTTTCTGCATAAAGGAGCTCTCCTGTGAGTTTTCGTTATAGTTAGCCGTTTTTGAGATATTTTGATTTTTAAGGTTCGATGCATTTTTAATTATTTATGGGAAATTTTCGATTTGAACATTACAAGTAATTAAGATGATCGTTTAGATTGTGTTTTTAAACACAGCAATAATTCCTAACTCCAAATAAACACAAAAAAAACAGAATATTAATTTGTTTAATTTTCCAATATTATTTTTAACAAATTAAATTAATTATTTACAACTAAAATGTTATTGGATAGTAAGGACAAACATACAAAATCTAAAGTAGTTGCTCGAAATGTAAACCCAATTGCTCAATACACAATTCACATCTACGAATGATCGAACGTGGTATAGCATTATTCAAATAAGGCCTTATTTCATCACATGCATTCCTGATTCTGTCTATTAGCATATCTCTTGTGGTTACGGGAGTCTGGTACACTTTTTCTTTTAGAAATCCCCACTCAAAGAAATCTAATGGATTTAGGTCAGGGGATCGTGGAGGCCAGGCGACTGGTCCTTCACGGCCGATCCATCTTTCTGGATAATTTTCGTCCAGCCAGTTTCTAACTATTCTCGAATAATGAGCTGGACAACCATCAAGCTGGAACCAGGCCAATCTTCTTAAATCTAACATAACATCATCCCACATATTTGCATGTTCAGCCTTTAAAAATTCCAAGAAGGTCGCAGCATTTAACCTTGCAGGCAAACGGTAGGGTCCAAATAGTCTATTACGGTAGATACCAATCCACACGTTCACACTAAATTCATGCTGAAAATTTCTTTCCCGAACTGCATGTGGATTTTCATGCGACCAAATATGTTGATTATGAAAATTTACCACTCCACGTCTAGTGAAGCATGACTCATCGGTCCATAAAACGTTACTTGAAAAATTCCCTATTATTATCAGTTCTATCAAGAATCCACTGACAAAATGTGATTCTTCGTTCTCCGTCCCCTGGCTGTAGTCCTTGCACAGGCTGCAAATGGTAAGGACGTCTATGATCATTTCTAAGAACACGGTGAACATGGCTTGCTGAAATTCCCAAGACACCAACTCTCCTAACACTTGCGGTCGGATCTCTATCAAACTCACGCAGAATCATACGGGTAAATCTGCGCTGACGAACATTTATGTTTTGATCCCTTTGGAGAGTTCCAAAACCATTTTCAATTATTTGGCGATGCACTCTTACAAATACTGAGCGAGTTGGATGTCGTCTGTTTGGAAATCTTCGTGCGTATTCTCTGGCTGCTTCTGCTGCGTTTCCATTTACAAAGCCATACACAAAATGAATATCCGCTAACTCTTGATTGGAGAATGAAAATGGCATTTTTATAAAAGATAAAAAAAACAGGTAAAAGAAACTAAATTTCGTGCATTCACAATTGCAAATAACGTTTCAGGTTTCAACAGACAACAAAATTAACTGTCAACTAATTGACGTTTAACCTTAACCTAAAAATCGAAATATCTCAAAAACGGCTAACTATAACGAAAATTCACAAGAGAGCTTTTTTATGTTGAAAAGTGCGAAGAATCAGTTTTTTTATTAAAAAGCAAAAAATTGCACTAAGAAAAATTTTCGGTCATTTTAATACACTACAGGTACAGTAGAGAGCGCCCTCTAGCGGCTACAGTAAAACTATGTCCATGGCTCGTTTTGTCGTACCAAAAAACCCTTGTATACCAATTTTCACTGTTATACACCAAATATTGTTCGAAAAATTAAAAAAAAAACTATTTTAGAAAGTAAATTTAAACACCCTGTATTTCGGAAGCCACGCATTTTTCGACCCATGTTTATATACTTTATGCATTAATTTTAAAAGTTCCATCGAATCTTAAAGTTATGCAACAATAAACTGAAACACCCTGTATATAGGTGTATATATTTTTAGTTGGAAATTTCATAAAGTATTCATAAGTTAAATGAATCCTGGTATCCAAAACAGCGGAATTCGATAACTTTTTTTCTTAGTGAATTCGGATATAATATTTAGGATTCGTATTCGAATATCGGATATCAGTATTCGACCCAAGTCTGAGACACTGACATTCCATCGTTTGAAGTAGATCCACCTTCTAAAGTAATATATTTGGCTGGAAATCTGATAAATCCACTGTTTACGGTATTTTGATGTATTCACCATCCCATATTACCTATTTTGATTCTTCATTTTCCTTTTGATTTATCGGACTAATAACCAATGATTTATCAATTTATTCCAGAGCGGAAAGTCTTGCCTGTTCTCATTGTCTCCAGAACAGGCAATTGAGGCAACCAAACAATTCGACATACTTGTAAACGTTTGCAAAAAAATGCAGCCCGGCTGGCTGCCAGAGAGATTGGATTTGGGTGCATCGTTGATCAACATTGCGAACTTGTTTAACGAATTGATTGATAGCGTTGAAACTTCTGATGGTAAGTCCGCATGAGAAAATGGGACAAAAAGTTTCTGACGCATTCTGGAAAGTTTCTAAATTTATACAAGGTGGTTAGTAATGAATACTCAAAAGAGTAATTCTAGACTAAACGCGTGAAAGTATCATTATGCAAGGTGTTAACAAAGAATATGGGCAAACCTCAGTGGGTAATTTCTTGGGCAAGTCTAGTAAGAAAACTTAATTCAGGAATTCGTATGTTTCTCAGGTGCAACTCCTACAGCAAAAACATTGAAAGATACCTTTGATATCACCACCCAAGATGGTACACCGATTGGTAAACTAGGTGTTTACATCAGAATGTCTTGCTTCGGAAAACTCATCGTGACACAGTTTCAGATGAATCTACAAGATAAGTCTGTTCTGTTCAAGGACAAAGAAGGAAAATCCTTGTATAGGTACAAGAAAGCAGGAAAAGGATGTAAGTAACTAAAGCCCTGTTTGTCCAGCCATCGTCAACCTGTCAGTGACAGTGTCCAAGATCCCACGACAGAAATTCCGTTCATTCTGCTACGTCACCGACCACTGTACGAACAAATCCTTAGGTTCAGTTTAACCAACTGGTACAAAAGGTACTATAAAAGTTTTGCAATATGACTTAACAAACGAACGCAGGAGGCTGCATGATACCGCATGTTGAGACAAGTTCATGAGTGCATAGTGGCCTCCAGCACACGTCTATTGATTTAGTTGTTAATTCGTATTGACAGTGTGGACTATGGCATCGTGGTCATGTAGTGAGATAAGGGCAGTTTAAGAGTATAACTTTACGCGTGGCTTAAGCATAGAAAAGTGCTTAGAAGAAATGACACTGGCATATACAGTTCTCAAACCTGGGAAAACCTAAAAACTCTAACAGAAACAGAATTTTGCAAGATTATCAAATGGTTCAACTCTAGACTTTTAACCGTAAATTAAAAAAAACTTGTTACATCCCATTTTCATCCTGTGAACGATATATGTCCAAATATTCAAATTTAAACATAAAGCTGAACAACCAAAATGAACAATTATAACTAACTTCTTCGCGCAGTGTTAAATATCTGGGAGTGTATCTAGATTCTACGCTTAAATGGGACACGCACATACATTTCGTAATTAAAAAATTGCGTACAATACTTTACAAATTTAAATATCTTAAGAAATACCATGACTTCTGTCAAATGAAAGTACTCTATTATTCACTAGTTGAGAGCCATTTGAGGTATGGTGTGATCGCGTGGGGAGCAGCGAGTAAGACACACATGAAAAATCTTGAGACAATACAAAAGTACATTCTAATAGGTAATATATAATAAGCCAAGAACATACCCAACAGAACAATTATATACCGAAATTGCAGTGCATGATATTCGCAACTCTACTTTATCCAGACCATCATGAAGCAGCCCCAACTAAAACATAAGTTACGACAAACTGAGCATGACTATGATACCCGCCATAAAGTGAGAGCACGCTTACCAAAACCTCATGTCAATGTCATGCAGAGATCATTCCAATACCTAGGACCGAAGCTCTGTAATAGTTTGCCTATTATCTCAAAACAGTATAATTCTATGCAGTTTAAAAAATAATTAAAAAAGTGGATTAATGAAATACCTCGCCTCTACATACATCAGCTAATTCTTTCAAATACATATAAAAACAATTAAAACCTTTTTTTTAAACTGTCAAGGAATATTTTTTAAAGTTCTTAATATATACAAAAGGTTAAGCATATCCAAGCATGCAGCAACTAAAGCAACTGAACTTCCAAATATGACATTCTCTGATTCGTCGCACACCCGATTATGACTACTGTACATATGTATAATGACAATTATACCGATATAGACTGAATATTGGATAGACATCTCACCACGCACAGGCTTTGCCTTCTGTAGGTACCTATTTCATATTTATTTGCATGTTTTTTATTTCACCTGTAACATTTCTAATTGAATTGAAAGCAAATAAATTATTATTACTATTAAAGAATGATTGTCCTCATCGTACGACTATATTCAGGTGGTACAGAGAATTCCAAAGGGATTTCACTCTGGAGGACGCAAAATGCTTGACAAAGACGGATAGTGACATACCAACAGATAGAGGAGACCTTACACCTTCATGCACCAGCAATTCATTCAAGTCTGCATGACCATTTACATGTAAGGAAACTTTGTTCTCTCTGGGTACCGAATAGTCTGACGGAAGAGCAGAAGGCTCGACGTACGACTTGGTACCTACCGGGAGATGCTGAAAATGTTTGATAAGGGGCAATCTCGGTATGTGAACAGCATCGTGGTAGGTGACGAGACTTGGCTCTATTATTACGATGTGCCGACCAAGGCTCAAAAGAAAGTTTGGGACTTTGGTGATGAGGTTTCACCCGTACCTGTCGAAAATTCCGATCTGTTAGGAAAAAATGATACATGTATTTTAAAATCGGGATTGTGGAGCGTGTCGTTTTGGATACACAGAAGACAGTCACAGCTAAGTGGTGCACGGAAAGCGAGTATTTTACCACTACTGGAGTGAACAGTGGCGAATCGTCCATGTAACCATTGTTACCATTGGTAACAGTTAAAAATTTTAAAAATAAATATTTTATGACTAAGTACTGTGAAATAATTTCATTTATTTGTTTACCAACAGCGATATGTAATAGTAATTCAGTAAATAGCAAATTAGTTCCACGAAAATAAGGCGCCCTATAGAGTCTAGGTTTTGTGAACACGATGAAGCTGACTCGCCTCGACTTGGTTGTCGGTTGTTACCATTTTCATTTATGGATACACTTGGTAGTCTGTCGGGGACCGTCGGTGCCGGCTCGTGACTGATCGCGGTCGCCAGAGTGCGTGGGGCGCTGCGACTATTATGTGGGCTTGTTACCATTTTTTGATTTGGTTACTCACTTGTTAGTAGCCGTTTCGGTTACCGGCCGTAGTATGCGTGTAATTAAACATGGATGAGTGTCGCTGCGTAATCGATCAGCTACTTGAAAAGTCATTCTCCTTGTATAATTTTTAAGAAAAAAAGGAGATCATTGAAAATGGAAGACCAACGCCTATTTTAGATAATTTTAAAAAGGAATAAAAAAACGTAGTTTGATATTTTAAATTAAGTTGGTATATGGAAACTCTTGTTTATGTGATTGTAAAAAAACGTTGTATTGTTGGCGATGCATTCTGTTTTATACAGAATAAAATGCAGCGGAGTCAACGATTTAAATAGTTTTAGGGCTCTAAAGAGGAGACACGAAATTTCTCCGTTGCATGTGAGATGTGTAGCCAATTTAATTCAGTTTGGCAAAACAAGACTCGAAAGTTGTCTTAACCAAGCTTTTAGGCAGCACACTTCTAGATCCCGTATGTTTTTTGGCAAAACAGGAATTACCGTTCATTTTTAAGGGGATGACTCTGACCATAGAGGAAATTACAGGGAATTGTTAAGATTCGTTGCCAAAAAAGATCAAAAAATATCCGACCATCTAGAAGCGTCGCCACTGGGGGTGAAACTTATTGAGCACCCTCCTTACAGTCCCGATCTTGCTCCCTGCAACTTTGCACTGTTTCCGCATGTGAAAATGAAGCTTAAAGGAAAACGGTTTTCTAGCGATGAGGATCTTCTGAGGGCTTGGGACAACGAGTGTGCCGCACTCCCGGGTGAAACTTGGCAGAGCTGGTTTATGGACGCATGAAGGGGTGTACAGAATGTGGCGGATATTACTTTGAACGAAGTCATTAAATGAAGCTGTTTTGCAAAACTTTTATAGTACCCTCTGGACTGAGTTCAAGCTCTTTATGGAGTTTTAACCAAGGATCAATGGTTTTCCTCAAAGAGCGAATACTACTTTAATCGATAGGTGGTCATGCGTTTTTCTGTTAAGGCCTAATCCTACAACATTCCATGTACCCATATAAACCCATGGTTCACGTGCACTGCTACAAATAAAGCGTTTTTCAAAATGCACGCCATTTGAATTTGAATGGAAGTTTTTGTTTAGATTGTTATTTTTTTAATGGCATAGTAAAGTATTCAGAGTCGGATTGTATATGGAATCGCCACTCAGGAATTGCAGGCGATCTTTCCGCTGAATGGCTAGGTACAATAGCAGACAGCCTGCATTCATCAAAATTGTTTTCTGGAATTGTTTGGGTCTTAGGGATGTCCCCAAAAAACGGGAATTTCATCAAGCTCTTTTGGATGAAAGCGTAGATGTGGCTCTGTTGCAGGAAACATTGCTTAATCCGGGAGATCGTCTAGCTTTCTCGAATTATGATGTTATCCGCGCTGATGGATTAACTGGACGGGGTGGCGGTTCGGCAGGGCTAGTAAAACGGGGTATTGACTATTACAGAAGCACAAACGCTGAGATGCAGAGCATCGAAGCAACTTCGGTGGTAGTGAATATGACGGGAGGTATCTCGTTGAAAATCACATCGGTTTATGTCAGATGTGGTGCCAGGCTGCAAGAGACGGATCTGGAAGTCCTGTTTGAGTGCTCGGGTCCGCTTATTGTAGCAGGGGATTTCAACTGTACACATCGAGCATGGCACTCTAGGTTAAATTCCACCAGTTGGATTCGACTTTACAACCATGTGATACGAAACGGCTACCTCATACACAGCACTGAGGAGCCGACTCACCACCCATTTAATCACCTTCAGGCACCAGATGTCATTGACTTATATATCTAGAAACTGTAGATACAGTGTCACTTCTCGAATCATGTGACATTTCGAGCGATCATCTTCCTATCGTACTGGAAGTGGGTAATGAGCAAACCTTGGAAGGGGAAACTCTTCCAAGGAAAAGGGTTGATTGGGAGCTATACAAGTCGCTCCTTAGAGAGTTCCCCAATATCCCGATCATAGATGATGAGAACGATATAGTTGCTGCAGTCATTCGTCAGAAAATTTCTGACAGAAGAGCTGCAATTAAGCAAGCGAAGAGGTCTTGTCACCCAGATGACATTCACAGAGCTACGAATCTTGTTCATGAAGTGAGAAATGCTCTTCATGAATTCCGTAATGAGCAATGGAGCGACTTTCTGTGGGGGATGCTTGACTCAAGTATTCCTCTCTGGAAAGTTGCAAAGTCGCTCAGAAACGGAAAGCGAGAACAACTCCCGCACATCCACAGTCCTAGGGGCATAGCCTGTAGGATAGAGGAAAAGGTCGAGGTTTTCGTTGATGCAATGGAAAGTCAGTTCTCTCCCAACTATGACCTTGATAATGACCTTGACGAGAAGCAACATATTGTAAGATCCTTCAGGAGATATTTTAGGGCCAACGGCGTCAGTGGCAGTAGTGCCTCCCTTAGTGACTTTTCATCAGAGGAATCTTCAGAAGATTCCTCAACTGAAGAGCTTCATGGCACATCAGCGGAATCTCGTGAGACTCCGCATTGCACAGCAGCAGAGCTCCAAGGTCATATTAAAGACCTCAAGGTGCGTAAAGCACCTGTAGAGGATCGAGTCAGTAATAAGGCGCTGAAGCTACTTTCACGGAAGTCCTTAACTTATCAATAATCAATGCCATGCTAAGGAACCAGCACTTCCCAATGGCGTGGAAGACCGCTGATGTCATAATGATCCCAAAGAAGGTGGGTTCGATATTCCCCCAGGGTTACCGCCTCATTAGTCTACTGTCAGCTCCTTCTAAGCTCGCTGAAAAGGTTATTCTACGTCACCTTGAAAATTTCTCGGCAGACCACAATGTGATTCCTGACACTGCCCTGGTGGCCCAGTCGTTCTCTGGGGATCTAGTCGATCATTCGAAAACGCAGGCAATCTATTGCACTAAAAAACGTAGCCGCGCCCCGTCTGAGGTTTCAGAGAATGGAGCTTGGGTAAGATAGGAAAGCTCTGCTAAGTATCTCGGTGTCACTCTTGACAAGGGGACGACCTGGCAGAAGTACACTGAAGCGTTAAAAACTAAATTCCAAATCTCGTTTCGGCAACTCTACCCTATGCTATATAGAACATCAAAATTAAGTTTGATCAACAAAGTTCGGTTATACAAGATGGTTATTAGACGACCGATATACATATATACATAACAACCCTTTGTTGCGCGAGTCAGTAGCACTGCGAACAAAATTAAATCGTGCGACTTTAGGTCCAACCAAAATTATAATTTTCTTCAACAACCAATCCCAAAATTAATTTTAGGATCAATTTAGAATTGCCGAATACTAACTAGCAATGCCAAGGCACCCCTCAAATTGATGCACTTCTGTTTTCTTTGCTCTCCCTCCTTCCTTCCTTTCTTCTTCCCTTCTTTCTCCCTGACTTTGTTTGGTATCTGGGCAACCAGACCTGACAGACCTACTGAATTACAAGACTTCAACCAAGAGCAAAGGTCCTACGGACCGCTCTGACAGACAATGACGAATAGATATATCTTGTTTGGGTTTCTCAATAGTACGATATTTGCACCTCACTTAATGCCTTAATCGCTACCTACCTTGAAGAAGATGGTGCTGGTTAGGCTGGAGGTCATGTCTAAGGTTATTATCGGATGAAGATGTCAATTCATTATCTTTTGTTGAAATCAATGAAAACCCTCATGAAAACAGGTTAAGTCTCTATTAAAGCTGCCTTTCTTGACAGCCTGACCTCAAGCCTCACTAGCGCCGCCTGACGGGAGCGAATTTGGACATCACTGGTATCCACACACCACAAAGACTAGCGTCTAGGTCTAGCGTATTTGCTGGATATAAGGTCTACGTCGGTAAGTAAGCTTGATTCCCAAGTGGTCACCATTGGTAGCGTCGCCAACTTTATACTTTGATATAAACTGAATTTGAACCTCAGGGCTTATCGGGGTAGATGAGGTGATGTGGGATCTGGGTCAATACTCGTATTGGCAATGTGCTATTGACCATTTTTCCAGCCAAAAAAGGCGGATCTTCAGCTGGACAAACCTCGCCCATTAGAGGCAACCAACAGTGTCCTACAATACCCTGCGGTCCTCAAGGAACAGCTATGGCTATGGAGATGAGTACGGCTTTGGCGGCAGGTATCGGTGGAGCGCGCAAATCCAGTTGTCCAACAACCCCATGTGCTCCCGGAGGAGGACCAGTGGGTGGACCAGGTGCGATGGGAGGTAAACAATCTTTTTAGTGTATCCTTTTTATGCTTTATACCTGGTGCATGTTTACCACCATTGAGATCTAGGAACCGGTGAGAAATTCTGTTGCGCAATTAGGTAATTAACAAAAGCTTAAAAGGCGGGAAAAACCGAATTTTCCCAAAATCGTTTTAATTTTTTCTTCACTGTATTTGTAGTGGGATGTTGAAATAAATTGCACATTAACATTGCAATCTTTTCTCCTCTCTAAAATGATATTTCAATATGACGTTTCGTTTCTTGTTCTCCAGCATCAACTTCATTTTTTTCTTACGGGCGCCACATTGAATTTTTGCGCAGATGAATAGAGTTTTTAATTCTGATTCCAAAAATGTAATATATGTCATACATTGAAATTGCTAAACCTTAGTTATTCCAGAAAAACAGAAGTTCCTAGGTATGCTTTAAAATTATCAGATGGTCATTTGTTTCGCATACTAGATTTATCCCAAAATCAAAAAGCAGATAACGTCAAAAAATGTTTTTATATAAATATAAACATTAGCATCCTCGCACTCCGTAATATTGAGTCTTATGGAAATAAAAACCTCTATCATCTAACATATCTATCTATCTAGGAATGGGTCAACCCGGAATGGGTATGAGTGGCATGCCCGGAATGGGAATCATGCCGGGCTTAGATGGTGAACGTGGTGGTGCGCCTTGCAATGAATGTGGAGGTTTTACAGATGCGCAGTGTATACAAGGAGGTAGGATGTCGTTTTATGAATGAAAATTGACTTGCGATATTAGATGCAATAAAACATGTTTTTGGGAATTCCTCTAGGTGACTCTTTCATCATTTATAAAATTGTATATAATTCTAGGATATTATACAGGCTCGTACTTAATGATAGGTTCTAATGACAAGGGAGCATTCGCCAACCAAATTTGAGTAGAAAAGTTTACATAAATATGTGTCCTTAAGAGTCTAGTTTACAAGATTCTAAACAAAGTTCTAAAAAAATAGTTTTATTAATGTCTCGAAGATACTGCCGATTTTGTTGAATTTTTGCAGTGTTGTAATGCGACGCTAAGTTAGCACTGACTAGAAGATAATTATGAGTTCCAGCGGCGTCTCAGGGGACAAAAAATGTACATTCGTCACAAGGGTCTTTGACATGTTAATAAATAACTATTTTTTTTATAAAACTCTGATACATTGTATCTTGGAAACTAGTATTTTAGGACATTCGTTTATATGTATAAACTATTCTACTTGAATTTGGTTCAGGAACGCCCCTTGTAATTACAGATTGTCATTAATTAACGCCCTGTCTCTGTATAGTGCAGCCATTGAAACTTTTATGATTGCCGATTCCTGATTCGCTTTCGTTTCCTTGCTCATACATTAACACTACAGGAATTTGAAAAAGGCTTTATTGATATAGTCCGTACCATGAATGTTGGCGTACACGTCATCATTTGTACATTTCCGAGCAAATAGTTTTGAAGTAGGCACTTTCTACCATAGGCGAAAATCCATAGGCGTGCCCCCGGGCAGATTTTTAGTAGTAAAAATGCACTGTGTCAGGCGGCAAAAAGTATTTTCTATATATTTCGAAAATATTTGCTGCACAAAACGGTAAGTCTTGATTTACTGTTATTTGAATGCGCGATTTAAGGAACATATTTCAATTTTGCAGGAAATGAAGAAAAACAGAATATTTTCTGAAAAAGCATAACATTGAGAAAAATATTGAAATTTCAGTTTTAAGTTTTAAAATTAAACATACTCGAACATATAAGGTAATTAATAGATTTTTTTATTTGTACTGGTAGATAGCGTATATGAACACAAAGTTACGATGAATTACCAGGCTCTATCACACAACAATTCCTTCAAGCTTTCATGGGTAGATTTGACCGAAATAAATATCGCTGTCTTAAAAATCTTCATCTGAACTGCTGTCGTCTCCATTGATTGTAATAATCACTTCTGGCACATTATCCAGGATTCGTTGTCTGTTATACCATGCATCTATAACTCCCTCCGTGTGTGTGACAACAGAGGCCCATCTTTCAGGAGTACAGTTTTCCAATGCCTTCTGCCACATGCCTAGCACTTTGTCAGCGCCGTAACCTTCCGCGCCTATATGGGTATCATAATATTGTTTTGCCTGTGCCCATATCAGTTCGATGGCATTGAACTGGCAGTGGTATGGCGGTAGTCGCAGTACCTCATGCCCATGTTCTCGTAGGTATTCATCAACAACAAATCTTGCAGGCCGAGCATGTTGCTTGGCCAATTTTAAGAGTTCACTTTTAAATTGGTTCCTCTCAAAATTAATGTTGTTTTCCTCCTACCACTGTATGACCTGGGCTTTTGTCCAAGATGATATTGGCTGCTTCTCCAGTAATACACTGTGGTAGGAAGCATTATCCATAACAATGAGGCATGGTTCCTCCAAATTTGGAACCAGCTTCTCTTTGATCCACTTCAAAAATATATCGCCATTCATGTCTCCATGATAATCTGCCAGTTTTGAGGCAGTGCCATAGATGAGTGAAGCATTCTCCACGAACCCCCACTGTGACCAGCATGTAATACAATATAGCGTTTGCCTTCAAATCCCCAAGGTTTTCGGGTCCCTTTTACGGATCCGTCCTGCCAGGATCTCTTCCTGTTCCCTTTTGCAAAAATCCATGTCTCATCTAAGAAAACAACTGTGCGTTTAAAGGGGGAGTTTCCATTTTCATTATATTTGCGCAGAAATTCTGCTCTCAAAGCAACGACACTGCTTTTCTCCATAAGCGCCTTCCGGTTGTCTTCCTGTTTATATTGGAAGCCAATAAGCGGCACAATGACATCTTGCTTATGTCCACTATTTGTTTGACGTCCAATTCTTCCTTTAATGTTTTGATAGTAACATGCCTCTCTGTAAGTATTAATACATAAATAAATCGTATTAATGGAGACAAAAATACGTACTTTCTGAGTACATGTTGTAAATTGCATTTTTCACTTCCATCTTCACAGCGTCTGGTAAGTCTGCTGTTTTTGTTTTTTCCCGGGGCTTATATTTTTTTGTTTTGGAGGCAGCTTGATCTTCCTGGTCTACGGGCTTTTGGTTTTCTTTTGATTCTCTGAAAATACGTAAAACCGTCCGCATACTAATGCCCATTGCGTGGGAAACACTCTGAAAATTTAATTTATTTATTTTATGATTTATTAGACTTCGTATAATGTCACATGTATTAGTGATAGGCATGTGAATAAACTTTTAGGTTCTGTCGATGGTGAAAAAACCCTATAACTTTTTTTTCAACGTTCGAGAGTTCGAGACGTTCGAGAGTTAAGCTTCGAGAAACCAGAGTTATTCATTGTCTGTCTTGATAGTTTTCTCTCCATTTGAAAATGTAATATAAGATATAAAAATTAAAGTATAATATAATTTTGTAATACATGTGTAACATAACAAGAAAAACATGACGCAAGGAGAAAAAACAACGTGAAACTTTTTTCAATAATACATATAACCATACATATAAATATTACCTCCTGAATTGCGTCCACAGGTAATAAGGGCCCATTATTACGTTTTTCGCGATCAAAATACTTTAGTAGCTTCACCACCATGTCCCTGGCTACTCCATCAAGTCTTTTGCCGGGCATTTTTTATTCACTTTATTTACACTAATTGTAAAGAACAACAAACCGGAAAACGGTGCAAAAATCAACCGCGCAGGTCTGAACCTTTGCTATACAAACCGTACGCTCATGATCGTCGCTGTCACCGTGACTTACGATATACTGCGACCTACCTAATAATACCGTCTTTGTCTAACACATTGCTGCGTAAGCGGCAACGCTCCCAACTTCTGTCGTAGCACCAGAAAACATATGTTATTGTTATCCAGTACGGTCGTGCTCACTCGTTAAAAGGAGATGGCAGAAAATCTGCCAGTCGTGGATAAATGCATCAAGTGATGACGTGTATGCCAACATTCATGGTACGGACTTTAATTCGGCCACCTCGACGGCCGTCTCAAAATGCAAATTGCCAAATAACTCCATTTTCTACTTACATGAGAGTGCATATAGCAGAATTAGGTTAGGTTTACAGGTTCAGTTAACCACTTTGAAAAAATGATGTCTATGTAGGGATGCTTTGAGGAGTACACAAACACACGCCACTCCTTGTTGGTATTCTACTAAAAATATTTTACAACTCAAGCGCATATGCCCCTGCTTGCTCACCCTAATGTACGTCCATGTCGACTTGTAAAAAGGTAACAGAGAAGGCCAAATGGTCAACAGTATTTTTCAGACATTTGTAGTTTTGATTTATTGGCCAGGAAATATGAATTGAGTATGTTATATAAATATTTCCTTCGCGGAAAGATCATTTGTTGATAACCATGATTTCTAGGTTTTGCTTTTCGGATCCATTTTTTTATTTCACAATACAATTCTATCCCGGCAAATTTAAAATTAAAGTTTTTGAATACCAAAAAGAATCACCATCTGCTGAGATAATAATAATAAATTGTCCTTATTCGATTCTTTTACATTATACAGTGCTTTTCTTTAATCTCCCCCTCCCCTTTGATTTATTGAACGGATCAATTCACAAAATTAAAACTTGGGGTAGTAAAATTGACAGATGAAAATGGCGCCAAGCGGCCATCTTGGAAAAAAAAATATATGAAAACGGGGGTCTTGTGGCACACCATTTTGAAGCTCCTCACGAGTACTTTATAACCCTAGAATATAAAGTCAATACCTTTACCTACTACAAAATAGTGGTAGATTCAATAATTACCTGAATACATTGACATTTAACTTGATAATTCGAATAAATACGTTGAGTTCAGTTTAGAAGATGCTGGAAATGGTTGCCTTGAACTTCTTGACACAAGAACAGCCGGTCCGTAATTTTGCGTGGAACATTTTCAAACATAGTTACATCGATACTTCTTTAAATATACTAAGTGACATATAAATCCGAACACCCAGTTTAAATGGTTTTATTTTAATAAAATTTTGTATAAGTACTTAATGAAGCATAATAAGTAAATGATAAAAATTTCAAGATGATTGCACTGCTTTAAAGCCCTTTGACCTTTAATAATGTGTGGATGCACCCTGATGTGCTACGCATTCTCCAACGCGCCTAGGCATGCTTCTGATCAGGTGGCCAATATCCTCCTGTGGTATCTCATTCCAGGCAACCACCAACTCCTCTCGAAGTGCTTCTAGAGTCTGAGGAGGACGTTGCAAATTGAACAATCTCCACCCATCATATCCCACACGTGCTCAATTGGGGATAAGTCGGGAGATCTTGGTGGCCATGGTAACAATGTGACATCATTATGTTGAAAGAAGTCTATTGTGACTCTTGCAACATGTGGTCGGGCATTATCTTGTTGGAAAGTTGGATCTGCCAGGGTGTCAAGATAGGGTAAAAGATGGGGTTCTAGAACTTCGTGGATATAACGCTGCGCGTTCATGTTACCTCTGATAAAGATTAAAGGTGACCTGGAACCATAAGCTATAACACCCCAAACCATAACTCCAACAGTGTGATGAACATGTCTTTCAACAAAAAACTGTGGATTCCTCCTTTCACCACGTCGCCTTCTAACCCTGGCACGACCCTCGTGCATGCCTAAACAAAATCGAGACTCGTCACTAAAGACAATACTGTTCCATTCCTGATCCCAGAGTTACCGTTGTCTGCACCACTCAAGGCGATTACGTCGGTGTTCTCGAGTTAAAGGGAGGACCCAGTGTGGCCGGTATGAAAACAAGCCAAAACTTCTCATTCGTCGGTAAACACTTCGCATGCCAATAGGTCTTCCGTGTTCTGCAAACCATTCATTTACAATGGACCTGGTAGTGGAGAAACGGTCCCTTAAGGCCAATAATCTTAGGCGGCGATCTTCACGGTCTGTTGTTCTACGGCGGCGTCCAGTGCCCCTTGCTCTTTACGTACGGCCTTCTCGAAGCCATGCCTGACAACACCTAACCACAGTGTCTACACTTCTTTGCACTCTAACTGCAATTGCCCGAAAAGAAAGTCCAGCTTCCCGAAGTCCCACTATACGGCCCCTATCAAACTCACTGAGTTGACAAAATCGTACAGGTCTCCGTACTCTAGGCATCGTAACCGATCGTAAACGATGTCAAGAACCAAAATCCGCCAACGCTGATTCTTTACTGCGGCTGAAATATTCATTTTTAGAGCGTTAGTGAATTAAAAAAAAGCAGTATAAAAACCGGAATATCCAACTGATAAGGCTGAAAAAATTTTCACTTGTTATTTACAGTAAGATAAATACATTCACCAACTTTTATTAAAATAAAACCATTTAAACTGGGTGTTCGGATTTATATGTCACTTAGTATATTTGTTATCCTCAGCCGTATATCCAATACTGGAACAGGTTCAGTTTTGTACACCTTTTGCTTTAAACAGCTCCATAAAAAAAGTGTCAAATCTGGCGAGCGAGCTGGCCATTCCACAGGACCTCGACGACCAATCCAACGACCGGGGAAATTATTATCTAAATAATTCCTAACTTGTCTGTAGTAGTAGTGTGGTGGAGCACCATCTTGCTGGAATACAATATCAGTATCGAATTCATTAGGATCCGCTTCGACAATTTCGGTGATTAGAGGGTCAATAGTACAGGGTGGTCCATAAGTTCTTTGAAATTTCAAATTTGAATAAAATTTAACGGGTGAGCGTGAGCGGCGCGGGCGAGGTGGGGGCAGTATCTTCAGTGTCTGGGAATTCAGTCGCCATGGAGTGTTTCACTGGAGCGGATCGTGCTTTTTGTGTGCGCGCGTTTTATCAAAATAATGATTCGGCAACCATTGCGCGGCGTAAATATCGAGAATACCACAATTTACACAATTTTACAGTGTCCAACAGCTCAAACGATTAAGAACTGGGTTGTTAAGTTCGAAGAGACTGGTTCGACGTTAGAGAAACAGCGGTGGGGTCGACCAAGGACAACTCGTATTGAAGAAAACATCAACATTGTGGCACAGTCTGTTCGTCAAAATCCTACCCAGTCTACTCGTAAGCGTTCCAGTGCACTAAACGTACCCAGAACATCTTTACAGCGGATTTTAAGGAAAGATTTACGTCTGCACGCTTACAAAATTCAGTTAGTGCAGGAATTAAAAGATAATGACGCTATTCAGGAACTAAACTTTGCGAATGAAATGTTGAATCGATTTTCTTCGCTCAATAATGTGTTGTTCTCGGACGAGGGTCACTTCCATTTAAACGGGCATGTAAATAAACAAAATTGCCGTTATTGGAGCCCCGAAAATCCAAGGCGTAAGCATCAGAAGCCCTTACACAGCCCTAAAGTTACAGTTTGGGCTGCTATGTCAGCGCATGGCATCGTAGGCCCTTATTTTTTTGAGGACGACAGAGGTCGCGCATTAACTGTTACTTCGGAGCGGTATGTAGCAATGATAGAAGAGTTTTTGACACCAGCGTTGCAGAATTTTCCAGGCTATAATACGCAGACCTGGTTTCAACAGGACGGAGCAACTGCCCACACCTCCAACTCTTCTATGACCGTCGTCTGTCAACTTTTTCCCAGCAAAGTAATTTCTCGAAGAGGAGACATTTCCTGGCCACCACGTAGTATAGATTTGACCCCAATGGACTTCTTTTTATGGGGCTACCTCAAGAGTAAAGTGTACGACACCACTCCTCGATCAGTTGATGTCCTGAAAGAAAATATCCGAAGAGAAATGGCAAGCATTACAGTGTTGACTTGCCGCGCAGTCATCGACAATTTTAGACGTCGTTTATATGAGTACCGTGATCGTAATGGATTACATTTAGACGATGTGATTTTTAAAACATAATTCCCATTCAATAAAGATGATAACAAAATATAATAATTCTTCATAATGTAACTAGTTTGGTTTTATTCCTTTTTTTCCAGCTCTTCCAGACTTATGGGCCACCCTGTATTTTCCAGCATATCCAAATACAGTTCCCCGGTTAAAGTTTGTTCGATGAATAGAGGCCCCACAATATGATTGTTCAATATCCTAGCCCAAACGTTAATTTTTTGTGGATATTGAGTATGAGTTTCCCGGAAGACGTGAGGATTGGTGTCACTCCAATAACCATAATTTTGTCTATGCACATTACCATTGAGAAAAAATGTACATTCATCACTAAAACAAATATTTTGGATATACGTATAGGTAGATTGCCGTGCAATGGTTTCCGTCATAGTCTCGCAGAATTCTGTTTTTCGATCAAGGTCATCTTCAGTTAACTGATGCACTATTTGAATTTTGTATGGGTGATACTACAAACCTCGCATACATTTGCGATAGAGGAAGTTGACTGTTGAGGATTTACTATGATCTAACCAATTATTTGAACTTGCTTTTCTTCCGGGCTGGTCGGATGACCTGCGGGCTTTTTGTTGTTTACACTACCAGTAGTAAATTTAGATACAAGTTCCCTTAAATATTTTCTACAGATGGGACGATTCGGGAAACGATCATTAAAAATCCTTTCGGTCTCGTGAAAGTTACGCGTCGCAACATAAATAAAAATCGCTTCGATTTTTTCTTCCAATGGACGAGAATTGACTATTTTAAAAATAGTTCAAACAGTATCTAGCACTAAAACCGAAAACTAAATAACAATATTTTAACTGTAGAATGATGTTTTTTTCGTACTGATATTCTTGACACTGTCAACAAAAAATAACAAAACAAGTTTTTATCGCTGTTGCAGTGGATACGGCAGGAAATTACAATTATTTATAGAGATATGCATGTTAGTGGGTTTGTGTTCAAGTAATTATTAAACGTACCACCATTTTGTAGTAGGTAAAGGTATTGACTTTATATTCTAGGGTTATAAAGTACTCGTCAGGAGCTTCAAAATGATGTGCCACAAGACCCCCGTTTTCATATAATTGTTTTTCCAAGATGGCGCCCAGCGACCATCTTAACATTTTCATCTGTCAATTTTACTCTAAAATTGGTATCCACGCATCAATTTCATTACCTCAGGTTTTAATTTGTTGAATTCATCGGTTCAAAAAATCAAAGGGGAGGGGGACATTAAAGAAAAGCACTGTATATCCAACATACAACAATACCATAATGGTATTTTTCAACTCAATCGTAAATCCTAATATTTAGTTAATATGTAATTAATATTTTTAAATGGCTTAAAACAAATAATGATGTGATCAGCGACCTATTATATATGTCTTTATAAAAGTAGATAGAGATATCGTATATGACCAATTTATGTCAAAACTATCAAGGTAGATTGGGTGATAGGGTGGTGAGGGAGTGATTATGTACTGCTTCTTTTTAAAACTACTCATAGTATAACTTCGAAAGTCATATGGAAGATTATTATATCACTTGGTGACAGAATAATCGAAGCTGCTTTTATAGAGAGACGTAAAGTGTTTAGGTGCAACTAATAATTGTCGATTTCAGGTAGCCAAGATGATATTGATGTTTTCAAATTTGTTCAGTATACTTATTTCTTATTCACTAAAATCTTATGAACTAATCATAAATGTAATATTTTCTTTGTGTATGTGCCTGAAAAATTGGCTGAAATGTAAATTCATTATCAGAATTATTTTGTTTGAATTTTCAGTCTACTTATTATGTTTTATTGTTATGAAGGTTCAGCTGGAGGTATAGCTCTTGAGCTAAGCTGAGCCCTTTCATGATGCAAAAGTAATTAAACTCGATTACTTTTATTATTTGATGATTTAATATAATTTTTTGACTTTCGGATAGTGAGTTAATCCGCTTGATCTCTATTTTGTCCAGGTATGATGGGAGGCATGAGAATGGGCGGTATGGGCCCAATGGGAGGCTTTGGCATGGGAGGAGGTGGTTATCCTAACACGATGTTACCATGCATGGAATGCGGAAGCCTTCCATATGCTCCTTGTATGCCACCGGTGAGCATTTCACAATATGTAATTTAACCATGTTTTTTTTGTACCCTGTGCGAGGATATTCTGCATTCGGGTGAAGATATTTTGCCCTGAGATGTTTAGATTATACAACAGAAAGTAAGGTCATAATGTAATTTGATTGCCATTATCTTGGAAATATAAAAATAACGGTTCAGATACAGTTTATCTAAATGTGCAAAATCATTAAGGGTGTCTAGAACCAACCGAGAGGGTTCAGGATTCATAAGTTAGCTTGTTGCTGGAAATATGTGGAATTCGTTGTAAAATTGGTTACTTATTGGTTCGGGCTACGGTATCCGGGTCGGGTATATCCGGGTATCCAACAGGACCTACTTGCTAATTATCTGGTTACAAATTGACGATTTTTTCTTCAAAATTCGTGTTCACGTTTCTTCTGTAATTCTGGCACCTTCTGGTGATCTGCAGTGACAATTAAAAATACTAAACAGAAATGGGTACCAACTCAAGATATATTTGACGGATATGATTTTTTCAACTTAATGTTGTCAATTTTGAACTTTTAGGTAATATTCATGGTACGTGGCAGCCTATTTTGAGACAATTTATAACATTACTTTTGCTTCACTTTGCATTTTCAAAAAATTATGGTATTTTTCATTCCATACTATTACACAAATTTCATATTAGAATGTTTCTCAAACTATAAATCATTTTATAGTGAATAGTAAATAGGAATGTATATTTGCGAAAACTCGGTATTTTAGTGTCTCTGGAATTTAGCCATCTCTGTCAACTCGGACCACCCTGTATATATAATATTAGTGTATTTCCAAAACATGGGCAAACATTCAAAAGGTCATTCTTTGGATTAGGGTGAGACAGTTTTGTCGATTTTTCAAAAACTAGTCAAACTCACCAATCCTTCTGGAACAACTGTTTGGGAGAACTAGGTACTTCAACCTACAATACAAGGCCTCAATTTCCCAATCATAAGCTGTCAACTGTTTTCGATATGCATCAGTCTGATTTACACCCAACATTTTTAATATGGTGGCTCCATGGTTCGCGAGCTTTTAACTGAGATCATCGATTTGGTTGGGGAGAACGTAATATGTATGACCTAGTTGGTGTACAGACTTGATCCCTCTAGATTATTGCATTTGAAGCCATGTATAGTAATTACAGTGCAGAATGCATGAGATCAAGTAGAGTGGAGCTCTGCGTTCAACCTGGATTTTGGACGTTTTATTCTTTCATATATTCATATGTGATTTTTATTAATATAAACCGTGTTTTCCGAAAGTATTGTACCTATGTCGTAAACATTGTTATAGAATCTTTAGGGAATATGGCACCATGCTGAGGTTCTTATACTACAAATCTGTCATAGTGACATTAACATATGTTTTGTACATCTTAGGCCCGTATCGTCAGTCGTCCCTACAATTGTAGGGCGCGCTTATGGCCTCCTTGATTGTCATACTCTTTTCTCTCCTTCAAAAATTTCTAGATTACACTCGTCCCGTGTCAGCGTCAGCGCTCTCCTATTGTTAAGATATGTTTTCCTTTTAAATTGTAGGAAATTTCAGGCTGATAAAACATGATAAAAATCAAAAGCAAGCACAATTTGATGCAAATAGATGTTTGTGGCATAACCTCAAAATAGAGCGCTGACACGGAGAAGTAGAAAACTAGGACAATCAAGGAGGCCATAAACGCGCCCTACAATTGTAGGGACGACTGACGATACGGGCCTTAGCCTGGCATAAAGCTTCACAGGTTAGTGTATTGTAAACGCAAGATCCAGGACCTGAGACTTTCTTAATTGCTGACTACCTACTGTCGCATATATACAGGGCGTACAGCTTAAGTCAAACATATGACATCCTCGTCTCCGCCTTGACGCCATTTTGCTATATCCAGAAGAGATTCTAATACCGCCTGTCTAGATACTATCTTGATGGTCCTGCATTTTCGAAACAATTTTTTTTCGAGCATCGTTAAAAAACACAGTAGTCCAAGAATCGCCCTTCGAACTTTTGACCCACATTTTGAAAACACCCTCTATTGAATAATTAAACAACTAATCCCTTAAAAGGGAATGAGCGTGGGCATGGGCATGCACATGGGTGGGTTTGGTGGCATGCCGCCCGGCAGCCCTAGAAGCCAAACGCCATGGTCTGAATGCGCCAATGAGATCAATGCACCATGTCAAGAAGAGCCGGAACCGCCGAAGGGCAACTACCAGGAAATCGGTGCATCTATGGGGGGGAATTCTTTGACCATCAGGGTGCATAAGGACAAGAATAAAGTCGAACAGGTTCGAGTTTGCTGATCATTAGAGTCATTAAGGGCAAGGAACGATGGGAACTGAAGCTTTAATTGCGGCTTTATGTTTAGATCCGTAGGGCCGAAGAGTGTTTTAGAAAAGACAACGCATCATTCTTATTTGAAGACGCTTGATTTGCTCCGTACTTTGAGGTTATGCTCTCCAAATAATGTTGGTCAAATACTCCCATTGCACCAACTCAGTTTAAATCTATCCAAAAAGCTCAGTAGACTTAGAAGTTGTACACACCAAATGGCTCAAAATAATCGTTTTTGCAAGTCGAGTTAATCTTTTCTTCCATTTTGCCCCTTACTAACATTCAAAGTCGGATAAATATTCCTTTTGAGGGGGTATTTATCGAGAAGCAATTTTTCACTACAATGACGTGATACAGCTTTTCATCATTTCAAGCAACATAAGATATGTTCTAGAAATTTTATTTCAACCATTCTATAGTACCTATCTAAGTCGGGCTCGATTTAGTTGTTCCAAACTCTAAAGTAAAGAAAACAACTCCATATGGAGATCAAAAAATCGACTAGCATCACTGAGCTGGACAAAATACGTTCTTGACGAAATTCTCCCGATTCATCCAGCTTTCCATTGATGTGGATCTTTTTGTCTTTTCGAAATGTTTGATTTCCTTCCAAAACTGTGAACCAAATGAAATAAGCAGCGAAATACCAGCAATTTTTTTTTTATTTTAATCATTTTTATCATTAAGATCTGTGAAAAAGCTTCAGTTCTCATTATTCTCACTTAAGATGTCAATAACCAGGATTGAGCTTTGCTAAATGTGAACAGGGATAAATCAGCAGCAATGCCGTATAAGTATATTATATGCAATTATTTTCTTTGTGGACAAGTTTTTCAATTTATCCTAAAGCAGGTTATCATTCCTGTATCCAAATAATCACTCATAATTTTAATTCCAATCAAAGTTGTGCCTAGTGGCAATGCTGGACGATTTACTTATTTGAAAAGAAAAAAGTTTTCTGTAACCCAGTTTAAGGTCTTACGTCAATTTTTTTTTTCGCTTTTTTCAACCAGCTGTTTGCAGCAGTACTCTAAATCTTGTTCATCTGATTATCTCCTGGTGTGTATAGAGATGACTGAGAAGAAGTTTTTAATTTTTATGTTAAAAAATGAATGATTTGTGCATTTTATTATGCTTCTTTTTCAATCGTAGCTTGTTAACAAATATTAGTACAACTTTTAAATCATATGTGAATATTCCACTTTCTTGGAAGAATGAATCGAGTGAGTTTTATTCGTATCACTTTTTCTCTTCGAAATATCTTCGATTTTCTTAAAATCTCATTTTGCAGCAAGAAGAGCAAAGATTTTTTTTAGAGGGAGAGAGAATGATAACAAAACAAGCAATGACTCGCTTCATTCTTCCATTAAAGTGGAATATGTATTCACATACAATTTTACAAAGTTCTGATTGAAGAAAAAATACATAAAATATGCACAAAAAATCATTTTTTGACAAAAACGAAGCAGTTAACATTGTTTTTCAGTGATCTCTATACCCACTATGAAATAATCGTATCGGCAATATAGCACTCTTCTACCGCTACACCAATGTGCTTTGCTCCTCAGCACTCTCCTCCATGATGCCGCTGCGCAATGTGCCTACTAGACAGACCTGCCTGATTTCTGCGTCCCATCCTAACAGTGTCGAAATTCGTACATCCAGAACTGGCCGATACGACCGCTCTATTGTCCCTAGGGTATCGAGATTGTAGAACAATCCACAAGAGGGGGGTTTTCCCAGTTACACTAACCTCAGGCAGTTCAAAAATCGAATTAAAAAAGCTTCTTTGGGATCCTCATAGCAGCCGTGGTGCCGTGGCATCTAGGCTTCTGCTTGCGCGGCAGCTTCGGTGTAAAAAAGACTAAGAATACTCCTCCAGATAGGCTGAAGCTAAAGCCACTACTATGTTGTTTCCATTCTTTCCTCTGGCATTGAAGCTTAGACATCAAATGCAGAGGTATGCATCGCATAAATATTGAGTATATAAGGTTACCAATGCAGCTTTAAGTGAAGTGAAAGACTTTCTAAGTACCATAAAAGAATATAAGGGACATGTGACTAGAAGCCCAGTTTGGATCTTCCTTCCTACCTATTTAGAGCCGCAGCAACTGTCTGATGTCTAGCAACAATAAGCTTAAACGCCACCTAGATGGAAGTTGCTAAAGATCTTACATATTCACTTTTGCGAGGTTCATGAGATGGGTACTCAGGCAGTACTTAATTTCGAAAGGAGGATGGGTGTGGCGTCTAGCTGTGAAGGCCCAAATTGCTCTACTTTTTTATCGCTCATTTAATTCTAATTGCTATTATCGTGGCGAAACCTTTAGAAGTGATACGATATCAGCCCAATTAAAATATTCTATGTACACCGTCCGCTTTCAAGTCTAATCATTGTTAACGATAATATTTAACTACAACCTAGCAAATTAGATCGTGAAAGGTCAATGTCTATAGTCGCACTAAGTAGTAGTTTAATTTTGTACAGGGTGGGAGACAGCTTGAATATTAGTCCGAAGTGTAGTTTTTGTTTCCGGCATCAATTTCCATAAAAAATACAAACAGATGCTATTTTTTAGACTCAAATCTCATAACTCTTGCAGCTTATAAACCATGTTTGGTAATATGGAAAGATGTTAAAGAGCATAATTCTGACTAAACGTTTAACATTTCGAGCGTTCTTGAGGAAGTAGAACCGTTCTTCAACTACTCTAATCTGTGCTTATGTTTGGCCTCCAGGATTTCTCCGCGATATAGTGAATAACATGACCTAGTAACACAACCGTCATTTCAGAATACATATCCTCACATTTAACAATCTCATTCCGTCACAATTCAGACTAGTAACCTTGTATCTATCCTCCTTTTAGGTGGATCCTAACGCCCAAATGTCAATGACAGTAAACGAACCTGACGACGGTTGTTCTTGTGTAATGGGCAGGCCTGGTAAAAAGAAGAAACAGGAACAGGTTATCCACATGCAACCAGGTGTCCAACAGGTAGGACCTATTATCAAAACAAGGTCCAAGCGTAATTCATGTAAAGTCGACTGCATCTGTTGACGTGAAGCTCAGTCATCTTCACTGTGCTCGTCAAGTGTCACCTAAGCTAACTCATCTGTTTTGTGTTTGTCGCAATCGACCGAAGATGTGTCCTAGACAATGTGTCTCAAAACTCAAATATAGCCTTGTACTTACTCAGTTTGTGGTTATATGTTTATTTATTTTTCTATAGAAATGTTGATCTGGGAGTATCATCACATCTATGGGATTGTGTACTCAGGGAAGCAGCAGTGGAGAGGATCGAAAAGCATTTTCCTCTTGCCAAAGTATAATTGGCTAGGATTACATGTTCAGAGTGTGGTGGAGAGATGGACGTTTTGAGTATGTATGTGGTTATCCTTGCAACTACCTTGACGTTTGTATGATGCATGATGGAGTAATCCGAATAACCTTCACCTAGCTTTTAATTGAATTCCGTTGTGTTTTAGGTTTTCTGAAGTTATTCTAATTTTTTACCTTTACAAAAAATGAATTCTTCTTCTTATCTTCCAGTTCAATTTATTACGATTGCGAAATTCGTGATAATAGGAATAGACAGATTCATAGGATGTTCTCACGGATAACGTATTTAATGCAATAATTTCTCATCTTAGGAATTTCAGGATGACTCTCGGGTCAAAAAACAAACAAATTTCGTCATTATTCGGGAAGAGTCGCAAAACAATACTGACAAATCAAGAGCAGGTATTTGACCAAATAAAGCAATGCTAACTGGCGCATCTAGTGCGCAAGTCGGGCAAGTTTAATCGAGCTATTTACTCAAATAGACGAAAGGTTGTTATCCGGGCGCTAAATGTGAATAGCGAATGAACATCTGGAAGAAATAACATTTAAAAGTGAACAGGTGATATGCGCCTGGTGCGCGCCTTGGACGTGAATGTCCTCCAGCTTTCGGTTGTATATTCTGGTATCTAGGGGATGCCGTGGAATGCCAATGCCTACCACTGCGAGATCCTGCCACCTGATCTCAGATGATGGGAGATTCATCCTTCCTGGGGGATCTGTTTGCGGTGTAATATGTTCAAAGGTTTTTTATATCATTAAATGTTTCGTCATAAAGTTATAGTGATCTAATCTTAATTGAAATAGCGCAAAAACGGAGTCGTTAAAAAGTGTGGAACACTACATGGTGAGTGGTATAGCAGACCACAAGAAAGTGCTGAAAGCGTATCATGGTTTTACATAAAAAACGCTACATTGGACCAACTACATCGCGACGATTATTGTAGTAATAACATGAAACATTGCAAACGAGATGATATAATTCCATGATCTTCTGGCCAAATGAAACCACATATATGTATATTAATAACCTTTTACTGACTTCTCGGTCACAACCATGGCTTTTTTCAAGGTATCAACTATTGATAATGACAATATATTTTTGTTTATCTGTCTTTACTCTCTAGGTAATTAAAAACGAAACGTAAAGGAATCAGCCTATTTAAAATTAAACAATTGTTTTTCTAGATCCTCTGTTGTATTGTAGTAGTAGTAGAAAGATTTATTTAGCACATTTGGCTACATAAATAGAATAATTGTAAACAACTTAGAACTAGCAAATTCAAGCCATATATGGTGTATGATGTAAATGCTGGGCAACCTATAATTGTAGATTTAACAAGTGATTTCTCAATTTTACTTTAAATTTCGTCAAAGTTTTCTGGTCTTTTATCTCCGAGTATAATTTATTATATTCAATCAACCCTTGATGGAATACAGATTTGTAGCATATGTTATACTTTTTGGTCATTAAATGGAAGTCATCTTTATTTCTGGTATTATGTAAATGATGGTCGACATTTGATGATGTTAAATTAGTTAGACTTGATGGAAATATATTATTTTTTACTTTATAAATGAATATCATTGCAAGATATTTGATAAAATTTTTTACATTGAGCCATTTTAATTTGCTAAGCATTTGCCTAATTGGGGTATAATTATCTTTATTTAGTATTATTCTCATGCACTTATTTTGTAAAATTTGCAGTCTTTCAAAAATGGAATTATTTGCTAAATATAGAATAGTCGAACAGTACAAGAAATTTGGAAGAATGATGGTATTATAGATATTTTTTCTGCTATATGAACTCAGACATCCAGAAACTCTCGATAAATATCCCACTTTACTTTAGAATTTCCTTTTTTCTTCTCTAATTACATATACACATTTATTCCTAAGAGTTTTATATTCCTCCCAATCATCATTTGATTTTGTGAATATACATTTATTGTATTGTTTGTCTCTCAAATTTTGAGCTGCCTATTCTTGTTATACCAGGGTGTATTTTTTGTCGAGCAAATCACTTTTTTATCAGTTGCAAGATCTAAACAAGTTTTTATATTTCCTATTATGTTGTCATATATTTTTTCCATATTCTCACCAAAATTCCAATAGCAGCCAGCAAGTTCTCGTTCAAGTTTTTCGTACTTAATAGTATTTACGATTTTCTTAATTTTTGTATCAGAATGTGAACCAATTTGATTGAGTGCCTTTGAAGGAAAGATTTAATTGACATTCTCCAAATTGTTTAGTGGACCATACGTTTTTTACTTCCAGGATTTTTCTTGTGGTTTATTATTACTGGATCCCAAATGCGCAGTCGTTTTGTTTCGCCATCTCAAGGCCAAACTGTTGCGTCTTATATTATTTCCTCACAAGACAAACAACATTGTGCCCTTGACGTGTAAAAGGACTATTTTTTGTACTTCGGATCCATGAAGAATGCATATACAGCATTAGCAGTCAAATATAGCATACCAGTCAACCGCTATTAGCAGAGGTGTGACGTGTCTAGTACATCCAAAACAATGGATAGCCTTGTGCCCGCTTGTTGCCTTGGAGGAGGGCTGGACGTCTTTTGGGCAAGGGAATGTTACCCCAGGAGGGGCGGCAGACCTAAGAATTGTAATGATCGCTTCGCGCGGTCTAGTTCAGGCTGTTGTTGCAAGTAGCGAACAAAAGAAAAAAATAACGAACTGCCACCTGGAAGACAGATGAACGTAAAAGATATTGTCATTGTCAATAAGTTGACTTTGAAGAAGGTCATCGTTAAACATCAGTAAAAATTAATACATATGTGGTTTCATTTGGCCAGAAGATCATGGTGTTGTATTAACATAAAAACCACAGTATGCTTTTGAGGCTTACACTGATGTAAGTTGAACTTTAATGGCTTATTATGTATTCATATCACCTGTCAGCGTAGGATTTTTTGGCGTCTTCTGTTTTTATGCCGTTTCGGTTAGTCTTAGACCTACTATAACTTCTCCTTTGAGACGTGACTTATGGACGACGAATACAGTTTCTCGATAATTAAGATAATCACGTCTACTTGCTTTTATCTCTCCTACTCCTGCATTTTTGGTAATGAATTTAACATTAAGGCCCGTATCGTCAGTCGTCCCTACAATTGTAGGGCACCTTTATGGCCTCCTTGATTGTCATAGTTTTCTACTTCTCCGTGTCAGCGCTCTATTTTGAGGTTATGTCACAAACATCTATTTGCATCAAATTGTGCTTGATTTTGAGTTATATCATGTGTTATCAGCCTGAAATTTCCTACAATTTAAAAAGAAAACATATCTTCACAATAGGAGAGCGCTGACGCTGACACGGGACAAGTGTAATCTAGAAATTTTTGAAGTAGAGAAAGGGGTATGACAATCAAGGAAGCCATAAACGCACCCTACAATTGTAGGGATGACTGACGATACGGGCCTTAGTTATATGTAAAATCTACGAATATATTTTTCCGGAAATAAACGCATCCACAAACTTATCCGGCAAACGTCAAAAGATGCAAAAACAATTGAAGGACATGTAAGATCCCGGGACCAAACGCTTCGGCATGCCACGGCATCCGTTAGCATGTTCTGGCTGTCAGGAAATAAATACAGTCTGAAGCTGGCAAAATACCGTCAGATACTCGCAAATTCGTGAACGATTTCTCTAGTCACTGTACCGTAGGAAATGGTTTTTGAAGCTCTCCCCTGCTGTCTCTAGGTGTGAGATACCTAATTCGTGGACGAGGGTAGACTTACATTAGCTCTCCATCGATGGCACAGGTATGTTTATAAAATTACAGTCTGAATATCACAGGCGTTCCAGAACATAGGCGTTAGAGTTCGTCAGCACCATCACAGAATCCGCAAGTATGCCGGGTTAAAACAACCTCATTCCAACATTCTCTTTTCAATTTTTCAGGGTAACAACAACATGCCGTTCGCATTCAGAATGGCTGATTCTGGAGATGGTAGAGGAGGTGGTAACGTCACTGTTAACCCGCCAGTGTGTACCGCCCCTGACGGTACACAACTTACCGAGTTCTCCGATCCAAACAAAGAGCGGTTCATTTTGAGGATAGGCAAGAAAAGCGAAGGCACGGATAAGAAACAGAATTTGGAGTTGGAATTGTGTACTCCAAAAGGTAATTTAACAAAATTGACGGTCTCGCTTCTACGAGTACTGATATGACAACGGATTTGGTTCCTCTGAGTTCTTCCACCAAACGCTGGGTTTGCCAACTGGACCCGTTTTTTATTACCGTGTCGAATCTGCACATTATGGTACAAGTTTTTCTTTCTTAAGATGCCTTTTCCAGTAATGCAGGGTGGAGTAAAGTCATCGTTATTTATAACGCGCATGTTTTTCAAGTCTCGCTTATTATTTTAGGATTTCGTAGAGAAGGCTAGGGAAATTTGATATGGAGCGTTACAATACGAAGCAACTTTTGTTTTTAGTTTTGAGGTTTGGAAATACCAAGAATTCCAAATTTTCAGCAACAAGGGAAATCTTCATATTTCTGGAGGTCGATGCGAGTATAATTGTCACCAGAGAATAAATGTAAATTAGTCTCCACATTTACTGGATTTAGCTTTGCCTCAGTTTTTCCTTTAGGGATATTTGAAGGAATCAAGGGGGGATTTGGGATTTCGTCTAGGGGGTGGGGGCGCAAACGATATTTGGGGCTGGTAATTTTTCAACCTCAGCGAAACTTCTATAATTTATCCTATTATTGCTCCTTAGATCGATTGTGCTCTATCTGGTAAAAAAAACATGGAAAATGCTCAGCAATCCTCGGAAAGGTGATATTTCATTATATGAGAACAAAATAGGCACTTGGCATTTATAATTAACTAGTATAATAATATTAAAGATTGAAACAAAAACTTCATTGCTCTATTAACCGAAAACAAAAACATTCTGAGGGACCCCGAGATATGTCCCAGTCCATTCCACACAAAACGAAATAGTGTCTTTGAGGGCAAAAAGGAACATGAGACCGAAAAATTCACATTATCGTATTGACGCTAGACGAGACAAATGTCTATAGACCATCTGCAGATCGTGTCTTGAGATCGCTCCTCCTCCCCTAAATCCGACACTGGAAGGAATATGTTTTTATCGGTACCAAAAAAAGTTTCCTGTTTGAAAGACTTTCGTGGTGGAAGCATAGTTAAAACTCCTGAAATTTAGCGGAAAATTATGGAAAATGTAAGTGAAAAGCACGAACTCAAGGAGAGATTATATTAAAGAGGTTTTATTGATACCTAATTTGCCATTAGTTTAGAATATTTTTAAGTCTAATTCACGAGTCGCTGGTTAACTGACTTTGTTTTTTGCTTATTAAAGGTCCAGACCTGAAGCCAATACCAAAAAAAGAAACCAGAGACACCCAATACGACCCAAAGGACGCAGGACCAGAAACTGGGAAAAAGAATAAAGACAAGAAAGGCAAGAAGGGCAAGAAGGGGAAGAAGTAATTTTTGTCTTTTCACAAAAACTTTTAATCAATACGCAATAATAGGTATAGAAAAATACAGAGATAATTGCAAACGATAGTAGATTATTCAATTGTATATTACCGGTTGTACATCAGGAGGAAGTCGTGTTCTCCAGAGAAGGCTCTCGGACCTCTTTCGATGTTTCCAAGTAGAGTCTCTGCAGTTGGGTGGCTGCTGCTCGCTGTGCCCTTTTCTTTCTTCTTTTGCTTCTTCTTCTTAGTCGTTTTCTTTCTTCTTATTTCTTCTTGTTACTTGTGGCCTCGTGGTCCTTTGTAGCTCGAAGGATAGACATACACCACACTAGTGAGCGTTCGCGTGTTCTAATGCGTTGAAGCTATCCCACTTTTCTGACACCAATTGTTATATCATTTAAATTCAACTTTACTTTTTAAAAAATTTCATTTGAGGACAGTAGCTACTGTCCGTTACAAACGTTTACAATTGAACACAAAGTTAACATAAGTGACTGTTACGGTGCCTAGCCGGGTATTGAACACAATGAAATGGGCGCAAGGCCTATTTATACTATTGGTGTGCTTACAAAGCACTTCTGGAAAACAAAGCGTAAGCAACGAGTTAGCGGGAAGTCGTTATCTGTTGCTGAGCTAGCGTCTGATGCAACATTGTATGGAATAGTAAGTCCATTGTTGTGAGTGCATATAACATACATATAAAACGACCTCGGATTCGATATGGGCCGCCCAAAATACGTGGAATAAGGGTCATTTGAACCGCACTTAAAGCATTTTAACATATAATTACCATGTATAGGGGTATCCTTACCAAAAAGTCACAAAATGGGTCAGTCGAGAACCTGAACGCAACATATCTTATAATACGCTTTTTGGGTCGCTGAAACCGAATCCATGGCCCATTCCGTGCGAAAATGCCTCGTTTTCAAGATACTGGCAAGAATTCAACTTTGTCAAAAATCGACTAATAAAAAATTTCTAAAAACCCTTGCGCGTCTATGGTCGAGATGGAAACTTGTTTTTTGGGTAAATCGGGTGCGTAGATTCCAAATTCGATGTCGATACATCGCTAGAATTTACGGCTAGTCCGAAAAGATAGTTTCTCGTCAACTTTTCTCCCTAAATTCCGTCTGATAACACTTAAGAAATTTTTAACTGTGATATTCATATTCAGCGCCCCAAATTACCTCATTGTGCAAAGCTCAGCTCTCATGTAGCCATTGATAGTAAAAATGGATTTTTAGCATCTTAAAGTCGCAAAAAACGCCTAGTTTTGCAATTTTTCGCTAAGTAATTAGATCTACATCATAAACGGGATCACACACATATAAAACGACCTCGGATTTGATATGGGCAGACCAAAATACGTGGAATAAGGGTCATTTGAACAGCATTTAATGCATTTTAACATATAACTACCATGTATAGGGGTATTCATACCAAAAAGTCACAAAATGGGTCAGTCGGGAACGTGAACGCAACATATCTTATAATACGCTTTTTGGGTCGCTGAAACCGAATCCATGGCCCATTCCGTCCGAAAATGCCTCGTTTTCAAGATACTGGCAAGAATTCAACTTTGTCAAAAAACGACTAATAAAAAATTTCTAAAAACCCTTGCGCGTCTATGATCGAGATGGAAACTTGTTTTCTGGGTAAATCGGGTGCGTAGATTCCAAATTCGATGTCGATACATCGCTAGAATTTACGGCTAGCCCGGAAAAATAGTTTCTCGTCAACTTTTTACCCTAAATTCCGTCTAATAACACTTAAGAAATTTTTCACTGTGATATTCATCTTCAGCGCCCCAAATTATCTCATTGTGCAAAGCTCCGCTCTCATGTAGCCATCGATAGTAAAAATGGATTTTTACCACCTTAAAGTCGCAAAAACGCCTAGTTTTGCAATTTTTCGCTAAGTAATTAGATCTACATCATACATATAAAACGACCTCGGATTCGATATGGGCAGCCCAAAATACGTGGAATAAGGGCCATTTGAACCGCATTTAAAGCATTTTAACATTTAATTACCATGTAGGGATATTCTTACCAAAAAGTCACAAAATGGGTCAGTCGGGAATGTGAACGCAACATATCTTATAATACGCTTTTTGGGTCGCTGAAACCGAATCCATGGCCCATTCCGTCCGAAAATGCCTCGTTTTCAAGATACTGGCAAGAATTCAACTTTGTCAAAAAACGACTAATAAAAAATTTCTAAAACCCTTGCGCGTCTATGATCGAGATGGAAACTTGTTTTCTGGGTAAATCCGGTGCGTAGATTCCGAATTCGATGTCGATACATCGCTAGAATTTACGGCTATCCCGGAGAAATAGTTTCTCGTCAACTTTTCACCCTAAATTCCGTCTGATAACACTTAAGAAATTTTTAACTGTGATATTCATATTCAGCGCCCCAAATTACCTCATTGTGTAAAGCTCCGCTCACATGTAGCCATCGATAATAGAAATGAATTTTTAGCACCTTAAAGTTGCAAAAAATGCCTAGTTTTGCAATTTTTCGCTAAGTAATTAGATCTACATCATAAACGGGGTCACATACATATAAAACGACCTCGGATTCGATATGGGCAGCCCAAAATACGTGGAATAAGGGTCATTTGAACCGCATTTAAAGCATTTTAACATATAATTACCATGTAGGGGTATTCTTACCAAAAAGTCACAAAATGGGTCATTCGGGAACGTGAACGCAACATATCTTATAATACGCTTTTTGGGTCGCTGAAACCGAATCCATGGCCCATTCCGTCCGAAAATGCCTCGTATTCAAGATACTGGCAAGAATTCAACTTTGTCAAAAAAAGACAAATAAAAACTTTCTAAAAACGCCTAGTTTTACAATTTTTCGCTAAGTAATCAGATCTACATCATAAACGGGGTCACATACATATAAAACGACCTCGGATTCGATATGGACAGCCCAAAAGACGTGGAATAAGGGTCATTTGAACCGCATTTAAAGCATTTTAACATATAATTACCATGTATAGGGGTATTCTTACCAAAAAGTCATAAAATGGGTCATTCGGGAACGTGAACGCAACATATCTTATAATACGCTCTTTGGGTCGCTAAAACCGAATCCATGGCCCATTCCGTCCGATCGAGATGGAAACTTGTTTTCTGGGTAAATCCGGTGCGTAGATTTCCAAATTCGATTTCGATGCATCGCTAGAATTTACGGCTAACCCGGAAAAATCGTTTCTCGTCAACTTTTCACCCTAAATTCCGTCTGATAACACTTAAGAAATTTTTCACTGTGATATTCATATTCTGCGCCCCAAATTACCTAATTGTGTTAACCAAGTTTTGGAAAAAATTTGGTGTAAAAAAATCCCATATTTCTTGAAGCATTTGTCGAGCAGGATGTTGTCGTAGAACCTTTTTCATCTCGTGCAACAAAGTTTCAATAGGTGACAGATCTGGACTGCTAGAAACCCATTTAAAATGTGGTACATTATTTTCTTCCATCCATTTTATAGCCTTTTTTGAGGTGTGGCACGCTGCACAATCTTGCTGAAACACAAAATCTTTTCCGGATGTCAAACATTCTTCCATCACTGGTAAAAGCGGTTCTTCTAAAATTGCCAAATATTTGTTTGTATCCACATGTCCATCAATAAAATGAAGTTTTCCTGCTCGTTTTGATGACATACTGCCCCAGACCATAATGGATGCTGGAAATTTCACTTTTCTCTTCAGACAGTCAACATGGAATGCTTCATTTTTTTTGCGAATAACTCTACTGCGACTGTCACCAACACAAACTTCGAATCGGGCCTCATCACTCCATTGTATTGCACACCATTGTTGAGGTGTCCATTGTCTATGTTCTTTAGCCCATCTAAACCGATTTTTCTTTTGCAGTGGAGTTAATAGTGGCTTTTCTTTGGCCTATAAACAAGTTGTGCAACTTTAGGGTTTTTACTTTACTTTTTTTTATAAGAAAACTTACCTTGCAAGTGCTAAATCCCAGTTTGTGGGCCTCTCTATGAGTTGTGAACCTCGAAATTCTCCTTCCAATAGCGTCACTTCACAGAGCACTTATTGGCACGCCTGTTTTTCACGATTATTATTCTCAATGCTCTTCGGTCGGCATGTGTGATATTACTTTTTTTCAAATATCGTGGCTTAATATTAACTGAACCAGTTACGTTATATCTTCTAACAATATTTCTCACACTGTACCGCGATGAGTCTAACAAAGTTGCAATTTCTGAGTTTGATTTCCCAGAATTAAAAAATTTAATTATCAGTAACCGAATTTTCTCACTAATAACCTTTCCTCTACCCATTTTGAAAACCTTAACTACCCAAAACTATTTTAAACGTATTCTGACAGCTGTGATAAATGAAAACAATTGTCATGGCTTTTATTTTTCACAGCCACCTATGCGTTATAGCCTTATGTTGCATTGAAATGAAAATAGGTTGATATGCTGTAATTGCAACATGTGTTATTTTTATGCTGCAAATTTGATTAGGGAGTGATAAAGTTGGTGTTTTCTACTATATATTATGAAAATATTCATTGTTAATATTTCAAACATATAACACCCTGCTACATTTTAATTATTTGTGCTTGATAAGAAAAAAAATAAGATTTCAATAGTTGGGCCAACTGAAGTGAGAAGGGGCTCGTACTCAACGACCGTGCTGCAAGTCAGTTTGCCAGCATGCTTTGTTGGCTGCAGAATGCCGAGATCATCTGTAGATGTAGAGTATATCTCTGAGACGACGTGTCAGAAGCAGATTTGTTTGAGTAGCAAGATCGGATATGGATGATTGTGTGGCGATTGTGTGCATTAAGGATACAAGGAAAATTGAGGATCTGACATAGCTACAAACTTTGCTAAAAAACATGAGCTCCTTTGCTCACCCTGTATAAGTGGATAAATGAAAGAAATATACCGGTCGAACCCTGTACGTGTTCTCAAAGAGTTGGTCAAGAACCTCCCAATACCGGAACTCGATATCTCTTTCCGTTCCGAAAATATCGAGATTTGAATTTGGCTAAAATTTTCAATGTTGCAAAGCAGCTGCTATCCACCAGTTTA